ACTATAGATAAAATGATAGTTAAGATTACGTAAACTTTTTTCCTTTTATTTTTCTGATTTTTATTAAATTAAATAAGTCTTAAAAACGTTGATTTTTAGTGTTCTTTTTTAGAACTTCTTTGTATGGAAAAATAGGACAGTCGGAAAGGTGGAATTCTTACTATGAAAATAGGTACAATTTTAGAAAGTTTTAACCTACTTAAAAACGTAGTTTTTTTAAAATAATAAATTAAATAAAAACGAAATCAAAGAATAAAAATAAAATTACTTAATACTAGCCATTTTTCTATTTATAAAATAAAGTATTAGGTAATAGACCCACTTTATTACCGTGAAAAAAATAGGTAAACATGTCGATATAAGCATAGTTAACAGGGTTACTAATAAATTATATGGCAAACTGTTAGTGTAGTTTAAAAAAACCTAAAATCGTATATAACTTCTTATATTAGTAAGCAAAAAATTCGATAAATTCATATGTTAATTTAATTAAGCTAATTGATTACGTAAGTAAGTTTCGGAATTTTCCGATTTTTTCCCGGTTTTTTACGGGAATAAATCGTTTGTATGTAAACCTATACAAAATACCCGGCTCGCGAAGGGGTGGCTCGCGAAGGGGTAGTCTAGCTTATCAGAGATAGCCACATCATAGCCGGACCCCCGGGTAGTAAAGCAGCGAGGAATACAACTCCCTTAGTCGCTAGCCCGATGTCGAGACACACGCCACCTTCTAGTATGACGAGATCTGTACCATCCCTCAGCTATCTGCTGTGTATTTCTTGGCTCGTGCTCTCCCTTCATAGTTGTGCACCTCGTTGATCCGAGTTTCCGTGATACCCAGAGGTAACCAGGAAGCCAATATCGGGGGCGACTACAATTGTTCAGAGGGCTTTCTCCTCACCAACCTGGTCCCCTCCCTACAAGCTGCTCTCCTAACCCCCTCGTGATCTATGGGAGTGTGACTTAATTGGAAATATACCACAATATGCCGTGGTTTATACGACCTCCTTTTACTGGTCAGGCTCGATGATTCGTCAGCGTTAGGCTTGATGTAGAATCAGTAAACACAATATATAGGTATATTATATGTCTTGATTACCTAGTTTGGAATCAAAGAGTTGTTGTGATTTAATGTGTACATAGTCGACTGATGCTGATTGGAGCTCCCACAAGAAATATAAAAGAGGGCACAGTTTCTTGGACTCCCTTCTCCCCTCCATCTTCATCCACGCAACTCAAACCACACTTGACCATTAGCCATCTCAACATCTCATATTCCAATGCTTCCTCTCCCTTCTAACCCTAATCCATCTTGGCTTTTAATCATTCATCCATTACGGATATGACATTGGATGAGCGGATGCCATCTCAGCACTCTTCACCTCAAGACTTCTTCACACGGAGACTCCAACGCCTTCGCAGGCACGCTAAACATCCACTCTTGAGATGGTGTCGTTAAATCAAGCATCCTGTAGACGATAGACGGCTCGAAATTTCTCTGCCCATCTAGAGATCCCGTCTATGTCTATGGACAAGGGCTCAACGTATCCCACGTCTATAAGACAACATCAGCGCCAACACCTTACGCAGGTGTCAAACAGGCGTGCCAAAGGCAAGTAGTAACCCCAACCCCGATTTCTTCTGAGCCTTGAAACTAATAACACAATAGAACGGAGTTATCCAACTCCGAAAAACTAGCCGGCGTATTGCTCAGGCGACGAATACAGTAGGGCTGAAATTATGGCTGGCCTCCCCCGACGCCTCGAGGCATCGCCCTTGCTCGGGAGGATCATGAGTCCTCTAGTAGCCTCCTCACGCGCCCTGGTAGCTGGCAGAGCTCCGACACCTCGGAGACAGGTCCTGCGCCGAGTACTTAGCAGCCTCCCGCCGCAGGGTCGGTGCTCCAAGTAGCTCCGACAGCCCCAAACGTACCCGCTCCGGCAGTTTTAACGACGCCGGGTGCAGCAACGCCGGCGACTCATGCCAGTTCGCCTACGGGCCGCCAATTTACTGCAGCCCCTCTGGCACCGGTGCGAGCCACACGCCTACTCGTTACTCGGTCGGCGGGCGGGCGAAGCACAGCACGTACCATTTATCTTTAAGACAGCAGAAGCGGACAATGCTTCACTCACACTCTTCGCGGGACTGATGAGTCCCGCAAGGGATCGGACAGCGTAGTCGTAGTCGACGACCATACCCTCTAGGGAGCCGGTAAGCTTTTCCCTTCTTCCTCCTCCGTTCCTAAGCCAAGAAAAACTAACATTTTCATCTAGTTTTCCCCAGCGCTCGCGTTGCCCTCATCGAGCCGCAACAAGTCTTCTACTAATCCAGCCAACTGCTATCCCAACTTCAGCAAACAGCGGTGGTGTTTGCGCTGAAGCAAAGCCGGGTTGCGGCCGTCTGATGGGAGAATCTAGATTCGAAGAGAAAAGTGAGGTGGAACGGGAAATTGGATTTCGATCAGAAACCATACGCCGGCAACAGGGGCGCAGTTGAAGCTGATACTACATTTGCCGACACCTTAGGCTCGCGACATCCAACTAGAGCCCACTCTCGACGCTATTAATTCGGGTTTCTGTCCCTCGACGATTAGAGGGGGAGCCGATGCTTATACCTAGCTGCTTGAGCCGGATTTTATAAGCCTTATAATAACTGGCCTGGCGGGATGACGCAGAGCCTGATGGTTGTGAGGAGGAAGATGCCATAATCCTGGGCCGGCTGTCATAAGACTAGTAAAATCTGGCTTGGGGCAGCTTGTTATAGCTAGGGGCTATTTCTTTGATCGCCGAGGGATGGGAACTCGAATCGAAGCATGGAGCTCGTCAATCCGATCGGGCGGGATCCTAAGGAATCCTTGAAGCTTTGATTACTATCCCATAATGGCCCCTCCCTACTCCGTTGCTCGGTTGTTGCGTATCGATTCATCCGAGCCCATTCCCCTAAGTAAGGTCGGGTCGCGACTTGGGTAATAGAAGCCCTGCTTGGGGGGGTAGGCCCGGATGAACCGATACGCAATAACCGCGCAACGGAGTGGGTTTTGCTTTCATTTAGTCGGTTTATAAACCAGCCACGGGGAAAATGCAGACGCCTACGTCTTCTCGTATGGTGGTAGCAATAGGAGGTATATAGTATGGTATCACGTAGGAATCAGCCCTTATATACCTACATACGCAGGTCGTAGAATGTAGGTGTCTACGTTTTACGTGACATAATATGGCTTGTCCGCGATACCATGGGAAGAGGGGTTAATAGATCGAGAGAGAGGAAACTTGAAACGTCGAAGAATGAAATAATAGGCCTTTTCTAGCTTCACACTGACGCCTGTCTAATCTTACCTACCACCCCTCGTAGAATTCCCTTTTTCCGAAGAGAACAATCCGCCAACGGCGTAACTTAGATTGCCTGTTTAAGTGCTCCGGATGGCATCATTTTAAAAGGGCCTGTTCTCCTTGCCAGTGTCTTTGACAAGTACCCGATACACACGGAAAGGATTGTGTGGCACCCAGAGCCCCTTACAAACGGAGCCCTGCAATTGGTCGATTTGGGCAAGGGCACGAAACCCAACGTAACAGGCGTTCGCGAGCTAATTGACTGTAAAACGAGCTATATAAAATACGTCGAAGCGCTCCGCGCTTCTCCAGGTTTTCGTGCCGAAAACCTAGAACCTCTCCGAAGGCTAGGGAAAAAGGGGTAAGTAGGAATCGACGCTTAATTGAACTACGAAAAGGGATTAATTAGTAATCGACTCTTGATTAAACGGGGAGAAATTAACCTGGATTGAACGAGAAACTGACCTGGATTGAACGAGAAACTGACCTAGATTGAACGAGAAACTGACCTAGATTAAACGAGAAACTAACCTGGATTAAACGGGGAGAAAACTAACCTAGATTAAACGAGAAACTGACCTAGATTAAACGAGAAACTAACCTAGATTAAACGAGAAACTAACCTGGATTGAACGAGAAACTAACCTGGATTAAACGAGAAACTAACCTAGACTAAACTACGAAAAAGGATTAACAATCGATTTTTAAACGGGGAGAAACTAACCTAGATTAAACGGGGAGAAACTAACCTGGATTAAACGGGAAGAAACTAACCTGGATTAAACGAGAAGAAACTAACCTCGATTAAATAGGATTAAAATAGGTAGGAAATAGGATTAAACGCATAGGTAAATAGATGGACGCGTATGCTACGGTTTTATTGGATGCATCCCTTTTAAGCGGGTCATACGAACTTTTAACCAATTAAAACGGCGTATACGAACTTTCAGCCAATAAAAACAGAGTTTCCCCCAAATGACACCCCTTTACAGGGGTATTTACAGGGGTATTTAACCCCGCAATTAATCAGCATAACAGGGGGTTATGCGTATTATAACTATCCTCCGGATAGGATAAACCATTTAATTAGCTGTTCTGGCGCCTATGAGTAGTTATTCTCCTAAATGATCAACGGTCCAGCTTCAGCTTGTAACGTTTTTCATGCCTTATTGCCTGAGGCAGCGAAGCAATAGGAACTAACCCAGTCAAAACGCACAATTGTGCATTTGTGCCTGATTATTTTAGCAATGAGGGTATGTCTGTATGGGGGTAGAGCCGTATAGGAGTTGTGGCTGAGCACGGTACCGTGGGTGGGGGCTACGCCACATTCCCTCATTCCGTGTCCCTTTTATCACCCCCTAGCATCAAGTTTCCGATGCGACGAGAGAGCAGGCGGCACTAGACTCGTCATGGGTTGTGTCATAGTCATGGCTCACATCAGATCCTCGTAGCGCGTGGCCCTCGTTTCCCGTATCATTCAGTCTTTACTTATTCGCTAGCACCCATATACTGCGTGTGAGGCTACCTACCGGCGTTCCGGATCCCGAGCAAGTTCGAGATATGTAATCGTCAACCCTGGCCTCGACGAGCATCTCTCGGCTGCGCGCGCGCGCACACAGAAGTCCTTGCGTACACCCCCGAGTTACCCGACAAACCTCCCTCTCGCTCGACATGTCTCCCCAGCCGTTAGATACGAACGTGGAGAGGGATGGGTCTCTACTCACCCCATCCCGTTACGATGATGACGCCCTATCGCTGAACAGCCGAAGCGACCAGGATACCGACAGCGAAGATGACGAAGTACTCGCCGCTGCGCGGAACAGCCGGGAGCTGCGCGCTCGCGACCGTATGGTGCTGGTGGAGGAGGAAGAGCTGGACAAGCTTATCGTCGACGAACGGGCCCACCAAGAGCGCCAAAGGAGAGGCAGCAGCCTGCAGAGACGAGGGAGCAATCTTTCCCTGCCGAACCCCATAACAATATTTCGGAAATACAATCGCGTGCGGCCGGCGAGCGCAATCGAGGATGCGGGAAGCTCCGCCGAGGACCTACACGAGGAGAAGCGAAGGAACAGACGGATACGACGTAGGGAAAAGAAGGACCGTCTCCTCAAAGAGGCTCGAGACGGGGAGGACGGGGCGCTGATGTACGAGATGGAGCAGGGAGGGCTCAAGGATGGGAGTTCAACCGGTGAAAGCAGCGATAGGGACGGCGTCGACGAAACCGACCGCGAGTACCTGATAAAACAGGCCCCAGACGCCAAACCCGCGAAGAAGAGGAGGTGGAGGAAATGGCTACTCATACACGCCGTTCTAGCCCTCAGTCTCACATCCATCGCCCTGATCGTCTGGAGGGTATCTTTGGCTAAGAAATCAGTAACCTCCCAGTCGCAGTTAGCCAGCAACGGCACCGCTCTATTCCTCCCGACTACCCTCATCATCAGCCTGGATGGGTTCCGCGCGGATTTTCTGACACGAGGCTTGACACCGAGGCTGAACGCCTTCATCAAGGAGGGGGTGTCGCCTCTATACATGACGCCGTCCTTTCCCTCCGTAACGTTCCCCGTAAGTCTCTTTAATCGTGCTTCAGCTATGGGTTGGCCAACTAATTCCCCCTCATAGAACCACTACACCCTTGCAACCGGCCTGTACCCCGAAAGCCACGGTGTAGTCGGCAACACTTTCTGGGACCCGGACCTAGAAACGGACTTCTATTATACGGACCCTGACCGGAGCCTCGATCCGAAGTGGTGGGGTGGCGAGCCATTCTGGGTCACCGCCGAAGAACAGGGCGTTCGCACCGCGATCCACATGTGGCCCGGAAGCGAGGCGCACATCCTAGGCAAGGAACCAAGTTTTCTGGACAAGTATAATGGGAAAGAGAAGCTGCCGCGAAAGGTTTCTCGAATCCTCGAGTTCCTCGACAAACCTGGGCTGGAGGATCAAGACGCCGACCCCGAGGACATGAGACCGCAAATCATAGCAGCATACGTCCCTAACGTCGACTCCGACGGCCATCGCTTTGGACCCAACAGCACCGAGATTCGGTCGACGATCAGCGAAGTCGACACCATGCTCGACCAGCTGTTCCACGGTCTCGAAGCGAGGAATCTCACCGACATCGTCAACGTTATCATCGTCTCCGACCACGGTATGGCCACCACGGACGTCAGCCGGATGATCCAGATCGAAGACCTGGTCGACTTCGAAAAAGTCGGCCACCTCGACGGATGGCCCTTGGTGGGCATCCGGCCGAAGAACCCAGAGGACCTGCAGTCCCTGTACGAGCAGGCCGCCGAGAAGGGGAAGACGAACCCGAATTTCGACGTCTACCTCCGGGACGAGAACATGCCGGAGCGCTACCACTTCAGCAACAACCCGCGCATCGCGCCGCTGTGGATCATCCCGAAAACCGGCTGGGCCATCGTCGACCGGAACGAGTTCGACATCGAGGAGGCCAAGGCCGCGGGCGCCGTCTACCACCCCAGAGGACTGCACGGCTACGACCACGAACACCCCCTAATGCGCGCCATCTTCGTGGCCCGGGGGCCCGCCTTCCCCCACCAGCCGCACAGCAAGGTGGAGGTTTTCCGTACGTAGAACCGAGTGTCGCCTCTCCTTTTTTTCTTTTCCCCCTCTCCCCCCTTATTTGTATCCGTCTAACCGTCCACGTGCTAGAAAACATCAACGTGTACAATATTCTCTGCGACTCGGTCGGCATGACGGCGATGCCGAACAACGGGACGCTGCATCTGCCGCTCAGGGTCGTCGGCCTGCACAGCCCGGAGGAGCTTCCTGAGGAGCCGGCCGACCCAGTCCAGTCGACCGAGACGACGGCGGCAACGACGTCGTCCGTCGCCCCGGCCGGCACAAGCGGCAGTCCCGCAGCCTCTGGGCCCCCCTCCCCGACCGCTGCGGCCGCCGGCAAGCCGGCGGAGCCCAGCCCCGCGCCGCCAGACGACGAGGCTAAGGGTGAGGACGGGAGCCAGGAAGGCGACGGCAGCCAGGACGAAGGCGGCTCGTGGTGGACGAACGCGTGGGATTGGGTCAAGGGCCAGGTCAACGAGCTCATCGACTCGATCAAGGGACTCGGCGACGACAGCTCCTAGTAGAACCGTCTCTCTTTTTCAGCAGCATACTTCCACCCTGATTCCCCCTTACTTTTTCCTCCCTTCCTTTCCTCGCTTATGTGATATTTTAGCGTTGGTTCCCCCTTTTGTGCAGCCGCGGTTTGGGCAATACGATGTGTCTGCGAATCCTCTTCCCGCCCTGGTCAGTATTGACGAGCTGGGATGGCAGGCAACTGGCGCTGGTGGCGTCGTTTTATTCTCTCTTGATACTATAGTTTAATCTCGAGGAGGGCGCCGAGAGGGGCGGGTTGTGCCTTGGGGGATGCCTCGATTCCCGCTGTGGTTCTAGTTGGTATTCGCTATTCGCTAGGTAGTGTAGAAGTACTCGATCCAGCCAAATCGCCTCCCCCCTAGAACGGTGATATCGTTAACTGCTCTACGCGGGCTTCACGGTGTTATGGCTGAATCTAGTGCAACTTGTCTTCGCCCTTCCATCCCAGTACCACTTCTCGAGCAACTCGAATCACCATAACCTTGGCTCACAGTACCTCTGATGGCCATCTTAGAACAGCATGGGTGGTAGGGGGGTCAGAAGCTAACTTGATTCACACATCCGCTGGTTACCCTACACGCGACAACTGCAGCTGTGTGTATGTATGTATAGAACGCTGAAGCAAGGGAGGGAACAATTCAGATTCATGTCGCATGATGATATCCGAAATCGGCATCCTAGTGCTGTCTTCCTTTTGATAGACATGACCCGGACCCTTTGCGCCAAGCACAGTGATCACACCCGCAACACCGTCGATATGTTCTCAATTCTGAGGTAAAGGCGTTACTTCTGCTCACAACAACTAGGGATGGGCATCCTGCCTCTATTCCACCCACAACCCGGGATTTTACGGTGGCGCGCTTCCAGCCGCGACTGGTGGTGAACTTGTTGCAGAGCAGCCAAAACCCTGTCTGGGCTACGGTGGTGCAGGTAAAACATGAGGCCGACTAGGCCGTATGCTCGCAGGCCGCCGCAATGCCCTCGAAGGTTTCGCAGACGACGCCGTCGTCTGGGTTCTCTTCGTCCGTGACGATACGCGCCTGCGCGCGCATATCACGCCGCGTTTGAACTCCCGCACGATACGAGAGATCATGGCGCTGAGTTCGAGCTTGAGCACCATGCGATACAAATGGATGTAAGCCGCGAATTGGACATCGTCTCCCGTGGTAACCTGCGCGTCAAGAGTACTCCAAAAGGGACCTACTTTAAAACTAGGCTCGAGAACCTAGTTGAACCATTGTGACCGCGACGTGAGGCTGTGCTTGTGTGCCTTCCAAGTACGGCCGCCGCATACGAGGATAATGCCAGAGAATGCGCCGCTCCCAGGAAGCGTAGCCTCCGCGCGTCGGCGCACCAACGAGGACACCATGAGCAGCGTAGTGAAACCACCCATACGTTTTTTTGTCACCGTAAAATGGATCGTTCATGGCCGCCTCTGGAATGGATTGCGCGCAAGCAGGGGACACTCTCGTCCGGGCGAGCAATGAATGCCTTCTTCGGGATTGTCGAGCGTTCCCGACGACTACGGGCGTACGAAGAAAATAAAGACAATCCAGATCCATATAACGCGGCAGGAGAGGGGAGAGGGGGGGAAGAGGGAGGGGAAGAACCGGGGATCAGTCCACCCTCAGCTTCACTAACGCGTCTTTCCTCCAGCAGAGCTTCGCCAACAGCTTCCCTAGCATGGGTAAATGTGGCGATGTAGTCATTGCCACAAACTACCTGGTAAGGGTATATCTGGAAGCACAAGAGCGAGCATGCTTAGGGTGTGTGGTTTCGATGAACACCGAGAGTTCCTTATGTTACGCGTCGCCCACGGCCGAACCTGAAGCTCGTCAAGCACAGAGAAGCTCGCGGTCACTTCGGCGGCGCCTTCGCGACGCTGCTCCTCCTCGAGCACTCCGCAGTCGGGGACCCGGCGCTGCTCAAGTAGGCAGGCACCGGGCCTACCGCTATTCGAGGCTGGGGGTTCTTGCTGGTATTCCCGTGGGACGGAGGGACGAGCACCCGTTATGGTGCAGCGTTAAGTGGTGCCTCGGCTCGAAGTAGGTAGCTCACAAATTTCAGCGGTCACACGGCGTAGAGTCCACGATGGCGTCAGGGAGAATAGAGGGGCAGGATGTCCAGGACAGACATCGCATTGCCCGGGGCTATTCCTCGAACAGCGTAGCTTTGAAGCTTTGAGAGGGAAACCCTAGGGTTTAACTGACCGATAGCCCTAGAATAGCGGGAGGTATCGGGGCAAAATACATGTCTATAGTAGAGGGGGGCGCCGAGGGGGTGCAAGTAGTAGAGAGAGAAAGAAGCCCAGGAGGCTAACCCCGCCAGAACACAAACTCGATACTTACCCTCACCTGCGCCATGCCTTACGTAATGCTGTACTGTGCAGTACCGCTGCCCGCACCTGCTTTAGGTAAGAGGCGCCGAGTGCCGGGCACGAGAGGATGGCACTTTGAGGGGGGGGTGGGGGGATGGACGCGCGAGAACCCCACCTGCCTCGAGGGAGCCAACCACCCGCATTATCCCCACACCCTTGTCATTTATTTTTTCCCCATTACGTCATTGGATCGTCCCTGGCCTTCTTCGCCAGGGTACCCCCCCTTGCCTGGTCCCCACCCAAGACGCGAGGCTGACCATGAATGGATGCATCTTTTTTTTTTTTTTTGCGAGGCTGGCCGAGATGTGCCATTTCTCCATTCTCGTCCCCGTTCAATTCGATCCGCCTTTCACCGACTGCGACGCGGCCCTGCGCGAGCGCCGACGGACCACGACGCGACGACGCCCCGATACCCCTCCCCTCGCCGCCGCTAGGCGATGCGCCCGGTCGCGCCATGACAATTACGCCGCAGACGCCTGTCCCGCCCGCGAGACCGCCCTAGGTCGAGAAATCCGATCCGACATCCACCGCGCGCCCCTCCGGCCACCTCCCCCCCCCCCGGGTTAGCCCGCCTTCGAAAACCGCACCAGCTGCCGTCTGCATGGCTGCCCCGACGTCGCTCAAGGGCGCCGCCGCCTTCGTCCCGCGCGCTGTGTTCGACGTGTCGTCGTCCATCACGCGCACCTACTTCCTGGGCCACCACGCGGCCGCGCTGGCCAACATGCGCCGGTCGCTGTCCGACATCGGGCTCGTGATCGAGTGCCGCGACAGCCGCGTGCCGCTGGCGTCGGCGAACCCGCTGCTCGACGAGGCGCTCGCGGGGCGGCCGCGCGTCGTCGTCTACACCAAGGCCGGCCTGTGCGCGCCGCCCGGGTCCGGCCGCTGGATCCAGCGCCAGCAGCTGCGGCTGCAGCAGTTGCGCGCCGGCTCGCTCCCCGCCGCGTACCCCGGCGTCCCGCGCCTCGGCCCCGGGCCCGGCGGCGAGGGCGAGGAGCGAGCCGACGACGAGAGAGCCGACGAGTACTACGGCGGCCGCCCCGGCCTCCACCGCCGCGCCGAGGTCGTCTTCACCGACAAGGACAACCTCCGCTCCGTCGAGGCCCTCCTCGCCATCATCAAGCGCCACGCCGCCGCCGCCGAGTCGCTCACCGGCCTGCGCGCCCTCGTCGTCGGCATGCCCAACGCCGGCAAGTCCACGCTGCTCAACCTGCTGCGCCACGCCGGCATGTCGCGGGCCAAGGCCGCGCGCACCGGCGCCCAGCCGGGCGTCACCCGGTCCTTCGGGACGCCCGTCCGCATCGTTCCGGCGCCTTCGCCGCCCCCGACCTCGTCTCTTTCCTTGCCGCCCCCGTCGCCGTCGCCGTCCCCCCCACCCCCGCCGCCACTATCGTACGCCGAGGAGTTCGGCGGCGGCGTCTACCTGATCGACACGCCCGGCGTCTTCGTGCCGTACGTCGCGGACCCGGAGGCGATGCTCAAGCTGTCGCTGGTCGGCTGCGTGCGCGACGGCATCGTCCCGTCCGAGACCCTCGCCGACTACCTCCTCTTCCACCTCAACCGCCGCGACCCCGCCCTCTACGCCGACTTCTGCTCCCCGCCCACCAACGACGGCGGCGCCTTCCTCGACGCCGTCGCCCGCCGCACCGGCAAGCTCGCCCGCGGCGGCGTCCCCAGCCGCCCCCACGCCGCCGACTGGGTCGTCCAGCGCTGGCGCGCCGGCGCCCTCGGCCGCTTCCCCCTCGACGACCTCGACGACGACGCCACCCTCCGCGCCGCCGCCGCCGCCGCTGCCGCCGCCGCTGCCAGCGCTGGCAGCCGCCCCCTCAGCCTCCACCAGGCCCGCAAGCGCGAGAAGGAGGCGAGGAAGGAGAGACGTGCTGCCAAGAGAGGGCGGTCCTAGTGGGCGGCGGAAGTTGACCTCTTCCGCGGGATATCCGCCTAGATACATCCCCGGCACGTACGGAATGTGAGTAGTGCAGGTTGTCATAACGGATATTCACACCAGCATTTTGCATTATCATATATATATATATATATGTATGTTTTTAAAAAAGCGCGACGAAGCGCTCAATTATACACGAGATAAGAAGATCGGGGTATATTGTAGATACAGCAAACACCGCGCCCGTAAATGTGTGTGTGTGTGTGTGTGTGTGGTAGTAGTAGTAGTAGTAGGTATTGATGATGCGATTCCCGCCCGATCCGATAACGTATTCGTCTTCAGATACGTCAGTCCTTACTTCCAAAGAGTCCGAGACTCCCAAACAGCCAAATTGACTCCGGTAGGTACAATTATAATGCGAGCAAGGAGCGAGGTGGCCGACACGATGGTTTTACTCCTCGAAAGAAACCGAAAACCTCAATAAACCCATCAAACAGTTCCCACGAATGTAACGCCGAGCAATGCAGAAGGGATTTTTCTCTTGAAAAAAAAAAGAAAAAGGGAACGAAAGGAGAAACAAACACAAGGCAAGGGGGGGAAAAAAATACAAGAAGTCTGGTCACCCGCTGAGAGCTGGGCCGACAAACACCGATGAACGCTTCTGGATAGACATAATGGAGTTAGGCTAGGCCGTAAACTCTTGCTGCCATTTCACTAGATCTCGAGTCAACGCGTCCATCATTTCGACACAGGACAAGTCTTTGAACTCCTTTAATGGCGAGACGGAACTGGAAGTACCGTTGCTTATCGGCCCGTTCAAGCCTGTAGCGGCTTTCTCAGGCTTCTTGCACTTGTCGCCGTTCGCCTTGACTGGAGACGCGGTACCGGTGGCTCCGTTGCTCGCGCTGTTCTGTTGCGATCTCGCGGTCGGCTCTGACAACGGATCGCTTGCCAGCTCGACTTGGGTCCTCGTGATATATTCTAAAATATTGTTGGCGCGTCTCTTCATATCCGTCATCGTGATTCTCGAGTTCATTCCCCCTTTCGACTTGCTCTGCTTGGTTGCGGTATCGTGAGCCGAGGACTTGCCGTGCGAGGTGCCGTTTTCGTCTCCGTTTCGTGTGACATCGCGCGAAAGAGACCTTGCTGGCGACGCGTCATGATCCCGGTTTTCACGATCTTTGGTGTATTGGTTCCTGCCCTTCTTCCTCTGGTTTGTTGTCTTTTTCTTATGCGTGTTTGTCGGGGCAGGGACCGCGGGCGGCGTGTCTGGAGCGGGCAGAGATGACTGGGGGGGTTCTGGTGGTTGCGCCGATTCTGTCGTCCTGTTCGCCACTGCGCGGGCAGCTAGAGGTATTTCTTCAGAGGGATCAGAGTCTACGTCCACGTTAGCTGTTTGTTACCCGTTCCATAGCAATATCTAAGAACTTACCGTCTGCCCGTCGACGTTCGGCACGTCCTTTTCGCTTATTAGCCGCCTCTGCCCGCTTCCTTTCTTGTTCTTCACGGCGTTCATCCCTCTCGGCCTTTTCACGTTGGTTTCGCGCTGCGTTCCGGGATTTTTTGGACGATCCATTTCGCGCGGCCAATTCGTCGTCAGACTCTTCGGGAGGAACGGACTGCGGCCGCTCGATTTTGGGAGAAGGGGACTTGGAAGTTGTTCGCTGCCTTTTGACGCCCTCAATCTTCCTACGCAATGATTAGCCTTTGTGAACACCATTATCGTGGTAACGGGGACGCACTCTTCGCTATCGTCCCTCCCTCGCTTGGGGCGCCGGGGCGGGGCTTCTGTGACTTCAGGGATGGCATCTTCTTTGCTCGCTTCGATTGCTCGACGCAGCTGTTCTTCCTCGTCATAAGCAGCATCTCTGCTATTCATGGTGGAGCGACGTTTCGACGTATGCGTCGCCACCGTGGAACGCGAGCTTTTAGTGGTGCCGCTCTTGGGGGATTGTGCGCCATCCTTGGCCGTGGGAGTAGACCGCGAGCCGGCTCGGGAGGGTCGATGAATAGGTAGGTAAATTGAATACTTTTGTCTAGGCGCCATAATGTCAGTACGGGAAGGGGGGGGGACAGATTGACGAGAGGTGAGGCTCCGGTGTATTAGGGAAAAAAAAGGAATGTGGTTGGGAAGAAGCAGTAGGATCGGCAAGGGCGCGACCATAAGCACTCCGCCGCAGCTGAAGTACCATTCATGCGACCAGTTTCCAACTGTCACGAGGGTTCGGCAAGAGAACAGAACTCACCCATTGCTTGCTGTGTATATCTTGTGTAAATCTTTACGACACTTTTCGCAGAAGTATTGAACGGCATCGGGATTGGTCTCTTCGGCAAAGCCAACGCAAGCACCATGCTGCCAGGTGTTGCAGATCTCGCATTGCACGTAAAAACCGGCCAAGTCGTCGGTGACTTCGATGGCAAAGATCCGCTCGTGGTCAATTGCGTCTTTGAGACCGTGCTTCGAGTCCTCGTCGAAGGGAGGCGGTCCCGGGTATTCGTCGTGGCCACAAATGCATCGGACGGCCTCGTCATCGTCCTGGAGCTCGTCGCCAACAGCAGCCATGCCGGGTAATTCGACTTTGGGTTGTTTTTCGCGTTCGTCTTCTTTCCCGCGCGTACTCCGTCGGCGGAGGATGGTGTCCTCGTTGGCTATAGGCATCGAATCTTCGGGAGGCTCTGAGGACAGAGACCCGCTGCCGGTCGACTTTTGAGGCGAGCCGGTCTTCGTGAAGGCCCTCGTACTTCGCTCAGCTCGGCCCGACGCACTAGATGCGCTCGAGGTGTTGTGTGATTGTGATTGGGTCGCCCGCGCACGAGAGGAGCGTCGAGTCGGGGAGGTGCCAGCCATCGTTCGTGGTGTAGGCGACTGGTCGAAATGGGATGGAGGGAGAGGGGCGTGAGACACGGAAGAAGGAATGAGTATCGAACTTCGGTGGCAGGTAGGAGAGAAAAGAGAAGGAGATGGGACTATTTGAGGCTTCCGAAGGATATTTCCAGTTTGCAGCTAGAGTTAGGGTAGGCCGTAGGGTGATTGGCCGCGACGAAGGGTAGTCAGAGGTAGGAGAGCGGAGGTGGTTGGATGAGGGAGACGAAGACCAGAGGATGCTCCCAGGGCGACCAGCAGGAAGCTCTTGAAGCAATGCTGGCTACGAGAAGTCAGGCAATGGAGGATATAGACATCGCAGATAAGCATTCAGGGCTATCATGACTGAAGGTGATGCTCGCGAAGGTTGCCGGTAGCTTGGAAAAGGTGGTGGATGGGAGAGGGAGGGGAGAATGGGTTGGTGAAGGCGAGCAGAGTCGGTCGCTTTTTTTTTGGAGGGAGAGAAGAGAGCGAGAAGAGAACCTCTACTAGTGTTAGCGAGCGGGAGCAGGAGCATTGCATTCGGTATGTACCTCCTTCCCACATTACCTAGGTACATTAGGTACCTGGCAACCTGCCTCGCAGGTACATACGTGAAGGTACCCGTGCTGGTGGTGGCCATGTACCCACACATGCCACTCTAGGTGTCCGGGTACATCCCGCCTACATCAGCAATACAACCTTGCCGTCTCACCTTTCCCGGGTTGCAGCAACAGCTTGACCTGAGGTCTAGGAGGAGGTAGATGGGTCATCGCTCGGCGCGGGCAGAGAGACTCGCGCGGCTAACCTCCTCACCACCTTTGGTTCCCAGGAGGTGCGTACATCAAGTACCTTAGGTACCTAACCTACCTCTTGCAAGCTTCCGCCTCGCGCCTCGCGCCTCGCGCTGGAGACCCTAGGTAGGTACCTAACATAGGCGACTGCCCGCTAAATAGGTACCTACCCCAGGTGTAGGAGGCAGATATCGGCGCGCCGGTGGCATAGCAGCAAGCAACGCTACTTATCTATTAGTACTTACCTCCGACAGCTACCCCGTTTTTTTTTCACCTTTTATTTCCCTTCTCTCTCCCAGATGACCCTATTCAGAGTAGTTTTACTCTTTTCCCAATCTTCAGTCGAATTCCTTATCGTTGCTGAGCAGTGGATCCGAGCGCCATCGGTGTCCCGCGAGTTCCGTAGGTCCTCAGCCGGTCCAGCTCCAGGGAATACTACCCAAGTAGGGAAGTACCTGCGCGCATGCACTCCCCTCTTTGCTTGCCGCCGGATAGGGCGCGGGGCATTGTGCGCAGAAACTGTATTCCCACGGTATTTCGCTACTACCCACCCAAAGGGCCAGGTGCACAATCGCATACCTTGGGCGGGTTATAGGAAGGATCCTACTCCACAAGGATTTCCAGGAAGGAAAAGCTACACAGTGTGCGAATCCCCGACAACGTACTCATACAACTTCGGGGAAGCCAGTACTAATAAGTAATTACATTAGGTCGATAGGTATGACGGAGTAGGAGATATCTCTTAGTCTTTTTTCCCCTCTTTCATTAGGGTTGGGTACCTATGTAGATTCCGAGACGACGGCTTAGGTATTTTAGATAGGAGAAATGATGTTGACAATCAGGGCTGTTACACCCAAGCGCATCCGTATACGGGGCAGAGTGCAGTCCGACTCAATCTCGATAGAGTTATTCGCCTGTCGATTTCGTGGGAAAATTCAAACAGTTAGGATTATGGAAAGAAGAATCGATGGCTACACGCATGGGGTTACCTACGTGGTTCACGTTACGGGCTATACAAGTCTATATATGTGCGCTTACATAACGATGCTCGGAGGTGGGACGGGAATGGAAATAGCATCACACCTGGACAAGTTTCTATACATCCCACCCCATGGATGCAAGTACCTAATATAGGTAACACATCGGATGAATGTACCTACCCGCGTATGTACGATTACAAGCCTGGCATTGCCTGAGGTAGGAGATACTTCAGAAACCTGTGATCGATGTCGGCTCACGGGTCAAGGCATGCACCTGGTCGATGTAGTAGGTACATACAATCATATGTACCTCCTAACCTTAGGTACCTAGGTACCTACCTCATGTACTTGTGCGTCCGGGTGGAGGGGACAGCAGGGTTTCAAGCCAATCTGGCCGGTTACGTGTAGTAGGGATTTGCACATTATTAATGGGGTAAAAAGGATGGACCATACCCGCTCGCAGAAACTACCAAGGTACGTACCTAGCCCCGGCCGAGGAGGGGGGGAACATGTAGGATGGTCTGCTTATGTAACAGCCACTCGCAACCTCGCAGATACCCCCTACCAGATGTACAGTACTTGCCAGCGTCGTCCTCTCTCTGTGCGGGCTTCCAGCGTGGTTCATGATGGTATGGTACAAGGAAGTACCTCCGAGTGCTCGTCGACTTGCCGCCGATCAGTCGGGCAGGCAATTGCAATACCTCGTTCATTTACAGACTTCGCAGGGCACAACACAGGCGCACACACACGGTACCTAAAGTGACCTATTGCTCACCACTTCCAATACCTCCGTCCCTGTCCCTCCCACCTTGTTACACCATGTCTCTACCTACTAAATCCAACCCATCCATCATAACCCATCCACTCATCTACCCATTTGATGCGTTGCTGAGCCCATAACCCCAACCACGAACCGCAACTGCGTACTGCCATCGCTACGACAACAATCCCATACCACTGCGAGCCCGAGTCTGCTGCTACACCCTTACTGCATCTTACTATCTTCGGTTCTGGGGCCGCTCTGCATACCCAGCAGCATTCTAGCAGACGCCCTCGGGCTTCTTCGTTGCCTGTGGGAAATCATCTCCTCCTCAAGCTCCCGTCCGCCCTCCTTCGAGACAGCGAGGTGGCGTCTCGCACACCTGAAGTGGTTCCCAATCCTGTGGAGGATTTGCTGTGGGCAGCATTGGTCACCCCAAGCCCACCACCTCCACGACTCGCCTCAGGTTGTCATTCCTGTACGTATGGACAATACCATTGTCATTGTTTCCTGCTCCCCTGGGGGGCAACGGCACGCAGGCGAGGGGCTAGCTGAGTGACACCTCCTATCCGGCAACCACTTCCGTCAGGGTTGCCTGCGATGTTGATCGAGAGTCGATGTTAATGTGGCCACGCAACGTATAGAAAAGGAGAAAGAGTGTATTCCGGCAACGCCCCTCCGACCAAGAGTCGCTCTGCTTCCTTCGAGCCCGCCGTCTAGCTGTTCGGTCGGTCTTTCGTCTCGCGATAGTTTCCACGATAGGGTGTGCAACCCCCCTCCCCCGGACGAGACGAACGAGTCGGTTGTTGAAAGGAGAGGTTGTCCTACTCTGAAGTGATAACCATTGTAAAAACGATATGTAATGGGTACGTTGCTCTCTTGGGTGCAGACTATATTCAATGAATTGAATGAGAGTGGGGAGAAATGCGTATATCCTCGTTGCCGAGTAACTCGCTACTCGACAGTAACAACAGCAACCCCCTGTCACGGGATAAGATCTCCGGCTATGAGAAGTTGCTCTCTCGTCCCTCTGCGTCTCTTCGCCCCTCTCTTAGCCGCGGCACTGTTGGTTGCGTCGCAGGTTTCTCACGTCTTTGCAAACACCGCTGTCTGGGTCAACCGTGAAGACACGCTTGTCTCCTCGTTTGTTTCAGCATGTGTTATTACCTTGTCTCTATGGCCAAAGCCGCGTGGCTAACATTCTCGTGGTATCCCCGCAAATTAGGCCATTCAGACAACATGTCACCCGGATCTTCTTCCCTGCTGTTCTCCGAGCGGCCCATTCGACCTCTCCCGAAACGTCGACTACGCGAGCGACTATCGCCAGATGTTGCCGATAGCATCCAGTACCCGCCAGCACCTCAGACAACAGCCCCTCTATTTGCTTACCCGTATAACTCAAAGGAGGATTTAGCCCCGCTGGGTGCTGATCATCCAAATGTTGCTCACCGAGAGAATGTTGCTGAGCTAGGCCAGGAAACTAGCCTCCGTCGAGCTGGCCTAGGGACGGACCAGGATGACCAATCTCTAACCGGGCCATCCCGCAGGTCTTTCCTCTCACGGTCGCTTCACGATTCACCGGGGCACGCGGCTCGTATTCCCTCGCGGCAAACCCAAGCTCGACATCCAAACCCTCAGCCACCATCCTCGATCGCATCTTCGGCAGACGGGTACGATTCTTTCGAAAACAGCAACAACAAAAAGAAGAGAAAGATTCCGACGGCTGGTGAAACGACGATGAATGGCCCGCACGTGCTGAATGATCTAGGCGCGCTAGGAGTGCCGTCACCACCAACCACTGGCGATGAGGGGTCCATAGATACCTCGGGGGTAACCTCGACGCCTTATTATCAGGCCGGTAGCTCTGCCTCTAATGGACAGGGGATCTCGGGACCGGGTCGAGGCCGGTATGGGCGTGTTCGCAACGGTAGGAGCCCTTTGAGAGCACTCTCAGACCCGAATAGCAACTGGGGAAACCGCACTCCCAATAAACTGAGGTCAACTGGTGCTCAGTATCCATCCCCGCCCGCTGGTAAGTTGAGCTTGACGAATTTCATTCTCTCCTGTCGGTTTTGTCTCTGCCCCAGCTCAAACCCCTATCTGGGTTGCCACAACCCCCCTCCCCTCCCCCCTTCCCCACCCCCAAGCCCTCCCTAGGGCGACATAATGTCATAATATAGGATACTAGACTCGATAGCTAATCTCATCGAATGACCTCCGAGCAGAGAATTCGGGAATCATATCGAGTGCGATTGCTAGTGCCGAGAAGCTTCCACTGCCTCAGGGCCAAGAAAACATCAGTCTTCTACATCAGGAAGCATCGCTAAGACAAAGCCCAACATCGTCCACACAATTCACCTTCACATTCGATCCACAGAATCCTGTCTCGTGGCCGGGGTCTGATCCGGCGCCTCCCAATATGGGACAGATGAATCAAAAGCAACATTCTCCCTTACCGGCAGACTACCGCGACCAGTACAACAGCGTCGGTGCCAGAGCCGCTCAGAGCCAAAGCGGACCACCACCATCAAGCAGGTCGGGGGGTGCACAGCAGGCCTCCAGCGTAACCGGCGACGGAGGGACAAAAGGTACAGCCCAGCCAACCGCACCCCCTAAAAAGCCAAGGCGTCGCGGCAACCCGCTCCTGCAGGCGGCCAAACAACGCCGGCGCGAGACCGAGTATCAGAATTATCACCACCCCCCAGCGTCAGAAGATATCTGGATTTGCGAGTTCTGTGAGTATGAGCGGATTTTTGGCTCCCCTCCGGAGGCATTGATCCGACAATACGAGATCAAGGATCGCCGGCGGCGTCGAGATGAAGCCGAGAGGCGTAGGCTGTTTGAAAAGGCCAAGATGAAGTCGCGCAAGGGAAAGAAAGCCAGCAAGCTTCCCGCCAAGAACAATGCCACCACTCCGGACCGTCACACCGCGCCCTCGGTTGGACAGCAGGCCTCACCGCACCCACCTGTCCCTCCACCGGTCCTGAACGATCACGACGACGATAATACTCTCCATCACCACCAGATTTGCAACGAAGGCGGCGAGACACGGAGCGACGGCGGGTCCGATTCGGAGGACCAGTACGATGACCGCAGCGCAGAGGGTGAACTGCCTGATCCGGTGCCCGTCTCTAGGAGGCTCCCCTCCGTGGTTAAAGAGCTCTATGTTGGCACGTGAAGGAGACATTGGGGCGCGGTCGGGGGTTTTGCAGCGTCTCGAACCTCTCAGCTTTAGCGCTACCATCATTTCTGCTCACAAGCGTGTCCGCCGAGCTGCCTCTCCGCTTTCAGTCCCAAAGGCTCTCGACCACCTAGATAGACGAGCCCGTAGACTATCCTAGAATTCCAAAATCCCTCGCTCGTCCTCACCCCTGGAATCTGCTTCCGCTCTTTATTTTTACACATCAATTCCCAGCGCGGCACTGCGTCGGGCGATGGGCGGGAACTCGGCAACACGAGCAAGGTTAGGGATGGATGCGTGCGGTCGAGGGTCGATGTCAAGACGAATAGAGTACGCAATACGATGTGGCACGCTTGAGTGTTACCATCAACAACCCATCATCAAGTTAGCATCAATGTCGGCCGCGCGTCGAGCGAGTTCTGTAGACCATATAGATCTTAAGTCTACTGCGCATTCCAATACGGGCCAAAACGTGACAATGTGGTGTTATGCTATGTTCTGATGGCCACCAGGTAAGCAACCATCTGCAGATTGTCCCCCTACCCCTTGTAGGTGAATGGACCGCCCCCTACGAAAAATTGGATAACTGAAAGAAGGGCGAGCGGGATGTGAGATCGGGCAGAGGCAATGATGCACGTGTCGCATTATAGAGCCTACCATTAGCAACCTCTTCGTAGGTATATATATTCACCCAGCTTCCACTGCACTAAACCCCAACAAGAGGCGCCTCCCATGTACCTAGACCTAAGATAATAGTAGATACAGACGAGAGGTAGATACCTAGACATTACCTGGTATGGACATTAGGTGCCGACCTACTTGGGTAGGTTACCGTAGGTGCGGTACCAACCATCGCAAATACAGGTAGGTATCACCTACGAGATAATACACGATGCCTAATCCAGGTACCAACTTATATTGCATTGGAGGTAGATATAGACACATATCACACTCTCAACTTCTTGAGCTGAGCTCGATAGGTACCTCTATATTAGGGAGATAGGCACGTACACGCCCCCAAATGGGCCAGGCATATCTGCCTATACCGGAAGGAAGACGGCCTCTACTCATGAACAGGCAGGGAATTTATTTCATACAGGAGCACGTTTTGAGGTCTCTGACCGATATGCGTTCCCTTTAGATATATAGCTAGATAGATACATATATATATATATAGTGCTGCGCTGTTCTGGCGACGTGACGTCATCGGAGGGGGTCCTCGAGGACGGAGGACATCCGGAGGACCCGTTTGTCCACGTTAATTTTTTCGAAATTGCATTGGGGCCGGCTACGTGGAAGTGCACAGGGAAGAGAGACGGGGGAGAAGATGTGCTGGCATGCTAATGGCTGGCTGGATTGTATGCAAGGCACGCAACATGCCTACTATACAACCCTAAAAGGCATTCGCCGCTCGCTCCCAACGTGCTGCTTGCCAACCTCCGGTACTTCCTAAGTCCTCTGTGAGGGTAGGCCTCGTTCAACCCCGAACCCTCCGCCATCTGAGGCGGGCTGTGTGTAGGTACGTCTGAAGTCACGATTGTCTGTGAGTGTGCATGTACTTAGGTATGTATATATGTATGCGTATATACAACTGGGGGTGCGGTAACGACGCGTAACCAACTACCTACCTAGAGGTATCTAGCATCGAGCGTCGGACCCTTGGATATTCCCCAACGGCCAATTTGCAGTCGCGGGCCGTCCAGGATCCATTCTGAACTGGCAGCTGAACAGGGCGGCCCACTACCTACCAGCCTAAGTGGACAGGGCCGTGTACGAGCAGGTCAAGGCTATGTTCCTCGGAACCACCAGGAAGTACAGACGGGACGAAGCCCAGGTTTTTATGTGTTATAAGATACCGCTATAGGAGGTAGGTAGGTAGGTACTTACATAGGTATACAGTAGATCGGAGGTAGGTACCTAAGGTTAGGGATAGGCTAGGTGTAGGTACCTATGTGTAGGTACACCTTAAGATGATTTAGGCAGCGTAATATGCTGTTCACCTGATGGCCATTCGTCCCGTACGTCATGGGTGCATCGAATCCATGCGCCGCGATGGAGTCTCGCCGGCGGTACCTGCTTTGGTAGTGGAGTACATCAGGTAGGTGAGGTGGCGGTACCTAAGCTGATATGTAGCGGCACGAAGCTGTATGAGTACAGAGGCTGCAAGGTCCTGTCTGGAGGTGGCAAGCCGATGCGGACGGGAAAGCTGCTGGAAAAAAAAGGGTCGGGCACAGCCGTGCGAAGGATGGGGGGAGAGAAGGCGGGTAACATCACCTTAAGGCGGGCATGTAACCTCTACCATCACTAGTACTGAGAGGTAGATAGAGGTAGGTATCAAGTCAAAAGTCGCCATAGGTAACCTTCCTAACCTCGCGATAGGCTCAAATTTGTTGGACGGGAATTGCTGCATGAATCGCTGTGGCTTGACCCTCCTTTTCCCCCCTGTCGGCAGCTCATGGGTACATGGCTAGGGAGGGTAAAGCGTGTCTGCGTCTGTCCATGTACCTACGTGTATGGGATCCATCCGCGCATCCCATCTCACCTCGTTCACGTTTTTGAGAGCTCCCCCCCCCCCTGAAAAAAAAAGGCATCTCTACATCTCTCCCAACTTCTCTCTCTCCTAATTGTCGCGCTTTCTTCCACGTCCGTCCGGAGCCCATCCCATCGTCTGCCATCGTCTACCATCGCCCCGTGCGGTCGCTACCGCGTTCTTGGTGCCCCCGACGCTTCGCACTCGACCCGCACGGTAGCAATACCGCCCAGCCGTCGCACCTCGCGATATCCGTCATAATCCCATATGCGGCCCCTACTTTTATAGCTGATGCGGACCGGGCGCCGAGCCTGTCACGCTGCCCTCCACCATGTTCACCAGCTCGCGGAGGCATCGGCCACCAAACCCTGTGAGTGTCTTGCTTTCTTCCTAGCGCCGTCTTTGTTTCGACGCGCTATTGTTATTGTTGCCACTGTACGTCCAGGATCTAGTCCGTGATCTAGTGCCCATATGCTTAAAGGGGGACCAGCCCGGCCGGCTGATTATTGGTCGACTGCCATCAAAGCCGAGTCTCTCCATTGAGTTGCACGGTTCCTTCATAATGATGACGATCCTCCCCTATACCGTCGTGCTTTGCTCGCTCTCGCTCTGCTGCTTCCTCTCCTCTTTCCTATGCGCTCGTCATCGCTAACACCCAGCCCTAAATCTCATTATCAGCCTCTAAATTCCACCACCGCTAACCCGAATGCTACGTCCGCCGCCGCCTCCGCCTTCATGTCTGCCTCGAGTCAGAAGCCCAACAGGACGCTCTCGTCCGCCGCCGCCGCCGCCGCCCTGCGAGCGCGTCCCCATACCCCCACAAATGTAGGAGAGGTGCAGACAAAACGGATGATGCGTCGAAGTGCCTCCGTATCCTCGTCGGGTAGCGTCTCTGCTGCCGCCGCCGCTGCCGCCAGCACGAATACTTCACGCCCAACTGGGCAGCTGCAGAGGAAGGTTAGCTCGGGGAGCATGACGGAACGCACCTTTCGAAGCCCGTCTCCACATCGGACCACATCGACAAGAGAAGCGGAAGAACGCCCCCCCGTGCCTCAAATACCCGACGGCCACAAGAAGTCGGCAAGCCTCACCTCTGTCGCGACGGGGATGCAAACCTTTCAGACCGCCTCCCAGAAGATGAAGAGCAGCCATCCTTCGTGGTACACACAGCCGTCGGGCGATCCGAGTAATGTGAGGACATCGGATGCGCCGATGCGGACGAGTACGATCCAGCCGTCCAAGGCAGAGATCCCTCCAGTTACATCGCCACGACCTGACAGCCGAAGCTCTTTGGTAAACTTTTCGTATCCCACCGCATTTCGGACCCAATCTCCTCCGGATTCCCCTGGTTCGACTCACGCGCTGCAACTAAGTGGCCCGCCACCCCGAACGCCCGCGTCGCCGCCAAGATCCAATCGAGCTTCGATATCTTCGTCCGCAGGCGGACCACCCGATCAACCGATGGTCTACGACCCAAATTCCAGGAGGATGGTTCCGAAGGCAGCGTTGGGTGCCGCTGAATACTACTATATCAAGGAGGCCACCGGAAGAAAGCAGAAGAAGAAAAAAAAGGACGGGGTACGGAGGGAGGGTGACTACCCGACGAAAGGAGCGGTTGGGAGGGCTAAGGCATCTACCATGGGCAACGATGCGACTGAGCCAGATTTCCCAAAGCGAGAGCAACCCGTCTTCGAAGCAGCATCGACGGAAGAAGAATCGCGGGTATTAGAAGAGCCCACAGTAAGACCCGCCATCACGACGTCAATAAAGCAGGAGCAGCCACAGGATGAACACCAGAAGGACCGGCCGGCGCGGGCGCACGATTCTCTCAAGTTCAAGCCTGATGCCCCCCCGCCACCCCGGCAAGCTTCCCGTGACCCGGTCGCGAGCTCCGTAACTGGTCTTCCTTTGGGGAGGAAACCGTCGACCGTACACGAAGAAAACGAGGAGGCTGACGAGCGAGTCGATCGTCCTGTTCGGTCATCCCAGAAAGTGCTCGATGCACTAGACGCCGTGCCGACAAGGCAGTCTATCTACGAGGCCCCCGAGAAAGAGCAGAATTATAGCCAAGATCCAGGACGAGTAACCTCTCCAGTCGAAAATACCGCTACGAGAGAGAAGAAGGATGTCCGAGTAGAAAACAAACCCATAGAGAACAAACCGGTTGTCGAGCTTGCTCAAGAAGAAGTTGGTATGAGACGATCAGCTTCTAATAGCCCGGTCCGCCAGGCCCGTTTTTCCACGTCCCCCTCGGATAGTCTTGCGGTGCGACATACTCCTCTGCCAAGGTCGGCATCGCCTATCAAGTCAGCATTGAAGCGTAGCAGTCCGACGCCTCGGGATATGTCACCATCAGATAGAGACTCAAATATCTCGGGATCCCGCGGCGTGTCCCCCCACCAGCCAGAGGAGCAGGGGATTTCTCGCAAGAAGTCGGTTCGCGTTAGTTTTGATGACAGAACCATGGCGAAGGTCGTGGGAGAATCTGCACCCGTCGAGGATGTAGACTCGCAAGTCCCTCCAAGCCCGCAACACGTCAAGCGACCCTGGTATACCACCATTGGTCGTAGCAAACGAAGAGAATTTACTCTCGACGACGACGAAATCATGAAGCCTCGGCCTGCACTGCCAAGCTTTGGTAGCATAAGGGATAAGAGAACGAGAGATTCCGGAGAGCGCCCCCTCGTCCGACCCCAGGACCCCTCTTCATCCGCAACGCCTTCGCCGGACATCCATCCCTCTAGCACGGGTACGCCCGGGGAAACTGGCACACCTGGAGAGCTACCTCTCGGCCAGTCCAGTGACCACGCCATAGGTTCGATACTTGCCCAGGAAACAGCCGCGCGGAATGCACCGAATATATCCAGGTTCAGGGAACCGCTACCCCCGGTTGTCACCTCTGTAGAAGGGAACGGCTACGTATCAGATAGTCTAAAGAGCACCGACTCTGACGACGATCTTCTCGATAGTGATGCGGATATGATTACCAGCGCACGAAACGACCCGCTGAACGACGGGACTACGGGAGGAGAGCAAAAGCCCGTCTATTCGAACGAGGAGGTTCCAAATGTCCCTCATACGTCAACACGAGAAGTCCCAGATATCGCCATCATACAGCCCAGCCCAAAGATCCCCGGATCCGACGCTGTGTCTGTGAAGTCGCTGGAGGATAACGTTCTCGACGTCCCAGGGGGCTTCCCAGACGACGCTGATACGGGTCGTGGTACTGATACTCCGCCTAGAGCCACTGAAACCGAGCCTTACAGGGCCGTTTCTTCCCCTACTAGTATCTTCGAGCCGAAGGCAGCACCTCTCGGTCGGCCGGCGGTGTCACCCCAGTTTACGCTCGCCACAACAGCCCCGGTAAGCACGCCAGACGGTGAACCCACAGACAGCTCCGATTCGGACGTATATAGCGATGCGTACGACGATCTCTCCAATGTCGAGGGTGATGGCTACATGTCTTTAGACGCCGTTGTCGATGAGCCCGTCAACAAAGATGCCACATCTCAGCTTCATGAGCTACCAAGCGATGTGCCAGAGCAGAAGGCTTCTCGGGAATCTCAGCCGCAGACCGATGAACAACCTCCAGCTGCCGCTACACCCCGGGAGCCGCCCCAAGACAGGGACGACTGGGAACGGGCAAAGGCGTATTGGCGTACCTTGACAGCCGAGAAGAGGCAGCAGCTAGAACGCGAGGCATTAGAGGAGGCTGGCACCGACGGTGACGAGGATGAGACCCCGCGCCCAGTTCGAACGAGCGATAGTACGAAGGAACTCGTGCAGAAACGGCTGGCGGAGAGTAGCGCCCAGCCGCCGGCCTCGACAAAGCCGCTAGAATCCGCCCCGCAAGTCAACCCAGAGAGAGCATATACAGTTGAGAATGAGTCAAGAGGTGCTCGTCAGCCCGCAACCCCGCCACCAGCTTCGACAAGAATACGATCGTCATTTCGTGCGGAAAACGCTCTACAACCTACAAAGCCGCAAAGTTCAGGGGTCCTACGCAAAACACTGAGGCCCCACCCCGCACCAGAGCAGAACAAGCAACCTTCGCCGGAGCGCGCGAGACAGCATGGAAAGTCGATGTCTGTCTTATCGAAGCCAACCCAGAGTCAAAGTCCGAGAGCCCCTCAAGCATTAGCTTCCGACACATCAAGGGGTGCTTTTCCCAGCGACAGGCCTCGGTCGCAACGTCGGGGGTCCGATGCCAGCGAAAGCAGCTTCAAGCGCAACCGCCCTCCTCGGAGCGGAGGTTTTATGCTCCGCAACTCTATGCGGCCGCAAACCGCCATCGCACCCGCCAGCGCCACCAAGGGCTCCGGACGGTTTAGTTTACGGTCCCTTTCCCCTAGCGGCTCTACGTTCCGTCATAGCCTAGCGACCAATCCTGCGGGCGGCCCTCCCGTCACCATGATGCGGCAGACCATGCGGCCTAGCAGCGTCTCGAGCCAAGAGAAAATACTCTCTTCCATCCACTTCCCGTCCTTCGGCCGGTCCTCCAAGCCGTCTCACGCAATCCGCTCCAAGAAGACCAGTCGATTTGACAACTCGAGCGACGACGAAGACGTGCACCCCCCGGGCTTTCGCAGCCGCTTCGACGATTCAAGCGACGACGAAGACGTTCGTCCCGGCTCTTCGTCACAGCCTAGCCCGCTTGCCAGAGCCACCCTCCGCGGGCGGGCAATCGGGACGGTGGCAGCGGGTTTCAGGAAATCCACACCCGTCCCCGAGGCAGATGAGGGCTCGCCGGAGCTCGCCAACAGCGACGACGACACGATGCCCAGCCCCCTGCAGACCCCTCGACAGCGGTCCAGCCTCCCCAGCGCGGGATTCGCGCGGTCGAACTCGGCGGCCCTCGGAACTTCGGCACTGACACGGTCGCGATCCGGCCGGGGCGGGTTTAACGCATCCTCGTCCGCGCCATCGGACCACGACGGGCGCAGTTCGCTACTCGGGATCCTGCGGAGGCGTAATAAAAGATCGGGCGACCAGGCCGGCAAGATACAGCGATCCGAGCTGACCGAGAGCGCCGCGAGGCGGGACACTCGGCTCGAGCGCAGCAGCGAGAAGCTGAGGGATACCCGCTCCGACCACGGCCGCGCCCCGTCCGGCGCCAAGCTCCGGAAGCTCTCTTCGGCGAGCACGAGAAGCAACGGCTACGGCTGGCCCCTAGGCGAGCACGTCGAGGGCGACGGCGCCGCCAGCAGGGCCAGAGGAGCCGAAGAAACTCGGCGGCCGAGCTCGGCGGGGGGTCCGTTCCTCGGCCACCAGCCGCGGCCGCCGCTGCCGCCAGACGACGTTAGAGGGAGGCGGACGGTGAGCCTCAACTTGCCGCCGACGGCGACGACGTACGAGCCGGCCGGCGAGCGCGGCGGCTACCAGGGGGGCGGCGGCGGCGGCGGCGGCAGCCTGAGCGCCGAGGGGCCGGGGTACACGAGGAAGAAGAAGAAGTTCGGCGCACTGCGCCGCATGTTGGGGCTGGACGACTAGGGGACATCCGGACCCGGCGACGACGGCAAGGTCGGGGGCGTGGACGCGGACCGGAGGACGAGCGGCATCCCCGCCGCCGACAGCGGCAGCAGCAGCAGGACGGCGCCGTCCAAGGTGGCGGTGGCCAAAAGGCAGGACGGGAAGCGGCAGCGCCACGTATTGGTCAAGCGGAAGCGCCACCCGGATGCGGCACCGCTCGCGCTGGAGAGGAGAGGCGGGGGGGCGTAGGCAGGCGGGGACGGACGTCCTGCCGTTACCGGACCTTGCCTACCGAGCTAGGGGGTCCGTCCGGTCGCGCGGATATCTCGAGAGGAGGGCAGAGAGAGTAGCGGTAGGCCCCGCAGTCCAGTCACCATCATAGATCCCTCTCACAGCTGCACTTTTCTTTCTGTCTTGATTGGCGTATTTAATGGTGGTGAACCCGTGCCCGCGCGCACACGCACACACGCATACGCATACGCAACACACGCGCATAGGTGGATGGATGGATGGATGGATGGACGGATGGGCGGGGTGGTTTTGGGTCCGGTAACAGGGCGCAAGAAGACGAGGACTCTTGGGAGAGTACCCGACCGGACCACCCGACGGAGCAACTCGGCTGGCTAGCCTATGAGCAAGATATAATTTCAATTCAAGTTGATACCCCTCATTTACATACCTATCGCTTACTTCGTCTCGTTACTTTTTCCTCTCTTTTTTAATACCTACATGTACGCACGCGTGCGCACACACACATATATACTATATATATGGGCTGACATAAACGACGATGGTGATGTAAGCTTCGCTCCGGTCTGCATTTGCTAGCTGAGGTCAGCCTTCTAGTAGGCCAAAAGATTCAGACGGTGATCGCTCGGATGATAGAGGGGCGGGGCGAAAAAGAAAAACAAATGACGCGGCAATATAAACTTAGTATCGTGATTCTCATCTCGCATATATTCTACACCTCTCTATTCGCAATGCGGGGACATATGCCGACGTATGCAGGCATGTAAAGATAGCAGCTGATGTCTACCTAGGGCGTACCCCTGCCTCGTGTGCGAGCAAGGACAAAAACGCCCAATCTGGCCATCCGGGGCTGGGCGTCGGTGGAAGGGGGTTGGATTGAGAGCTTTTCCTTCACGGGATTCTCTTTTGGGCTGCCGCACCCCAACACCGCAACACACTACTTGGGGGGGAGGGGGAGTGAGGCGATCGAGAGGGTGGGACAGATATTTATTAGTAATGCGTACTGTATACCTATGCGTGCAAGATCCACCCTGGATGGCTTTGTTGAGGAGAGCTGATAGTTGCAAGGAAGTGGGGGGGGAGCAGGAGGAAGAGAGAGAGAGGCGATCTGGGGGTCGGGAGGAGTGCGGAAGGCAACAAGGCAGAGTGCAGAAAACGGCATACGTGCGGGAGGGGGGCAAGCAAGAGAAGAGGATCCAGGAGGGCGAGCGAACCAAGGCTAGGAAGAAAGAAGAGAAGAGCAAGACATAAACCGAGGTGGATCGATGCCTGTATGGTACGGGTGCAGCTTAACTCCGTACGCCAAGTAAAGCGATGCGCTGCAATGAGTTCTCGAGCACATGTGGGGTTGCCCGCCTGCCCGTAATTCGGATGGTTTGGATGCGAGGAGACGGGAGAGAGCCGATGGAGGGAAGGGGGGCCCAGAGGAGGATGCGAAGAGGAGAGAGGGATGGAGGAAGACAGCCGCGGTGAGTGAGACCGGGATATAATCAATCAATTTCAAGTGAGACAAGTAGACAGACAAGAAACCCGAGAAGAGAGATCAGGTCAGGGACGGTGGGATGAGCGATGTAGCAACGCAACGTGTAACGACGTTGAGGCCCTGCCCTAGCCTTCCCCCCTCCTCCCCCACGTTCGGCCAAGTTCACTGTACCTATGTGAGCTCGACCGATAACAGGAACAGAGCTAGGCGGAGGCAAGCCAGGGAAGCCGGTATGAGTGAAGGGGGGGGGGGAGAGAGAAAGGATTGAGGGATTTGGGATTAGGAGCATCGTTGGTGGCATCATGACGCTCAAAGACCTCGGAGCCGGAGGAGTTACTCCAGAGGTCAGCATGATCTCGTCAAAGCCGGTAGGCAAATAGCCCCAATTTAACGCAGCTACATAACGTATACATTTTCTCCAACCCCCCTTCATAGAGAGGACGGTTAAGTCAGGGGGAGACCAGAGGAATATGAGAGGGAAGAAGCAAAGCAGATGAGCGGCCACCCCGCTGCTGTGGAGGCATAAGAAAAGAAAAACGACAGAGACTGAGGGAGGGAGGGAAAAGTAAGAAAAGAAGAGTCGACGTAAAGGAAGGAAATGCAACAAGTTACTGCTCCCTTCTCCCCAACCAGGCGCGCAACCACGCATACCTAGTTAAGACAGCTGAGAAGGAGTAAGCCAATGGAGCTCGAAAAAGAGCAGACAGAGGAGCCGCGAGTCGGGACCGGGCTGACTAACTTACGGTTAGCACGAAAGGGGAAAAGCGAAACAAACGCCGGGAGAGGGAAATGAGACCAAATAAAACCCTCGGTCACGATGCCGTGGCATAGGCGCTTCCGGCATACCGCTTTTTTCCTCTCCCCCCTTTATGCTCCTTCGTCTTGCCCTTCTTGCGCCCGCGCCCCGCCTCGTATCGCGGCGCGCGTCGACTCGTCGCGGCTAGGCGTGGATACGTACGTAGTAGATGGGCGGAGAGAAGCCTGAATCGGGATGGGAATTGAAGGTACCTAGAGTTCGAGTCCGAGTACGACTAGATTCGATCGCGCCGAGATCATATTCGCATAGGCCTCAGTCGGCACGAAATTCCTTGGGTCTTATCCGGAGCGCTGGCGAGGGTAGGTGAAGAGGGTCTGACTGGGCCGGGATGGACGCGGGAAACGGGGGTGAGAGGGAGAGGGAGGGGAGAGGGGAGAGGGGGGGGGCATGATGGGGCTCGTGGCGGTGGGGAGGAGAGGAGAGGCGACGGGTGGGGGATGGAAGCGACAGCGAATCTCACGAAGACGGCACTCCTGGCTGTTTCCGCCTGGACCTGGGCGGTGCGAGAGAGGAGCGAGGAGCGAGGGCGAGAAAGAGGAATCCGAGTCGCACAGCGCCAGCTGGTTGTTTCCACGGATAGATTGGTCCCATCCCATCATCCATGCATGTGCATCCGTTAGGGTACCTAGGGAGGAAGCTAGCAGGCACCTCCCCTACCTCGCCTGCCGCCTCCTGTCTCCTGTCTCCTGCCACCTGTACGACGTACCTTCCAGCCTCTGCTTCCCGGAGCAGCTACCTAACCTAAGGGCGGGTTTGTTGAACGTCGTTACGTACGCCTACATACACGGGGCCGCCTAGACACGCCGAGAGCGTGCCGATGTATCTAGATTACCGATCTCCGCTGAGCTGGCGGTGGTGCTCGCTACGTGTCCGGATATGGTCGACATGCTGGCGAGAATCGGTGACGGCGGGCGTGTAAGCTAGGTACCTATGTAAGCCAGCTAAGTGTCGCCTTCTACTTGTACACTTGCTATCTGCCTGTAGCGCCGAACTAACCGATAACGGTAATAGCACAATATATATCTACGTGTAGGCAAGTATAGGCATATAGGTATATCTGTAGGTACCTAACCTATATGCCCACCTACCTATATATACGCCACCTATACCTACCTATATTTTGCGGGTTTTGCGGGTTTTGCGGGGCGGGTGGCATCGCGCTCACCCACGCCCAGATTTAGGTAGGTAGGTAGAGGGAAATAAGCACCCTACCCTACCAGTATGAAACGATGCCGCGGTGGGCTGCGGCCCTCTCGAGGTCCTGGGCCCGTCTGGGCGATGCAAGTGGCAAGCAAGCATGCCGTGTTGGAGCCTCCGCCGACTTTGCCAATCCATCACACGCACATGCCTTAGGTAGCTTTCGAGACGGGGGCCGGGGAGCGGCAGCAGGAGAGGTGCCAACGCCAATGCGCATACATACTTACCTGCCTGCCGACATGGTCACCATTCCGGACCCTTCTCTCGAACTTGATATGGTTCCTTTTTTCTTCTTCCCACATGCTACCTTTTGCAGCTCGGTATTGGCTACCAGGGCAGGTAAAACAGTTTCCGGTAGGCCAACGGGCAGGCAGTGGCTTGTTGCCGATTCTACTCCTCCCTCGCCGGCTGTTTGTTACAACTTTTTGTTACAATTCCTCGGGGTCCCGAGATCTAGTCGACAAACACCCCGTACATACATGCCCGCGCTTCCGCAGCGCTGGTTCCCACCACTTACCGTCTCCCAGCGCTTGCGCTTACGCGCACCCACGCGCAACGCGTCCACACTTTGTGCCAACTCTAAGTAAGGACGGGCCTGGAAACCCAAAAGGAGAGGTAAGCGGGCACGCCGTCCACGCGCCCCGAGGAGGCTGGGTACCTACCTGAGGTACCTATCTCTATTACCACCTCACATTCACATCGCGGCGTGCTTACCCCTCTAGCCCTTCCACCTTGGGAGACGGGCACCGAGGGGAGGGAATTGGGAGGGGGATAAATGGTACACAGTACGTGCCTCGCCCGCGGCACCGGCCCTGCCGAATAGGTAGCAGGTACCATGTGGTCAGACTTGGTAGGGAGGCCTGCCCGCCTAGGAATGTTAAGTCATGTAGGTACTTGAAGACACCACCTAGGTTACGGTACCTATCCTATAAACCCAAGGTAAAGACCTTGTAGACCGGGGGAGGCGACTACGTGTGAAACGGTAGAGAGCTAATTGCCGCCAGCCCGTCAACGTAAGCACTTATTACCTTTGCCTCCTCCTCCAGCGTGCCGACTTAACCCTCAGAGGTTGCTGCCGCTTGCTGCTTGCCGCTGCCGCTGCCGCTGCTGCCACTCCTGCTGCCACTCCTAGCTTTAGGTCTGCCAGATGGCGACGGATGCTTAACCTAGGGCGCTTCTCTGCGCGGGCAGGCGCTACAACTGCTAACTAGAGGTATGCTGATATGTGCTGCTGCTGCTGCTGCTGCTGCTGCTGCTGCTGTACTACTGCGCTACTGCGCTACTGCATGGGTCTACCCAACCTGCCGCCTTCCTGAGGTACCTCTCCCTGTCTCTGCCTGCTTATCTTGCCAGGTGCGCTGCCCCCCCTCCTCCGACAAGGGAGGGAAGTCGTCGTCAAAGGGCGGGAGGAGGCGACAGATAACCTTGTACACAGACCCGCATGGGGGGAGGAAGGGGCCCCAGAGAGCCGCTACGTAATCGGTGCTTCGGGGCCTGGACCAAGTTTAAAAAAAAAGATCGTGAGTTTTTTCGGTCCCCCTGACTTGGGCGGTGGTTTAGTTTTTCCCTCTTGTCTCGTGTTTCCCATTCTCTGGCCAGGTGGTGAATAATCCCCTCCCCGTCTGCCCTTATTTCTTCTCTCTTCCCGTCCCTCTCTTCCTCCCCATCCTCTCTCGACCTTTGATCTTCTCTCTCAACCATCGGTCTGCTCGTCCCCAGTGTCAATCCATCTTCTCGCGCCTTGGGCTCATATAAAAAGCTCAACCCCTCCCATTCCAAGCACCAGAGACATCTACGTCATTTTGTGCTATTGCCCAATCCCTCCAGCGACCCATTCACGTCTGAAGTCAAAAGATTTGCACGCGCACACACGCACACACACTCTCTCTCCCACACCACGCACATATCCATCCCAGTCGCCGACAACCCCATCCTCCCCCTACTACCCTCCCGAGTACACCGCATACGCTACCAGCAACTCATCCTTTTGCCAACTTGCCCATCTACCCGTTGGCCCATTCCGCCCAGGGTAGGCACGTAGTCATACTCACGCATACGCCCGCGTATATTTTCGTCCACCTGGTCTCCAGCCTTCACCATGCTGGCACAACGGCTGTCACGTGCCTCGACGCAGGCCACCACCTTGGCCAGGGGCGCTATCCGTACTGCGGCTCCTCGATCCGCCCTCGCTACCGGTAGAGCATGCTTGCACACCAAGAACAACCCTCTGAAGAACACGGACAAGAAGACGTCCGCCCCGCCACCTGGTGCATTCGCTCGTACGGATGATAGTATCACCGTCAAATACCCGGAGGAGGATGCTCTCCCCCCATCCACCCCGGTCCAGGGCCGTGGCGGCTTCCACATGAAGCGAACTCTCGCTTCTTTCTCGCTTGAGGGTAAGGTGGGCGTCGTCACCGGCGGTGCTCGCGGCCTCGGTCTTGTGATGGGTCAGGGTATGGTCATAAGCGGGGCCAATCTAGCCATCGTCGACATGAATAGTAAGTTGCGCCATGCACTTCTGCCTCCTTCCCTCCGGCTTTCCCGTTGCTCGTATGTGGCTGTTTGATGAGCTGGGGCAAGCAAGCGGTCGGGGTCTTCGTCTCTTGATAAAGCAGTCGCCAGCCCTCGTCCTCTTTACTTGTCCCAATCCCTGGCTTCGCTGGCCTTTTTACCTTTTTTTTATCCTGCGCTGCCGTCGGTTCAAAATGGGTGCTGACGATCTTTTCCCCTACGAAACAGAGGAGGAAGCTGAGCGCCAGGCCGTCGAGCTGGTCGAGGTCTTCCGCAAGGAAAACCCCGGCGCGGAGCACGTCCCCAAGGTTACCGCCCACTACGCCGACGTGTCAGACGCGGACTCGGTGCAGGGCTGTATCGATGAAGTAATCAAGGAACATGGAAAGATCGACCATCTCGTGACCAGTGCCGGTTTCACGGAGAACTACAACGCCGTCGACTACCCGGTTGACCGCATGCGTAAGCTGTGGGCTGTTAACGTTGACGGCACGTATCTCTTTGCTGTTACTGTCGCCAAGCACCTGATGGCGCGCAAGAGTCCCGGGAGCATGGTCTTCATTGGGAGCATGAGCGGTTCCATCGTCAATGTGCCGCAGCCTCAAGCGTAAGTTAACTTGGACCTGAGCACCGTATAACGGCAGCACAAGAGGTTATCGAGGAACCCCCAGGCTGACGTGTCCCGTCGTGCAGACCTTACAACTGTGCCAAGGCCGCGGTCCGGCACCTGGCTGCTTCCCTCGCTGTCGAGTGGGCGGATGTGGGCATCCGTGTCAACTGCATCTCGCCGGGGTACATGATGACTGCTCTGTAAGCGATACCCTGTCCTGCCCTTTGCACTCGGAGGGTCTCAATTAGAATAACCGGGCGTGATGACTAACGGAAACGCGAATAGGACGGAGAAGATCCTCAACGACAAACCGGACCTCAAGAAGAGCTGGACCTCGCTAATCCCGCAAGGCAAGATGGGCCAGCCTGTCGACCTCATGGGGCCGGTCACTTTCCTTCTCTCGGATGCCAGCCAGTACGTGACAGGCGCCGACGTCCGCGTCGATGGCGGTTACACCCTAACCTAAGTGGGGAGCCTGAGGAGAATCTCTGTATGGATCCACTGGTGTTTTGCTTTTCAATTTTATCTTTTTCAGTATACCCGTCGACGGGGAAAATGAGTGATAGCAAACCGCGGGAGTCGGGGGTGTTTAATGATAATAAGCTACAGGCTAGGCCGGCATGTTGGCTGAAGTAGGGCCAGATCCTAGCCGGTGTCCTGTCAAGTTGTCGGGCAGGATGCCTGCGAGGTGAACTCTCTTGGTGGTCCTCGTGTTATGTACCGAAAAGTTGATTTCAATTTGCTGAGGTGCTGGGACGGAACATAAAAACTCAGATAGACATCCCCTCTTTTAATAAAGCATTGTGCACAAGATCTGGAACGAGAAGGTGACGTGTGAGAGAGAGAAAGAAAGAAAAAGGCGATATACTGGGTGAAAATGCAGGGAAATGGTGTGAGAGGTGTTCCGGGGCATTTTCGTGCGGCTCCCTCGCTTATTACTTAGCCGGATCCCGACTTGGTGACGAATGGAACGTCTAGGTTGACCTAGCTCCTGGTACGGAGGGTACTGGTAGGTTCGGGCCGGATGTGGGCGTTGGGAAAAAAAAAAAAGAGTGAGGAAGAGAGATGGATTACATGGGTGGAAAAAAAGGATAGATCGGTAGGCAAGGTATAAAGTAGGTAGGTATCTATTTCGGGTTCCCTGTGCTCCTTACTGGTGACTCTATATGTGATATGTACAGATAGTAAGTAAGGTAAGTGATCAATTTAGCTGCCTTGGGTGACCAAGCCGGTGCCATTATGAGAGACGAGGTGACGGGGATACCTGAGTAGATCTGGACATCTGTATGTTACGTTAGGCAGCTATGTTCTCATGCTAAGTAAGCTCTCTCTCTCTCTCCGCCTCTTATGGACTTGCCCCTACCCTCTCCTCTCTCTTTCTTTTTTTCCCCTTCTTCTTCTCGTTTCGATTTCTCGTTCGGTGGTTGCTCCTATCGAGGGTGACGGGTGGACGGATAGAAGTTATCCAACGTACCTATCTACTCTACGCACATGCATGTACTCGAGTACCCAAGATAGGGAAGGTTGTCGTTGTGTACCTAAAAAGGGGGTTGCCGTGGGAAGGACCCCGCATATCTCTGGATCCCACGCCGGCAATTGCTTAAGTCCACGTTTTTGTTTACTTGGCGCCGTAGGATGAGGCAGTTTTAACATACCTACACGTAGATCGCGGGAGGTCGGTGCGCTAGAGGGGGAGGGAGGGGGTGGAGCGGTTGGATGGGTAGGTGTAGGTACATATGCATGTACCTACCTTTCGCGAGCGGCAGAGGGTGGACCCGGGGAGGGGGAGGGGGAGGGGAGGGTTCGATCGCGTGCAGGGCAGGTTGTGGAGGAGGCGATTCTCAGTACCCCGGACTGGCTGAGGTGCCGAACGTAGTCAAGTCTGTGTGTGTGTGGTTGGTTGGGTGGGTGGATGGGTTGCTGACGATTTTTTTTTGCGCGTTGGAGAGATGGAGTAAGGCGTCGTCGCGATGAGGAGAGAGAGCGGTGGGAGAAAACGGATGGGAGACGGGTCGGTATACCTACCTAGGTATATAATAATAGGTAGGTATATCTATGTTGGTATGTAGATATCTCGTTTCTGCTTAACCCATCATCGCCTTCTGCTGCCAGTAGGGAAATGAATGCATCGCGGACTTGCTGCGCTGTCCCGCTCCCAACAATGATGGTCAGCATCGTACCTAATATCTGTCAGAATACGGCATAGTTTCACACAATAGGTACCTACCCGAGTGAATACCACTCAATAATGCGTTCACTGCGTGCTATTCTTATATGACACTACCGATTTCGGTGGTTTCAGCCCCTAGTCGAGACCGCCTTACCACTGCCTGCCTAAGGCAGCCCATATTATAGGAGGTAGGTAGGTAGGTAATTACTCTACGGTGAAGAAGCAGTAGGTATACCGGGTACCTACATATATATCTAGATCGTCGCACGGAGTCCTTGCGGGTGCCTGCTCGCTAGTTCACTCTCGCAACACCCTGCCGACGAAGATTGACCATCCCGTCAAGTGAGGCAAATGCTCAAGCCTCTATTCCTTCTGTGGCTTACTCTCCATAGGCGCAAATACGTAGGTATATGACGATAGAGGCGCTCTCGTACTGCGCTCACGCTCGCGAGGACCGACATGGGCCACAGCACGCAGATCCGTCCCCTCTTCGGGGATTAACACCTACGCACCGCGTCAGACATGCCTATTCCTGTGCACGAGCCGCCGCTCTTTTCCTCTGCCGGCTACGGATGCGTCGGTAGTACAGCAGCACGGACGACGGGGCAGCGGAGAGCGGCGTTGCTAAATGTGCAAGCGTTGTCGAGAGGCGACACAGCTCGGGGGGCAGCGCAAAAAAAACATCATATACACGGGAAGGGAGAGTCTCCGACGGCAGACGATACAGCCTCGCATCGGCCTGTCGGAAGCGTTGCGGGAGGCGCCCGTCTGCGAAGCTTCGCTCGTCGCTAGGGACGTCGTCGTGGAGCCCCCGTCGACACGCCGCCGCTGCTGGCTCTAGGCAGGTGGTACCTGCGATGAGATGGGGTAGATAATTATCTTGCCTATCTCATGTGATAAAGAGGAGCTGCTTAGGTGGCGAAGGGTGGCTTAAGGGGGGGGGACATGTTGGCACGCACAGAAGCAGAGCGTTAATTAAATATGCCTAGTGTGTAATTAGGACACCATTAAACACCAGACCTGGAGATTACTACCATGTGAGAGAGGATCGATGTCTCAATTGTCTTTAGAGGTAGGTGTCTAGTCTCTGCTTCTACGGGCCGCCATGCGATTTGTCGATTCTATACCAACCCGCAAGTCTCGAATCCGCCGATCCGAGATTCTACGTACCTAGGTAGGGTTGGATGCAATTCCGGTACTTAGTCTTTCTTACTACTACTACCGTTGTTATCGCCATTGCTGCTGCTGCTCGGCGTTGTGGTTGCGGTTGTTTCTGGTACCGCCACCGGCACTGTCTCCTTTCCCTCTCCGGGTTGCTCCCGAGTCTGGCCATCGCCAGCAGTTGCTACTTCATGAGTTGGAGGGGGCGAGAGGCTCGGCTCAGCCGGGATGCTACAGTCCTACCCGCTCCTCATGGCTGCTGATGGCAGCAGTGTTGATGCGAAAAGTAACTTAACTTGACACAGCTACTCTCTCGAAGGCTAGCAGACAGATGGTGCTTACTACGTTCTGAGAGTGAGTGCGAGGTTTATGTGGTATAACATGGCGCCGGAGTGCCACGTTCATATAGGTAGGGAGTGCGATTCAGCTATGCCAACATAGTCCCGTTCACTACTCGAATTGTTCGCGTTCAATGGCCTCTCTTCGTTAAAGAGAGCTGGCTGCATACCTCCTTAACACCAGCGTAACAAAGAGCCAGGGTTGGCGACACAGGGGCTGTTGATTACTTGTAGCAAATCTATGTGCTCCAGAGGCAGGGCTTGGGTAGGAACTTCGGTCTTGCTGCCCCTTCATAGCGATAGCTTCCAGCTCCAGCGGCACACCTAGGTTCCTGATCCTGGGGGTTATACTTCGGACATGTGATGCCGGGATGACCGAGTGCAAGTCGTTGGATGCATCCCGGAATAAGAGTACCTAGTTCTGGGTTGGAGTGGCTTGGGATGCGATTAGGTAGTAGATGTGAGGCACGTACTTGATGCAGATGCAGCGAGTTATAGGAGGTAGTCAACTACCTAAGACTTTCCTGTTTCGTGGGGCAGACTAAGATACCTAGGTACCTACTCACGTACCTTGGTCACACAGCCCCTGGTACTAAAAGGCGTTGGGTACAAGAACAAATGCCACTTGTACTGATGTGACAATGTAACAGAGTACAGGAGCTCCGTGGGTTTGATAATAGAGGATAGGTTCGATTCCTGACAGCGCTACTTGGTAGTCTCTATTCTTAAGCCTATCTAGTGACTTCGTCCAGGCAGCAGGTACTGCGTACTTTAAACTCCAGAAGCTACTGGTTCAAGCCAGAGTGCCGCCTTTGTAATAAGGTCCTTTTAGGTGGTACGTGTGTACTAGTGCAGGCTATACGATAGTAGTGGAGCGTATCTTATCCTTATAAGATCCTGTATTCCGACGTATACTAGAGTAGGCAGTGTTATAATAGCGCGCGGGGGCGCGTGCCTGTTATATGGGTCGAGCTCCGTGGGTTTGATAATAGAGGATAGGTTCGATTCCTAACAGCGCTACTTGGTAGTCTCTATTCTTAAGCCTATCTACAGGTACCTACGTGGGTACCTGCGTAGGTACAGGTGTCCATCTGATGCAGAATCCATGTACCTGGCTACAGACCACAGCCCCACTCAGCCCCAAGCGGACCCTGGCCTTGCATCGGTTGCCGTATGCAACAAACGAAGTGTGTGCATCTAAGTAGGAGGCGCTGCCCTGCGGCGTAAGTTCCGGGCTCGTTCGACCCACCGCGCGAATACGCCGTATCCACGGCAGTCGCGCATGACGTAATAACACCAGGGCTGAAGAGAGCGGCCACCACACGGTCCCGACTGTATATATTTCCTCGTCGATCCCATTTCTTGAGGGTATACACTGATCATCATCATCACTATTCTCACCTGGAGACAGACATATCAGAGGAGAAGAAAAACCCTACACCTCAGAACCACCTACTCACACACTCACGCATTGACACACTTATACACCAACACCCACACAGAATGTCAGTCGAAAAGGGAGCCGACGCCACCTTGGCATGCCCACCCCTCGACGAGTACGGGGCGGCACCCCCGCCTTACGCCGCGACAGCCGGCACGGACGGGGCCGACGCGCCGGCGTACAGCTGGCCGGCGGAGGCGGGGCGCGTCGCAGGCGCGAGCGGGCGCTTCCCGGCGGCGCTCAACGCGTACTTCCCGAAGACGGGGCTGTCGCGGACGCTCCACCTGGGGCAGCGGGCGGACGCGCCGCTGCTGGCGGTGACGACGCACTCGGGGCTGACGAGCAGGCCGCTGCTGGAGCTGCGGGCGCGGGCGGGCGGGCCGGTCATCGCGTCGGCCGACAACGAGAGCCGGTGGGGGTGCGGCCGCACCTCGATCGTCAAGGTGGTCGGCGGCGGCAGCCTGGCGGCGGCGGCAGAGGGGGCGCAGGCCGACGAGTTCCCCGCCCCCCCGCTGCGCGAGCAGACCGTCGTCATGAGGCAGCGCGCCAGCTGGACGCACCTCAGCTACGGCTTCTCCGCCGCCGTCGGCCGGGGCAAGGACCTGCGCCCCGAGGACTTCGAGTGGCGCCGCAGCCGCGGCCCCGAGGTCCGCCAGGTCAACGGCGGCGCCGGCCTCTCGGGCTGGAAGCTGGTGCGGCTCGCGGCCGGGCACCGGAGCGCAGAGGGCGGCAAGGGCGCGGCCGGCGAGGCGAGCGGCGCCGGCGAGGTCGTCGCCGTCTGGTCCCACAACGCGTCCGCGTCCATGACCAAGGTGCTCCGCTTCCAGCTCGTCGGCAGCGCGGCCGCCGGGCTGCTCGGCGACGAGTTCGCGCTCGTCGCCATCATGACGGCGCTCAAGGTCTGGTACGCCGAGTTCACGGGCGCGGCCGCGTCTTAGGTTCGAGATGCTTCGGACTATCTATCTACCGTCGGTAGACTTTAGGGGGTTTCCGTGTGGTTAGGGGGTGGGATGGATGATGCTACGAGAGGTTGAGCAACTCTGGGATTTTCTCATTGTCTTTGCGTCTTTCACACCGCAATTGTATGCTACGGCATTTCGATGGCTGCTCCCAGATACCCCGATTTTTTTTCGTCTTCTGTTCTTGGTTTATAGGCAGGAATAACACGCTCGATTGGATAGAGACGGCTCCAGGGGCACTCTGTATTGTGCTGGATAGGGCACGCGTGTGGAGGGCATCCATCTGCGGCCCATCGAGCCACAGCCGTCTGATTACCTCTACGTACGCGAGGAGGATTACGTGACTCTAGATAGGACGTACGTAGTCCCTCCCGTGTATGGCCCGCCTCGCAACCGTCCGGGACTTGCGACAAGTTAGCAGACGGAACTCTGGCCAATTTTAGTCACCATCGACGGGGAGAGGCGTTGAGTTTTTGGTTCTATACCTACCTACAAAATAGCTCATAGCTGCCCGTGCGCGCTGTATGATATTCTGGCCCATCCCATTGTTCCTGCCAGGAAGTACGCGGTAGACTACCTGGTCAGGCTCGCTGACAGGTAGACTTTGGCCGAGTCTGGTGGTGTGTAGCGTCGGCGGTCGAGTCGGCGCTACCATCGTCGACGTCGGCTCACGTTCGCCCAGATGCGGGCATATCTTTCGGCCGCACAGACGGATTCCCTGCGCGACGCCGCACGAAGTCCACGCATGAGGCAACAGTTAGGTTAGGTGCCTACTAGGCGGCCCTGCTGATGCCTCCGTGCTCTCTGGCTAGGCTGCTTGTGTGTCCATACTACTACAGCGCACAGCTAGACGACAGCGTGAGGCCGCACACTCCCACATAGGTACGTGCTGGACACGAGGTGGCATCGCCGGTAGGGCTGGCTCCGTGTTTCCCTCGCCGGACCGTCGAGGACGCCTTGTGGCTAATCGCAGCCCACTGTGACGACGTAGTGGCTCGCAAGAAGAAGTCGGTTCTACGTTGTATGGGTACCTGAGAAGACACTTTTGAGTTGTACCGGCAAACCCTGGGTTACCTCTCAACATAGGTAATTTGCGACACGCGTTGGCATCAGTTTTAGGACGGACGTCGCCTCCGTGCACCGCTGGAGGGACGGCCAGCGGAGGGATGGTCGGGTGCGATGCAAAGCACGGTAAGCTGACAGGAGTGTGCAAGTTATCTCCCTTTTGGCCGTTCCGGATGTGATTTGCACACGTCTATTGCCCGTTGTCCACCTACCTCCTTCATAACCTGCACGCCGGTAACATTTAGGCATACGTATCGGCATTGCACATCGCACGCTGCCATCGTCAGCACGTGTCCTGGTTCCGCACTCGGTTGCCCGCCGGATGGTATAATACACGCACACCTATTTTACGTACGCGCGTCGGGAAGAAGGAAACAGGAGTTATCTGCCTCCCGTATAGGGGGCTGCCATGCCAGGTAGGTGGATTAAGGGACGTGGGCTAACTCACATATCCCTATGATCTGACCATGACATAGGCAGGATCCCGAACGGGGACGAGAGGCAGAAAAGGAAAACGAAACAAAGGAGGGAACAGAAAAGAAAAAAAACCCCCCTCACAACCACGTGAAAATATACGTGCCCAGGAATTGGTTGGAAGCTCGCCTGCATCATTCGAGCTACATCTCCGAAGACAACGCTCCTACTTAAATTCGTCTCTGTTCGTACAATTAACGAGGATACAATGGAACTCGGCAATAGTCCGAGCCGCGGACTGCGCGACGTCGTATCCCAAATCCTCACAGGTCCCGCGCGCTCAAGACTACAATATGTGTGCTTTCCGCCATACAAACCCACCGCATGGCATACTCGAAGATTTAGAAGAAGAAAAAAAGTTAACTTGGCCACATGCCCGGCCGGATATCTAGGTGAGAAGAAGCGCGCGTGCGGATATGCCCTATAGGGAAATATTTTTTTTTGTCAACCATCAAACCGTGTCGGCCCCCAAATCCCTCCACGTAACCTGTGTTGTCATTGAACCGTATATCATCCCTCATTTCTCCAGATGCCCGCTGTTGAGCAGCATCTCGAGGACGATCTGTTGACCTGCAACTTCCGGGTGTGCCATGCAGATCTTCACGGTACCCTTCGAGTCGGCCCCGTTATCGCCAGCGTTGGCATGCTGGCTATGCCCGTTCGCGGCCGACGACCCCCCTGTCGGCCCCCGGACTCCATAATCGAGAATTCTCACGTCCCTTCCAGCGATGATCTGACGCAGTCGTCCGTTTTCGGCATTGCGCACTTCCACGTAGTCTTCGTTGAAGAGCAGCAAGTACTGCCCGTACATCGTTGCACCCCTCGCCTTCTTTTGCTTGCCCGAGTATTCCATAATGACGCTGCGGCTCACGTCACCGTATTTGTCCACGTACACGGCGCAATCCTCATAGGTCAGCAGGAATTCTTGTTCGTTGAGGCGGAACATGCCGAGAGGCCGCTGGTCCCTGATGCGACTGGCGATGCCAGCGATAGTCGGTTGTTTCACGTCAGGTATTGACATGGGCAGTTTCTTGTCGAGGGTCAACAGCTCGAAGCCCTTCGCGGTGGATATGGCAATGTACGTGTGGAATATGTTGAGCGAGTAGCACTCGGTAGGGAGGTAGAATTCGTCGTAGTCCCGGTAGCTTTCCGTGGCGCCCACCCCAGTTCTTCGTATGCCGCCAAGAAGGCGGGATTTCTTTTCCGTAGACTTTTGGTAGACCGGCTCTACCACCTTGAAGGTGCTGTGCAGACCTTCCTTCTTCTTGTAAAACACCAACATCCGATCCTTCATGCGGGCGGTGGCGAAGAACGATACGTCTTTCGCCAGCCTCTGAGGCGAACGACGCGGGTTGTCGTTGGCGGCCGCGGGGAAGTTGGAGGGCGGCGACACGACATCGAGAGGATAGGAGATGAGGTTCCTCTCGGTCAAGACGAGGACGGCGGAAAACTCCTCGAGGACCGCGATTTGCGTAACTCTGCTCGCTGCGACAGTCTGGAGAGCAGTTAGCGAGTGCTAGGGGATACAGGTGCGAATATAGCATACCTTAGTCCAACTCCTCTGATCGCTAGCCTCGGATACGCACACCCCAGCGTCGGTACCAACCGCAACCATATTTCTACCGAAGGCGGAAAAGCCGGTAGCACAGTTCACCCCCGCTCGAGAGATCGGAGGAGGCCCGCGGCCGGTACTAAACGTCTTCTCCACCTCGCGGATCGCCCTGTCAAGCGGGGTTCCACGTATGTGAACACCACCCACGTATTTTCCAATGGCGGTTATTGGGTCGTAGGCGAAAGCGCTGTCAGCCATCACGCGTAACCGGAACGGCTCCGCGTTCTGAGCATGCAAAGCTTTGGCGTGGCGGGTCTTAGCCTCGATAATTCTGTCACACCAGTCTTGCCGTGCTTGGGCCGACGACGCGAATAGAGTGTACACCTCGTGCCCTAAATGCTTGACTCGGAAAGGGTAAAGAATCCTCCCCTCGCTATCCGCCGAATTCATAGGGGTCAGCCGAGTGACAGCCACACCGCCGGTAGATGAGCCCATAGCTGCATGGTCCCCACTAGGCCGTTCACTGCCGCTCGACACCACCTTGTTCAGCTTAGTATCTGAAGCGGAATTTGCTGTCCGAGTTAACGGGGTGGCAATGCCCTTCTGCTTGGAGATCGGATCATCCTGGCTGCTTTCGAGGAATAACAAAGGCATGGGAATGGGCTAAAGTACGAGGGGGGTCAGCAAATGGGAACCGCTGGTGGAGAGGGGAAACCTACCTCCTTGGATACGTCGTATTTTCTGTCTTGTCTCCCGTCCCTCGACACGACGAGCTTGGCGAGGATCAAATAATGATCAAACAAGAGCGCGTGCGTGTCAACCCATCGTACGCCTTTGGAGCCCATCCTCTGAAGATCACCCTGGAGAATGAGCTCTCGGCCGAGGTGGTCCAAATTCAGATCGGCGTGGAAACCGGGTCGGAGAACAAGCATCTGGTCCAACTCGATCATTGTCACCTTCTTTTGCATCTCGTCCACTTTCGAATCGCATTCGAGGACCATCAACTTGACCTCGTCGAGGGCCCTTTTGAGATTCGCCTTCTCTTCGTTGTCTGGTATCGAGCGCCTCAGGACCGTATCTAGGAGAAGCGCGTACCTCTGCATCCGCGTGATGGGATCTTTTAGATACGTTGTCCAATCCAGGCGTGCTGACCGCGGGTTCAGTCGATTATTCTCGAGAAACTGCCTGAACAGGAAATTCCGTTCGGATTCCTTTTTCACCTGAAAGTGCGCGAAAGGGAAGGCGGCGGCATATTCGACGTACACCGGCCTAGCCTTTCGAACCCATTCTCTAAAGATGTCGCTAAAGCCCACAATCCACGGCCCCTGCTCCTTTTGCCGGTATTTCAACTGAGGAAGTAGATGCTCCATGTTGACCTGTTGCACCGCGTCGGCTCTGCCGAATACGGTATTCACGAACTTGTCCAACCTGCCCCCGGCAATAATTCGAGGCTGCGAGCTGACCAGCTGGTCTCGATACAGCTCTCGTAGAACCTCGAGGTGTTCCATGTATTGCTCTTCGGTGGTGATGATTTCGTGAAGGGTATTCTGTCGAGAGATCTCCTTCTCTGACTTGCCCTCCACATCTTCCTTCTTCATCCCATAATACGTCGCCCAATCAACCGTCTTAGTGCCGCCGGACATGAGCTCATCTAAGTTGGCTTTCTTCGAGGTCCTGGTGCAATGATGAGAGTAACATCTCGTAGGTACTTCGTGCCCCATCACGTTATCGTCCTGCTCGTGTAGTTTTGATGCATAGCAACCGGAACCGGTCAACTGCCACAGCACACCAGATATAGAGCCCGGGCCAAACTTGAGCCACTCCTCTTCTGGGACTAGTATGCCGGCGTTTAGCATCGAGTCCGCGACCTGAGTTCCGAGTGCCTCGGCGTCTGCAACGTTCATCATGGGAACCTTGAGACAGAACAACCTGACGAGGCCCTCTTCTAGAGTCTTTCTCTTCAGATCAGGTTCGCCTTCGGCCATCTCGCGAACCCATTTGGCAATACCACTCAACGCCCACGGTTCCGTGCAACTGTGGGCGTCGACTAGAGTTAGCTTGTCGGGTTGGAACTTTCTTCGCCGGCCACTTGGTAGAGTTATTACGTCGTAATTTACCGATGACGTCGTAGCGGTTTCATAGCCCTCGTATGGCAACCCTTGCTGAGCCGCCAGTTGCTGTTGCTGTCGCATATACCGTACACGCGCATTTCGGTCGTCCGTGGCGTCGGTCTTCGATCTCCCTGGCGGCTGAACCTGGGGCGACGTGCTATGGCTAGACAGCGAGATAGATCTCTCAACTTGAAGCTGTTGCGCGTTTTGTCCATACTGGGCATCCGGCCCGGAGTATGGGCGCGAATCTACACTTAGAGAGTATCCATGTTGGTATCCGGCACGGGTCGGCGACTGCACTGATAGCATCGAACTACTGTCGGAGCCAGCGGGGATGGCCGGAAGTGGCCGATTTGACAGGCCGGGATGGTAGAACATGTCCGGGTATTCTTCCCTAGTTGGCGATTCGCTGTCGCTGTGTTGCGAGTGGACGGAAACGCGTTCGTCCCCTTCATCAAAGCTCAAGCGGTGCGCAGATGGTGGTTGTAGGCCCCCAGTATCACCGTAGTCTACGTCGGCTTGCTCGAACGCCGGATATTTGCCGCTTCCGTGGCTCCTTTGAGAGGGGTGGTTGCTGCGAATTGGGAGAATCTGAGTGTCCCCGGGCGCGACCTCGGAAGCAGGAGGAGAGCCAAGATTATTATCGTATGCGAGACTTCCCGCGTAGCCGCCACCTGCGAGACCAAGATCCATCCCGGCGTAATCGCTATCACTACTCGGTTCCTCCTTATGAGTCGGCAGGGTGGGTTGTGTGGGTGCATCAAGTTGGTTGAAATAGGGGAATGAGCCGCCCAATGTGCTAAATCGACGGTCATCCTCTTCTGCCTGCTGTAGCGCCCAAACTCCGGCAGCGCCTTCTGGGTCGCTTTCGTCTCCCTCCCCCTCGTTGTCGTCGTCATCTCTGTCATCGTAAAAAGAATAATGTTTCGGGGAATGATTCCTGTTCGACGTCGACGCATTTGAGGAGTAGCGGTTCACTCCGGAGGGATCCTCGTGGTTGTTCAGTGTCGCGACATGCGAATGATAGCTAGCATTGGACGTCAACCGACGGAGATTTTGCAGGTCATCCTCCGGTAGAGCACCATTGCGCTGATCGAATGCTGTCGGCCTACCGCGCACAGAAACCCCCCCCCTTCCGAGTTCAGCTTCGATGTCCTGCATGATATTGTCCTGCGTGATGTACTCCTGAGATATATCGGGTTCTATGGCACCGCCGGATGCGTATCGATCATCCGTTACATCGTCGAGGGGTCGACTCGGCAATGGCGCATTAGTCGGGTGCCGACTCAAGCCGTATACCGGCTGTGAGGGAGCCGGAGGAGACGGGATCGGGGACGTCGCCGAATTCGATCTCGATTCGCGATTTAAAAACGAATGAGGGTCGCTCGCCGAATAATTAGGGCCTACCGGTATTTGTGAATGTGTCGGATAGGGAACTTGAGGGGACGTAGATGAATAGGAGGTCCCTGGTGGACTCGCGGTATTGTTTCCATAGCCCGTGGCATATTGTGACTGCGAAGACTCGTAGCTAGTCTGAATCGGGGTCACCGAATTTGTGGAAAGAGGGTATGCTGGGTTCTGGATCGCCTGATTATAACCGGCGGCGTACGTCGATGGTAACGTGGGCGATTGCAACGGCTGGGCGGGGGGAGGGGGATACGTGGGCTGGGACTGCCGGTAGGGTGACTGGTTCAAGGGCGGCGAACCGTAAGGCTGGCTGCCGTAGTTAGAATAAGAGGCGTAAGTCGACTGGCGCTGAGAGGCCGAGGTGCCAGAATACGCGGCAGGATTATACGGAGCGGGCGCGAAATTGTTCGACCCAGCAGTAGGACTGTAAGGAGCAGCGGCCGTGTTTGATTGTGCCCGTCGGTTTGGTGGGTACGGATTAGGCGGCAATGAGGTGGATTGCGAGCGAGCAAAAGCCTGGGGGTTGTATGTCGACGGTGTGGGCGGAGTCTGAGGCTGGTACTGATGTTGGTACCCCGACATACCAACATTTGAGTTGCCGTAGCCGGGCCTATTTGCGTCAGTCGGGCTTGCTAAGAATAACTCGTCGCGACCCGCGTGCCCGGTGACGGCCGTATTTAGCGTTGGGTGATAGCCGGGGCGAGAGCCGCCCGAGGCAAATGTGCCAGCGTCATCACCATTATTGAAACTAGGGGTGCGCGCAGGGTACGACGATTGGTCCTGGGAAGATCGGTTCGCGACAGGGTATTGTACAGGAGGAACATGGCCATACCGGCGCTGGTCATTGTCTCGGAATGACATCTCGACGGTCACGACGACGTTATCGCGGAACGGTAAGGTCGGGGGCGGGAATATTGGGTATCAACGAAGAGGCAAGCGACAGCGTCGCATTAACGAATATATCGGGAGACGAGGGTCGAGAACTCTACTGTGGCCGAAATGGCGCAGCATGCATGTTCGCCGAGTCAGGCGTCAGGGAACTCGGGGGTTGCAAGACAGCGCAGAGACCAAGCCGTTGGTCGTATAACACCAGTTCGTCGCCTGGCGAGAGGCTCCGGGCGGGCGGCTGGTCGGCAAGCTGGATGGGGGCCGCGCGAACTGGGAGAAGAAGAAGCAGAACTCAATCGCGTCGAGGGGCTAATAGCGTAGACCCTTCGCGAAGTACCGGCGATTGATCGATTAATCGATCCAGGCAGAACTCGTCGGGGCAATAAGCGGATATCAAGAACGGAATTATTATACTGGTACAGGTTGCTCAAGACTTGCAGAACATCAGCAGAGATGGCGAGGGGAGATATCGACGAATAGAACCATGACGAACATCAGCGTGGGCATGAGCATTCCGGGGACGCGTGTGCGATTGAATGCCACACATAGAGAACGAAATCGCCTGGTAGTAGGAGAGGGGAGAGAGAGAGAGGGATAGAGAGAGTCGAGATAATAGGAATGGGGTATGTTGCTTGGACAGGCAGTAATTAGTAGAGGGATGGGATGGTGGGCCAGACCAGGCCGGCTGGGCTGAAAACTGTGGGAGAAAAACCCTTGGGGGCCGTCGTCTGTCTGCCGCGGTGCCGTTATTATGGCCCCTGCTGTCGTCGCGAGGGTAGACAGCCGGTACCTACAGCAGGTATCTACCTCCTAGGGCTAGATCAACTGTCAATGGAACCTAGCCTAAGCTAAGCTAGCTTGCCCAGCCGCAGCCCGAAAGGGAAACCCTAAGCCACACCTTACCATCGCTGCGGCTCATCCGGGCTATGCAGCCACTTCACCTCGGATACTGCGCTACTGCACTACCTCCTTACAGGTACCTAACCTACCCTACCCGCAGCGGGCCTCCTACAGGCAGGTGGCACGCTATGTTGCCCCCCGTCCGAGGGTTGATTCGCAGGTGCGTACGTACTCGGCGAGGCTACTCGGCCCCTCCGATCAAAGCGGGCAGGTTTCAATAACAACCCATACTTACATATCTCGGCGTAAAGGATTCTTCTGCCAGCGGTTGGCGATAAGGAAGTGCGAGGCGAGGCGAGGCATCCCGTCGTAGTCACCGTCACTGTCACAGTCTCAGGGGCTACCTGCACAGATTCATCAATAATGGATGGGAATCCTCCGACAACTCCGCTCGCTTATACCACATGTAGCCATTCCACTTGCATCATACATGCCATGTATACGCATGTTGGTATGTATTCGTGCGTCCGGGCAGGTGCCTGTTAGGACCCAGATCGATTGATCCCACCCCTTATATTTCGAGAGAGAGCGCTGCCGTGGGAGGCCCCGCGGTTCGTGGTTCAGGGACGCCAACATAATGAGCCTGGGTCATATGATGTCTCCCCAGGATATCTCTCCCTACTCGCCCACCCAGGATACTCTTTGCTACGGGGTGCATCCCTACTGCCTAAGGCAGTAAGGTAGGCATGGGCGCCACGCCTAAGGAGGAGCCAAGATCAACACCGGCGCCAGCACTAGCTCAGTACATGCCCTTATGCGGATGCGACCTGGGATAATACGCGTTCAGTGATAGAGACTAAGGCAGATAGGGAATATGTACTTACATCTTGGTAGTCCCCATCGAGAACGGATTTATATATGTAATCCAACGTGCGTATCTTCCTACGCGGGCCGCGAAATCCTTCCAGTTTTCATTAGGCGAGGAAGCAATTATATTAGGTGCTTCCCCCCCGACGGGGTAACTCGGGGGCGGGAGGGAACCCAAGCCAAGCTATTCACCACGAAACGGGGTAGCTTATGTAGGCGCAAATGCGCCAAGCGATTGGCTGCGTGTACAAATGTATATACGGCAGACCTTCAGGAATCATCACAGCTAGTCTTCAGTATCGGGTGATAGAGTAATCATCACGGAGTAGTAACAGAGGATATCGCCGGCATGGATTCGCCCAAGCCGTCTATTCATCCTACTGCTTGCTCCTGGGTGCCCACGCACGCACCTAAGATAGGTACCTAGGTATCTAATGCAAGTCCGTCTGAAAAGATGTTAGGTTGTTTCATAGCGGGTAGGTCCCTACTTACGATTAGTACCTACTTAACTACCTTAGGTACGTCACCCGCCATACGGCCAGTGCTTAGGTCTTCTGCGCGCTGGAGCTTTCATCCCACAGCACTTCGGTCGTAGGGCTGAGTTCAACTCGGACGAGTCGAATAAGTAACGAATACGCGAGGTCCTGTCCCATATAACTCCCCTCGTCGCCGGAACCGACCAACCGGTCGATCGAACGGGGTCGAGACCCGTATAAACCTCGAGGTGGTCGGGGAGGAAGAGCCTACCCAGGTACCACCTACCTACCTACCTACCTAGGTAAGAGGTAGTATACCTACTCACCAGACAGAACAACGGCTTCGCCTCGGAAGCACAGCGCATAAGAGCCGCGACGTTACACCGCGGACCATGTTCGACGAAAATGAAACTCCGTCACCATCATGATGGTTTCCCCTCCCCGTCATTCACGTCAGTTCGGGGGCCAACCACGGCGCAGGCACATACCTACCTGTGTAAGTAGACACCTCCTATGCGTATGCATGCGTAAGCCAATGCGACATAAAACAGTCGCCTTACCCTCCCATCGCGGGGCATCTAGGCAATATCGTTTCAAGACTTTCATCTACACCTACGTAGAGTCGAGACTCGCACAATTACACGGCTCGTTACCGATCACCACCATAACGATGTCTACATTCCGGCTGAATATCTGGGCGGCGTAAGAGGCAGCAGCGGGGTTAGGTGTATTACAATGAGAGGAGAGTCGCATATGTAACGGTTAAGACCTAGGAATATTTTAAATGATGCGGCACTGTGCTGGTGAGTTCAGTCGTGACTGATAATAACGCAGCTGTCTTTTCCTTTGGCCAAGGTAACGCTTCCCCAATCCTTCGAATCGGGTCACATTGGACACGTGGGTTTGACTACGCAAGCTCAAACCGCAGCAAAGCGAACCGCAGTTCTGGGCGCCTATCAATTTCACATCGCTTACCTACGTAGATGCATGCTTTATATGAGTGGAGATTCTTGTTGGCTGTTAGCGGGTTTTACGCGAGACCGCTCAGTTCTCAAGTGCCAATTCGCAACCATCCAACTTATGCCGCATCCACTCGGCTATAGGTATAACAGTAGGTACGCGTCGTTCTCTGAAACGATAACGAACAGATGATACCTACGACTGTATCCAAGTTCCAGCTTACCGCCAAGAAAGCTAATCCCCGAGAAGTCATCCTATTGAGGGGGTTATAAGAATATGAAGATATTTCACAGTCGGGCACGGCGCCGATCGGCGGCTGCGTTGCCGTTACTCAGCGCTATCGGCCATGGCGTGATCCAAGACTACCACTTACAAGGACAGGTACTACTACCTCGGCCGATATTACATAGGTATGGAGCGGCGTGGAGTTCTGTCGGATACCTTTTTGCGGAGGTGTCCATCTACGCAATCCCAAGTCGCCGACGATAGACAATATATAGTAGGCACACATATATGTGTAAATAGGCATATGAAATTTTTCACTCGACTGCTATCGACACTGTCCGTAATTATACCGAATCTCACCTAACGGTTAGCTCGCGAACCTGCAAAGCAAGGAAGATCGTGAAGCAGGTCCAACTTCCTAGATGCAACTCTAAAGCAGAGATTTCATCCCTCCCCGCCTCCGGTCCCGCTTTCTTCTATAGGCCGGTTAAAGTCCGAAGCCGCCCTTTGTGATAAACCCGAACTCCCCCCCGAACTCCCCCCAGAGGGAAAAGGGTGGTAAAAATGATATCATTTGTAAGCATCACTTTTGGTTGATTATGACGGCAGCGAGGTAAAGCGGGGCAGGCTCCCCACCTTGGAGAGAACGGCATGTAGGTACTCACACGCCCACATAACTAAGGGGGGTACATACACCCAGCTCTTCTATGGCGTAGAGAAGTACGAGGTTAGCAGCCGTCTGGAATGTAGCGCATCGAGATAAGCGTGCTTCACTCGGTGGTAGACCGGCAACTTGCCCCAACATCCGGTTTGCGCGTTCTGCAGGCGAATTATGTAAGGCCTAGCCCCTCCGAAGTGAGTGGCCGACCAGTGCGCGGCAGGTCGGATTAATATCAGTGTACAAGATCAGACAGGTAGCTGGTACCTCATTCGCGGTGGGTGAGTGGCTACGCCGGGTATGTACAGACATACATCCATCATAGGTCCGTCATAGGTTCCGCAGGCCGTAGGAATATCTGGTTGCTCGGCCGCCGGTTCGATCCGCTTCCGCGTCCCCCCTCTCTCGCAGTTGAGTACAAATTAAACAGGCCGGAGAGCTTCCCCTCCTCCTCTTTCCCCCTTCCCCCTCCCGAAGCCCAATTATCCACCAGCATCCGGCCGCCTTCACGCTTGCACGGAACAGCCAGCTCGATCGAAAGTTAGAAAAAAGGCAGGAAGAGAATCGGACAAAATGGTCAAAGCAGGTACGCGGAATTGTCTCCAGTATATAAAGTATTGTCAGATCCCGCGGTGTCCGGATCGAGCATGGCTGCATGAGCACGAATGCGCACATTTCGTCGCCCAGCAGTCCCTGTTCGACATCGACACCCGCGACGGGATGGACACCTTGTTGGACACGACCTGGATGGCCAGGCCCGGTGGCGCAAGGCACAAAGCCCAGGCTCGTCTTTTTCTCTCGCTTCCTACTGAGGCGATTGCGTGAGGCGAAGAAGGGGGCGGCAGGGGGAGCCAGACACGAGGCACGGGGGTGGCTCTAATCACAGGTCGTGAAGGCCGGACCAGGCCACTGGGACGGGCTGCTGTCGTTGTCACCGTCCACCCTTCATCGTCTGTGCTCTGCCTCTCTACCAGCCAAGCCTACCGACTCGCCCAGAGCCTGTCTCCACACAGATCCGATCTAATCCGATCTGATTCTGATCTGGATCCGGATCTCGTCGTGGGGGACCCGACCCTCCCGTCGTGGGCCGTGTGTGCCTTGTGCTTCGTGCCTTGGTCGCCTTCGAGTCCAACCCTACCTAATTCACAACCCTTATAACCCGGGCCTTGACTAATCAGGCCTTGGTCGTGTTTTTAGTCGCTGTCGTTCGGGGTGACTCCAAGGTCACCGGCACCATCACCTTCGAGCAGGCCACTGAGTCTGACCCTACCACCATCACCTGGGACATTACGGGCTACGACCCCAATGCTAAGCGTGGCGTGCACATTCACACCTTTGGTGACAACACCAACGGTTGCACGTCCGCTGGCCCTCACTGTATGTGATGCCTTATTTGCCATCCGGCGAGGCCCCGACGAGGAGGGAAGTACGAAGACAAGTGCCCGATGTCTGACTCCGAATCACAGTCAACCCCCACGGCCTGACCCACGGCAACCGAACCGACACCACTCGCCACGTTGGTGACCTCGGAAACGTCGAGACGGATGCTCAGGGAAACGCCAAAGGCTCTCTCCAAGACTCCTTGGTGAAGCTCATCGGCCCCGAGAGCGTCATTGGCGTAAGTGACCGATACGCATACACACACATATATATGTGTGTATATTTAAATTACCGCAAGCACAATGCTAACTTTAGAGGAAGCGGACTGTCGTCTGCCATTCTGGCACAGACGACCTCGGCAAGGGTGGGAACGAGGAGTCGCTCAAGACAGGCAACGCCGGCACCCGACCTGCTTGCGGTGAGTCTACCTATGCGCATCCCATTAATAATACGGCGACTAAACAACGTACTCTTTTGTTCCAGGTGTCATCGGCATCTCCAGCTAAATGGGCCGTGCAAATCCTTGTTGAATTGGGGAGCGACCTAAGACTATATAGGTAGTCAACTATAGAGCTCTTGGGCACGAACGAAGAAATGAAATGACATGAATATCATTGACCTGCCCTGACCGGACTATTAGTATTGCATTGGGGGGCCCATTGAAGCGTATTGAATAGCTAGCGTAAGACATCCTTATACCAGGTATGCTTAAGGCATATGGGATGTAAGCACTCACCCAATACGAATCGCGACACTGTTGTCCAAAACTATCTTGAGGTATACTTTACTCCAGCCTAGGTACATTCTCCAGTGCCAGATACGGGCTGTCTGACAGCATAACACGTACATAATGTTCATCTTTCGCGGTTTCTTTCCTATCCTCGAGGGTCTTTCGCCAGATTTTTACAGGTGCAGACCCCGACATGGTTCCCCACCTGCCTATTTTGGCACTTTTAGTACTACCCCGCCTTAGGCCGAGAGCTGCTTAGCAAATGGAGGGGTATCAGATGGCCGCCACACTGGTGTGCTGACCCCTTTTTCACTCGCTTGCAACCGGACCCGAAAAAAAAGCCCCCCTAGAACCTTGGCGTAGACATCCTCTCTCTAGCTTTCCCATTTTCCACCAACAGGCGCAAAGCTCTTCCCCACAATTTGGTGAAAGCTGTCAAATTCGAGAACGCACACGACATATGCACATTTCGAGATCGAGGACAACATCCCTCTTTGCCTCCGTTTCTTCAAGACACCAGCGACCGCTTCGAACCTGACCTCACTGCTACTCCGCACCGGATTCTCCGCGAGTCCTCCTCCTACTGAACATCGGAAGCCCATCTCGCTCTCTCGCCTTCCTCTTCTTCTCCCTGCCTCTACTGTCCACCTGTCTTGGGGTAAGTGAGTCCGGCAACTATTCCTACGTGTTGTCTTTCCCGAACCCGACCCGACCCCCGGAGTCCTGCTTCAGTCAAGCCTCTCGTCCGGGACCCCCCCTAACTCCGATCTGGGACACCCAGCCTCTTATCAAGTGACGAGGTAGTGTTCATGCCGCCTGCCGCCTGCCGCCTACCAGCACATCTGCCGCGGTACTTTGTTATACCTGGCCGAAGACACAACATATTATACTGTAAGCTGCCAATATGCATGAAGGTTAATGTCACATGGCCAGCGCGATAGCGCCCTGTACCGCACTCTCAGCGTCCCTGTGTTTATCTACTTCCCCCCTTTAAACTCCACTGGGTCTATCTTGCCACCGGAGAGCCTCTTTTTGCTATAACGCAAGGTTGTAAAAAAGGCCATCCCTCGGTGTTATATAGATGGACGAACTGCTGCTCGGCACTAGTTAGTAAAGGCTCCACAGCCTATCTATTCCTGTCTATTCACGTTTCCATGATGGATAGACGGAAGATGGCTAGTGCCACTTACCAGAACAAACACCTCTGTATACTTACAACCCACATTCATATCCTCCAAACTACCATCCCAGGTCTTCCTTGACTGCCTTCATAAGCCAAAAACAGAAGAGAAACGAAATATCAAGTCTCCCCCCTTGATTGTTTACTAACTACCTCGGCAGATTTCTGGAAGTCCTTAGACCCCTCCTTTCCCCCCCCCCCCCCCCCACCTCTGCCAAATCTAGTGTCTTGCCTATAGCAACATGGCGAAGCAGTTCTTTGCTAACGTCAAGTCCGCCCTGAGCGGTGACACTCTGCTGTTGACCAGCCAAAACAATCCCAACGCGGAGCGTACCTTCTCGCTGGCTTTTGTCACTGGCCCCCATCTTCGAAGAGAGGGTGACGAGCCGTTCGCTTTCCAGTCACGAGAGTACCTGCGAAAGCTTGTCATTGGAAAGCCGGTCCAGTGCACCATCCTCTACACTGTCCCTACCTCTGGAAGGGAATATGGCGTTGCCCAGTTGAAAGATGGGACACAGTTGCCAGATGAGCTGGTCAAAGCTGGTTGGCTTAAGGTCCGGGAGGATGCCGGGCGGAAAGAGGAATCCGAAGAAGTCCTGCAACGGCTCGAAGCTCTTCGCTCGCTAGAGACACAGGCTAGGAGCGAAGGGAAAGGCCTGTGGGAAGGCGTTGGTGGAGTTATCGAGGTCCAAAATGACATTGGCGCCCTCGATTTCGATGAATGGAAGGGCAAAACTGTCGATGCGGTTGTCGAGCGCATTCTGAGCGGTGATCGCTTGCTTGTACGCCTGAAGCTGTCCGATGAGAAACACTATCAAGTTATGACGCTGGTTGCCGGCATCCGCACTCCGTCTACTGAGAGAGTCAACCAGTCTACAGGTCAGACCCAACCTGCTGAGGAATTCGGAAACGAAGCACGGCAATACGTTGAGCAGAGACTGCTCCAGCGAGACGTTCAGGTTGAACTAGTCGGTATCAGTCCGCAAGGGCAGCTCATCGCCTCTATCTTGCACCCTAGAGGGAGCATTGCGGAATTTCTCCTTGCCGACGGGCTAGCACGGTGCAACGATTTCCACTCGACCTTGCTTGGTGCAAAGATGGCTCCTCTCAGAGCAGCCGAGAAGAAGGCACAAGCTGCCAAGCTCCGCCTTCATAAGGACCATGTGGCCAAGGCCGAGGGAGGTAGCTCGTCGGACATGATCGTCTCGAAAATCCAAGGGGCCGATGCGATCTTTGTTCGTACTAAGACTGGTGCGGAGAAGCGGATTAATCTAAGCAGCGTTCGTGGGCCCCGAACCAACGAACCCTCCGAGGCCCCGTTCCGGGACGAGGCGAAGGAGTATCTCCGGAAGAAACTTATCGGAAAGCACGTCAAAGTTTCGATTGACGGATCTCGGCCCGCTAGCGACGATTTCGAGGCTCGTGACGTCGCCACTATAACCGAGAAGGGTAAGAACATCAACCTGTTGCTCGTCCAGGACGGCTGGTGCTCCGTTATCCGACATCGCAAGGACGATACTGACAGAGCGCCTAACTACGACGAGCTTCTTGCGGCCCAGGAGCAGGCAAAAGAACAGAAGAAGGGAATGTGGTCTGGAAAGCCGTCCAAAGCCAAGACCTACGTTGATGTATCCGAGTCGGTGCAGAAGGCCAAGATTCAACTCTCTACTCTCTCGCGCCAGAAGAAGGTACCTGCAATCGTTGACTTCTGCAAGGCCGGATCGCGATTTACGATCCTGATCCCTCGTGAAGGGGTCAAGCTCACAATGGTTCTTGGCGGCGTCCGTGCACCTCGGGCACCTCGGTCGTCTCAGGAGAAGGGGGAGCCGTTCGGACAGGAGGCACTCGACCTCGCCAACCGCCGGTGTAATCAGCGTGACTGCGAGATCGACATCCACGACATCGACAAGGTTGGCGGGTTCATCGGCGACCTGTATATCAACCGCGAGAGCTTTGCCAAGATTCTAGTCGAAGAAGGTCTTGCCTCCGTTCATCAGTACTCGGCGGAGAAGTCTGGAAATGCAAACGAACTCTTGGCTGCCGAGAAGCGCGCCAAGGAAGGACGCAAAGGCCTGTGGCAGGATTGGGACCCGTCGCAAGAGGAAGGTGCCGACGCAGAAGAGACCGCCGACGCAGCACCGTCGAACGACGCTGCACCACTGGACAAGAAAGCTACCGACTACCGGGAAGTTGTCGTCACCAACATTGACGCGAGCGGCAAGCTCAAGATCCAAGAGATCGGCAAAGGCACCTCGGCTTTGGAACTGATGATGAACGAGTTCAAGAAGTTCCACCTCGACCCCAAGAACAACAAGCCTCTCGCCAACCCTCCTAAGACTGGCGAATTCGTGGCAGCTAAATTCACCGCTGACGGTCAGTGGTACCGTGCGCGAGTGCGGTCGAACGACCGGACAGCCAAGGTCGCCGAGGTCATATACATAGACTTCGGCAACAGCGAGAAGATTCCCTGGTCGAACCTCCGGGCGCTCGACCAGCCACAATTCACGACGCAGAAACTCAAGGCGCAGGCGACCGACGCGGCGCTCTCCTTCATCCAACTACCGACGGCGCCGGACTATTTCCGCGACGCGCTCGACTACATTGCGGAGGCGACGGACGGCCGCCGGCTCGTGGCTAGCTTCGATTTCGTCGACGCGAAGGAGGGCCTCAGCTACATCACGCTCTTCGACGAGAAGGCCGGCGGCGGCGGGTCGGGCAGCACGTTCGTAGACTCGATCAATAAGGACATCGTGGCGAACGGGCACGCGCTAGTGCCCAAGAAGCTGAAGGCGTGGGAGCGCGGACGCGCTTCGGAGGAGGTCCTCAAGAAGCTGCGCGAGGTCGAGAGCCAGGCCAAGGCCGACCGGCTAGGCATGTGGGAGTACGGCGACATCACCGAGGATTAAGGAGGCTCGCTATTCCGACTTTCATTTGGGTCTCGGACGGTGGAGTTCTGATTTTCCCTTTCCCCTCCTAGGTACCTCCAGGAGTCTTATTGGCATCCATCCGCATGGCATAGGGAAAAGCTACGCTTATCGTCTCTCGGCGTATCAAAGGCATTCCGCATAGACACACACACGTACCCTCTAGTCAGAAATAAAAGGAGCATCTATGGCACAAGCATTACGTTCCAATTTTTTTAAATATAAAGCCTCCCCCCCCGGAACGAGAACGAGAAGCAAATGAGTAGTAGACGTTGTGATTTGTTCCCACCGCGATGTTTCCCGACAGGATCAGGCCACTAGGGTACTTGCGCTGCGGACCGATGGTCGGACATTAGCCTTGTAAGGCCTTAAAGTAATAGAGGAGGTGCCGGCCGATATCTACCTAGGTAGAATTCACATATGCCAAGCATTAGGTACTATGTCCACGATACGGAACTATGGGATTTTCGTCGTAGGGATAAGTCGGGTACTTAAGAGGTAGGTAAGTCAGAGACGTGTGTATTCGACCCTTTGCAACAGGAGGGGTACGGCAGCCAACAGAATGGGGCGAAACACAACCTTACGACGTCCCAACCATCGACGGCCAGTCGCCCCAGGTGGAGCGGCGGGAGGTAAGGTAGGGTAGGGGTGCGCGGTGGGTGACACCGCCGGGTGTCGTCGGGCAGGGCAAGTTGCTCAAGGCGCGCCACTATAGGTAGGTATCTATCTACCTGCCTGGCCTGCTACTTGCTTAACGAGGGCGATATCCGGGTCAGGGCTTCGTCGGCGGCGACTCGCGGCAGCCTAGTCGCACTGCCGCACCGGCACCCATGCAGACGTAGATAGGTGGGCCAAGAAGGGAGGGTGGAGTTAGGGGCTGGTGTTAATATGGGCGACGGGACGGTGCAATATAAGCGTTTCGGAGCTGGCTGTCGAGAGGGAGGCGAGGCGGGAGAGCAGATGGCACGTCGGGGTAGGCCGGCGAGAGGCCAATGCTACCTCGCGGCGGGTGGTGTGTAACAAACGACACACGCGAGGTGTCATGGTGAACACATTGGAGCTGCCGCCACCAGATGCTACACACTCGACACGCAACATTGGTGGACGTCCGGCTTCTGCGTAGACGCAGATGTAATGTGCACGCAGATACCTACCTGACGCAGGTGTTGAGAGTGAGGTAGTCGGATGCAGATAGAAGAAGAGTAGAGAGTCGTAGATGCGACCGCTCCGGAGACGGCTGGCCGGTGGTGTGGCCCTGGGACAGCTTGGAGGCGAGCGAAGGGGCCAGTCCCGTCGAGGCCGGGTGGGCGATAAGTACCCAAAGGTACCTTGCCCCGCCAAAGCCACGTCCGGCAAGGAGCGATGTAGGAAAGGTTTAGTAAGAGGTACCTTGGTAGGCATAGGTAGGTACCTCTAGAGGGGCAAGATGAGAACCTCATTCTGCAGACAGCGACGCAGAGGAATTAGCGTTTGAAGCGGTACCTAGATTCTAGTACTGCTAGGTACCTACCTGCCTATCCAAAGAACTACAGGCACCTCTGCGTGGGTGGTTAGGTACTTCGGGTCAGGTACCTACGATGACATGATAGATGACGCCAATCCCCCCTCCATTTCTTCTACCCCGCCGACCGCCGATCGTGGGCAAATACCTCGTCTTCTTCCACCCACCCAAACAGCTTCCCTCTCGACAGCAGACTGTTATGTAGCGGTACCTGGGATTGGGAGCAGCAGTACGAGGCATCTGCCTGATCTTAGGTACCTTGGGTCCCCTAATATCTCACCTTGACGCCACCAGCACCCACCACCCCTTAGGTACCTACCTACCTGTGTAGCCTCCTAAACCTCTACTAGAACAGCTATAAGGCGGCTTCTCGGGATAATGAGGTACACGGTTAGGTAGGTACCTCGGAATGTACTGGGTACAATCCCACCCGTGAAAGAGAGAGCTACCGACCTACCTATATTACGAGAGTAGAAGAAGGCCCGTCGGGTCGGTCCCCCAATAGCCGACTTCACCTACCTACTTAACTACCTCCTTGCCCGACCCTTTCTCATCGCCGCAACTTCAAAAACACCTGGACTCTCCTTCACCTCGAGCATCTCCCTCCTCTTTCATCTACCCGTGATCGTAGCCAGCCACCCGCCACTTGCCCAACCAAAGCTACTTTACGGCATACCGCCCTGGACACCACCCATACCATCCAACATGTCTACCTCTCTTGACCAACTGAAGGCCGCTGGCACGGTAAGTTCCGCTTTACCCCTCAGCAAACCTTTTGCCCCTCCACCGTGAGATTGTTTTTTCTCTTTTTTTCGTCGGCCTGGCGCATACGTTCGGGTAGGAGGTCTGGATGGATTCCGTCGGGTCGGTATAGTAGTGGATGCTGGCCGCCGAATGGTCTGAGACAACCTGGAGTGATCTGACCAAAGGAGAGAAGAGACGAGACGGATGCTAACCTATGTTTTGGCTTGACTAGGTCGTCGTCAGCGACTCTGGTAAGCTGCAATCCGAGTTAGCCACTTATCAAGCCAGCAAATGGACGGACGCATCAGCAGTGCTAACCGAGATTCCGCTCACCAGGTGACTTCGCCTGTCAGTATATCCCGCATTCCGCTCAATCCGCTGCCCTCCGACGGCGATCGAACTCGTCCTATCCGTGGCACGCCGGACACTAACAAGACCTACAGCCATCGGCAAATATAAGCCGCAAGACGCCACCACCAACCCTTCCCTCATTCTCGCCGCATCCAAGAAGCCCGAATATGCCCAGTTGATTGACTCGGCCGTCGCCTATGCCAAGGGCAAGGGTGGCAGCATTGACAGCCAGGTCGATGCTGCCCTCGACAGACTCCTCGTCGAGTTCGGCAGAGAGATCCTCAAGATCATCCCCGGAAAGGTCTCCACTGAGGTGGACGCTCGATTCTCTTTCGACACCAAGGCCTCCGTCGACAAGGCCCTTCACATCATCGATGTACGTCCCATCCCAGGCATAGCCACGATTGCCAAACCGCTCTGCTGACGCCCCGGGTTGAATACAGCTATACAAGGAGCAAGGCATCCCCAAGGAGCGCATCTTGATCAAGATTGCGTCCACGTGGGAGGGCATCAAGGCCGCGGAGATCCTGCAGCGCGACCACGGCGTCAACTGCAACCTGACCCTCATGTTCTCCATCGTCCAGGCCATCGCTGCCGCCGAGGCTGGTGCTTTTCTCATCTCCCCCTTCGTCGGTCGCATCCTCGACTGGTACAAGGCCGCGACGAAGAAGGAGTACGCCAAGGAAGACGACCCCGGTGTCAAGTCCGTCGAGGCCATCTTCAATTACTACAAGAAGTACGGCTATAAAACCATTGTCATGGGCGCTTCGTTCCGAAACATTGGCGAAATCACCGAACTCGCTGGATGTGACTACCTAACCATCTCCGTAAGCGATTCCGCTCTTTCCCCCACCCCTCCGGTTCCAGGTAACCCGAGAGAGGAGCGAGATAATGCTAACCCGGATTCTGCATGATAGCCTAACCTGCTGGAAGAGCTGCTGAACTCCTCGGCCCCCGTGCCCAAGAAGCTTGACGCCGCCAAGGCGAGCACGCTCGACATCGCCAAGAAGACGTACATTAACAGCGAGGCGGACTTCCGCTTCGACTTCAACGAGGAGCAGATGGCCGTCGAGAAACTGCGTGAAGGTATCAGCAAGTTTGCCGCTGACGCCATAACCCTCAAGGACATTATCAAGAAGAAGATTTCGGCGTAAGAAAGAGAACAGTGATGGTCCCTCCCAGTGAAGGAAAAAAAAAGGGGGTAATACGCGAAAGGTTGCAAAGTTGTGAGGAGGGTGCATGAGGGAATTGCCTTTTCCACCACTTAGATACTTTGCCTGTCTGACCTACCAAACATGTACTCCTCTCATTTTCCCAGGCGGAGACGTTATAGATCGTTATCAGAATGAATAAAAAAGAAATAATACTATAAGGAGAGGATCCTGCTCCGCTGGCTTTTATTTTCTTCAGCTCTCCCCTCATGCTAATGCTACGGTGTTCGTGGTCGACAAGCCTACTACGAGGTTCATGTGGGAAACTAGGAATGAATCAAGTGGTGGCCCACCCGGTCACTGAATAGGGGACCGGCATAGACATGGTCTTCTAGGTTGAAATGCTGTATTCTGATGCTTCTATCCACCTCACCCCCCTCGTTTCTGGGCAGAGGGTTCTATCTGTCTAGGTATATGGGCGATATATACTCTACTCTACTCTATTGCCGTCTCCTCTCCCCTTCTACCTCTTCTACCTCCTCTTCTCCTTCGCCCCCTTCTACAGAGCCCCGTCCCCCCACATCTCGCCCTCGCCTTCGCCCTCGGCATCTTCCGCCTTTCCCTTTCCCTTTCCCCCCTTCTTCTTCTTCTTCTTCTTCTCCTTCTCCTTCTCGTCTTTCTCCCCTCCCTTGTCGTCCTTCTTCCCCTTATCCTTCCCGCGGCACGGCACGCTGACGATGCGGTGCGTCACGCCGCCGCCGCCGTCGTCGTCGTCGCCGTCGCGCCCCCCCTCCTCGGCAGCCTCGAAGACGAGGGCCGTCAGCGCGCCGCCCCGCGCGCAGTTGCTGTCGAGCCCGAAGGCGTAGCGCCGCACGCGCAGGCCCGCGCGCGCGTCGTGCCCGTAGACCACGGTCGCGACGCGCGCGTCGGCGTCGGCGTCGGCGTCGCGTGCGGGCTCGACGGCGGGAGCGGGGGGGGACGCGGAGCCCTCCTGCTGGTGGTGCTGGTGGTGGTGGTGGCGGCGGCGCCGCGCCAGCTCGACTTGCAGCTCGCTCCAGACCTCGGCCCAGGGGCGGCCGTCGCGGCCGTCGCTCGGGCGCAGGGTCCGGAGGTAGGCGGTCGCGTCGGAGGAGTCGGGGCCGGGGTCGGAAGGCGTGAGAGGAGGGGGGGAGGAGCCGCCGGCGGCGGCGGCAGAGCGCGAGCGCACGAGCGTCCGCATCGTCATGACGGCGCGCGGGTCCTGGCGCGCCAGCGGCACCCCCGGCACGAGCCCCGCGTGCGCCACCACCACCTCGTCCCCGTACCGCGGCGCCACGGCGCCCAGCCGCAGGATCACCGGCAGGTCCGCGAGCCAGGCGCGCTGCGCCGGGGTCAGGCTCGCGGCCGTGGCGAGGTCGGCGGCTTTGGACTTGGAGTGCTTCTTCTTCTTCTTCTTCTTCTCTCTGTGCTCGTGCTTGTTCTCTTCGCGTAGCGATTCTTGCGCCGCTGCTTCTCCCGCCGGCGCATCGCCCTCCTCTTCCCCCGTCCCGGCGCCCGCTTCCGAGCTGCGGCTGCCCCCCTCGTCGTCGTCGTCGTCGTCGTCGTCGGGGGCGGAGTCCGCTTCGGCGCCGACGTGGCGCGCCCACGCGCGCAGCACGCGGTCCTCGTGGTTGCCGCGCACGCCGCGCGCGCCGAGCTCCATGGCGCGCGCGACGACGCCGGCGCTGTCGGGCCCCCGGTTCACCAGGTCGCCGGCGAAGACGAGGGTGTCGCGCCGCTGCGAGTAGCCGACGGCGGCGAGGAGCGCGTCCAGCGCGTCCAGCTGCCCGTGCACGTCGCCGACGACGACGAGCCGCCGCGAGCCGCCGCTGCCGGTCCGGCCGGGCAGGGCCGAGGCGGGCAAGGAGCTGAGGAGCACCGGGTGCGTAAATGAGGAGGAGGAGAAGGGTGGCGATGGACCGTGATCGGGGGACATCATTGGCTCGGCGAGTCCTGCCATCTCTGCTGCTGCTGCTGCTGCTTCTTCGCTCTGCGCAGACGGATGCGAGGGCCGGGTCGAAAACAGCCGCAATGGGGCCGAGGGGACATGAAGCGATAGCTGGTTCGCGATGTGCGTGTGGTAACAGCACAGCGACAGGACGATGGCCGATATCGCGCAGACGGTGGCGGTAAAGACTCGTTTCCGCCGCTGGCCGCGCGATGGGAGCGACGTCGGGCCAGCCGCGGAGAGGAGCGCCATTGGGGATGTGCGGCGAATCCGGCACTACGATACTAGTCTTCGCTGGATGACGCCACGGTCGTCATGTCCGGGTGCGCGATTACGTAGGTGAGGCGAATCAGCAAAGTAGGCAGGATGGTTGTGTTGCGCGATCTTTTCGGCTGTTTTCGGCAGAATTCTGGTCCTGGGATTTTTACCCGCCCCCCGACGCGAAGGGGTCCGAGCCATCACAGATAAAACATGGCCGCCCACCCACACCATCACGTCGTCGTACTGCGTCACCATGCGCACATGTGTATGCATGTGTGTATGTGTGTGTGTATGAATGTACGTGTAGGTGGGACACGGCAATGCACATGGACAATGGGACATGGCGTGGAGGGACATGGCGTGGAGCGAGGCTCGCGGAGGCTAGATAGAGCAGTATGTTATGGACTGACGAATTTGTGCCAAGATGGTTAGAGCTACGGGGTTGGAGGGCATTTAGGTATACCGAGCTATCCGGAGTCCGCATAACTGCATTACCGGGGAGCGTCTAGGAAAATCTTGCATTGCCCCTCCCTCCGTTTCCTTCTTATTGTGCGCGCGCGAGAGACGGGGAGAGAAGAGCAGAGGACAAAGTGAAGAAAATTCAATTTTGGATTGGCATACTGCTGACCCTCGGGACTCGCGTAGTATAAGCACGATCGAGGCGAGAACTAGGTGGAATTCATTCGGTGCTCCGTCGAAAGAGTACGCAAGCGCACAGAATTCCCGGAACACATTCATGTATATACGTCGCGCGCTCAGAGGAGAGTCGGGCGCTCCTAGTAGCATCCGATCGTAAAACACATAGAACAAAAGGGGACCAACCCCCGGAATGGGATGATAGTGAAGATCATAACCCTCCAATATGCCCAACCAACGCCAACGCCTTCCCATGCCCCGCTTGTGCTTGTCGTAACGAAACCCACGTAGGTAAGTCGTCTCCTAGAACGACCGTAGCCGGCGCGGCCGGGTTCACGGCTTGGAGGGGTCGGCGGCGGCGGCGGCGGCGGCGTCCTGGCGCTGCTGCCGCTGCTGTTCGCGGCGGTACTTCTCGTTCTCGAGCTGGCGCCAGTCGGGGGGCTCGGGCTCGTCGCCGTCGGTGCGGTGGGCGGCGCCGGCGAAGGCGGAGCGGCCGGCGTAGAGCTGGTAGCCGTCGCCGGAGCGCTCGGTGCTCTCGAGGCTCTTGAAGGTGATGGGCTGGTTGCCGCGGAAGCGCTTGCGCATGTCGATCATGCCGCGGCGGCACTCGCCGAAGCCCTTCTTGAGCTGCCGGCACCGCGTCGGCAGCGCCTCGGCCAGCGGCGACCGCAGGCACTCCGCCGCCGTGTGCCGCTGCACCATGACGCACTCCGACTCCTGAAGGCACTCGGCCAGCGCCGCTCCTGCGCGCAACGTCGAGTCAGAATGTCTACGTCTTTTTTTTTGGAGGGGAGGGGGGAAGGGGTTCTTCGTCTTGGGTGGTTTCTGGCTTGGTACGATGGGAGGGCGTTAGATACTTATTTCTTTGCAGGAGCTGGGCATGTTGATGAGCAGGCGACGAGTCTGCGAACTGGCTAACGGGTAGTGTGTGTTTCGCTGTCGGCGCCGTCGTCGAGGAGGGACTGTGGTGCAGGTGGTTATTTGCGTCTACAACTGCCTATCCAATTGGAGATGAAGATGACCGCCTCTGTGGATGGTATTTAACAGGCTTCCGTGGCTGCTGTGGCGTTGTGGCATCACCGACGAGCTGCCTAGTACTACCAGGGTACCATGTAAACAATATACCTACTGCGTATGTAGGTACCTACAAGCTACCTTTCCAAGCACATTCGGCGCTGTCCGGCTGGGCCTCGAGCCGGGTTGCCCAGACTTTCAGATGTCAAACGGGTCGACATCGACCAACATGCAGGGTTGCCAAGCTTGGCTCCTGGGTTCTATCACGACGGTAGGGCGTGACGGCGCGTCGGACGCTGAACGGGCCACAGAACCCCAGGGCACGGCGAGGCAGGCCAAGCAGGTGGGGCGGACGAAAAGGAGGAGAGGCAGGGGATTGATTCTATCACGCTCAGGTGCTGTTCTGGTTGTTGGTATTATTATTGTGTGTGCACTGTAACGCCGTCACCCATGTCGGTCTGCGGGCGCGCGGATGCGCTCGAGACGGCAGCAGGTTGGCACGGCGCGAATCCCGACAAAAGGGTCCGGAAACGAAACCAGCGAGAGAGAAAGAGAGCAAGCCCCCTAGAAGAAGACGAAGAGAAGGAAAAAAGAAAAAGACCGGCCCTCGAGCCCTTCTCCCATTTGCTCCGCTCCCCTTCCCGAGTCCGTCTCCTCTCCCAATCATCACTTCGATACACGCTCCTCTGTTTTGCCTCGTCATCGATCCGGTCTTGTCTGGTCACCCTCCCCGTCGCGCACCCATGTGACATCACCCGGAGCTCATCTCCTATCTACGCCTGATCTACCTGTTCTCCCAGTGCTGTCCCCCTGCCCGGGCCCTCTCTTCATTGGTTTTATTTGGTTTGCGAAGACGAAGAGCCGAGCCAGGCGGGAAGATGAGCAACTCGCGGCAGTAGTGGCCGCGCGATTGCTTCACGTCCGGCTTCTGCGACTCTTACCGACTCGAGCCGAGCGTTGTACGAATACGTCGAAATATAAGCAGAGCCTCAAACACAATCGCAGAACCCGAAAAAAAAAATGCCCTTACCCTTTCTTGGCCGGCTGAACATGTTCGTACATCTACCACCCCGTACACCTCTATACGTCTTCTCTAGCCAGCCGAGACTCGCCTGAGGGATCGCTAACCCATGTCCGTCTCGCGCAGCGCCGAATATGTCGCTCTCGTCGGCTCCTTCTTCCTCGTCGGTCTCGAGGCCCTCATCCGGATTCTAACGCTGGCGTTACGTATGCAAGCTCGCTCCGGGATTCCCCCATCGCGTCTAAGCGCTGACATTGGGCTGCCTAGCTTCCTCGCTGCTGGACCTCTTCTACCGCGCTTCGCGACGGCTCTTTAACCGACTCACCTCGCCGGCGCAGAAGAGAGCCGAGCAGAGACGGAAGTGTACGCCTTGGTCGCCTCCCCACCTCCTGGCCCTGCTAATCTGTCCGTCGCACCTAGCCATCTCGACCTCGATCCGAAATGCCTCCGACTTCGTCGATCTGTGCGCCACCTTCGGTTACACTGCTGAGGAACACGTCGTGCAGACCAAAGATGGCTATCTGCTGGGAATCCACCGCCTGGCCTGGAGGAAAGGCGAGGAGGATACCGAGATCAACGACGGGCCGTCGAGCGTCCGTAAGCCCGTCGTCTATCTCCACCATGGCCTCCTGATGAATAGCGAGGTCTGGGTCTGCCTCACCGACGAGAAGAGGTGCCTGCCCTTCGTGCTGGTAGAGAGGGGCTTCGACGTTTGGGTAGGTCGAACCGCGTCTCCGCCGCCGCGGGCCGAGAGCAGGATATTGGTGCTGACCATAATTGTCGCCACTAGTTAGGAAATAATCGCGGAAACAAGTACTCCAAAAAGTCGATCAACTATCCGCCCACCTCCATCCGATTCTGGGACTTCTCGATCGATCAGTTCGCCTTCCACGACATCCCTGACTCCATCGACTACATCCTAGAAACGACAAAGCAGGCGTCCTTGTCATACGTCGGGTTTTCCCAAGGCACCGCCCAAGCCTTCGCGAGCCTAGCCGTGCACCCTAAGCTTAACGAGCAGGTCAACGTCTTCATCGCGCTGGCTCCGGCCATGGCGCCCGCCGGTCTCAACAACGGCATCGTCGACGCCCTCACCAAGGCTTCGCCTCAGGTTCTCTTCCTTATGTTTGGTCGTCGGTCCATCCTCAGCTCCGCCACCATGTGGCAGTCCATCCTGTACCCGCCCATATTCATCAACGTTATCGACATGGGCATGTCCTTCCTGTTCGGCTGGAGGACGAAAAATATCTCCTTCAGCCAGAAGCTGGCCGCGTACCCGCACTTGTACTCCTTCACCAGCACCAAGTCCGTCGTCCACTGGTTCCAGATCATCCGCAACCAGTCGTTCCAGATGTACGACGACGACGTGCCGACCCCTCTATCGATCAACACCTCCAACAAGTACACCAAAGTGGCCAAGTATCCGACTCGCAACATCCGGACGCCCATCGTCCTCGTCTACGGCGGCATCGACTCCCTGGTCGATATCAAGGTCATGCTGAAAGAGTTGCCCAACCGGACCGTGGCCACCGAAATCCCGCATTACGAGCACCTCGACTTTTTATGGGCGCGCGACGTCGACACGCAGGTCTTCAAGCACGTCTTCGATGCCCTCGACAGCTTCAAAGACGCAGAGCACTCGCCGGAAGAGTTCGAGAGCTATCGGCGGGCACGCAACGTCAGCCTATCGGCTTCCAAATTCCTCAAACAGTGAGTTGTTTCCGCCGTAGGGGGTGCTCGCGGGCGGGGGAAGGGCTAATGGTGGCTAGCACACATCGTAACAGCGACGCGGTCGAGTCCGATAGCGCGTCCGTCTTCTCGTCGAACGAGCGCGAGGGCAACGGCGAATGCTCCTCGGGCGACCAGGACAAGGCGCGCGAGCGCTCTGCGCATTCGTCGCTAGCCTCCAGGCTGCACTCGGACGCCAAGAAGTCCTCGATCCGCCCGATCGCCACGATCGACGAGCACGCCGCCGCCGCCGCCTCGGCCTCCCCGGATCGGCCGGGCTCGCGGGGCTACGACGAGACGAGCGACTCGCCCGGCCCGTTCACGCCCAGCTCCCCGAGCCGCAGCCGGCAGAACCGCCGCAGCGCCAGCGTCGCGAGCAACCTCAGCGTCGACTCCATGAAGCAAGGGCGCGGAATCAAGATCGGCGCCGCGAAGCCGACCACAAGCAGCAGCAGCGACGAGGGCCGGGGGCACTCCCGATCCGGCGTCCCCAACGCGTAGACATCTCGTTGTATATATATTCCCGACGTGCGCCAGCCGGGCACGGAGCAAATCGGTATTGTTTTTTTCAAGGAGTTCCGAGGACTTCGGGTATGCCCTACCCGATCCGATAGATATATATAGATGGTCCCGGTCCTAGTTCTGCATCGGAGCGGTCGCGCATTCTTACCGAGAGGCACAGACCCCGAAAGGTCTTGCGAAGAGAAGACCGCGCTTATTACGGCGATAGATAGGAAATATTTATAGATATACATACACAGACGTCAGGTACAGTCGCTGCCATACTTTGGGGACAACTTAACCCCTCGCGTCCCATCCCGTGATGTGTCTCGCGAGTTTACTAGGGAACAACAGCCTACTGGCCCGCTTACTTCACCTACCCCTGCGTGGTCCCCCCCTTCTCTCCTTTTCGCATTCTTCGGCTTTCCCCGCCGTCGCGATCGCCATCAATTACCACTCACCGACCTAACTCGAAACGAAGCCTCACCACCAAACCGACGCGGCGGGCCCAAGCAGAGTCAAGTAGCAGCAACGCCGCCGCTCTCGTCCCACCGGATGCGCATGGTCGCCGGCGCCGGCGCGAAGGCGCCGTGGTCGGGCGTCAGGTAGGCCGTCAGGCGGCCGTCAGCCTCCCGCCCGACCTGGCCGCGCCACGGGCCGCACGCGCAGCGCGAGCAGCGGCCGCGCGGGCCGGGGGCGCGGCGCGGGCCCGCGTCGCCGGCGAGCGCGAGGGCCTTGAAGGCGGCGACGAGCGCGGCGCGGAGCAGCGGCGCGGCGGGGTCGGTCGCGGAGGCGAAGGAGGAAGAGGGAGGCGAGGCCTGCGCGGGGGGCAGGGGCGAGAGGAGCCTACGCGCGAAGGGGGGGGGAGGTTAGCGGGCGGGCTGGCTGGCTGGTTACGAAGGGGGATAAGATGGGTGCGGGGGAGACTTACTGCCGCGCCAGCTCGTCGTCGGCGGCCGGCGTCGCGGCCCGCGCGAGGCGCCGCAGCGCCGGCAGCCGCGGCGTGCCCGCCGCCGGCTCGAGCGCGTAGTCCAGGCACTGCGCCAGGCGCGTCGACAGGGTGGTGGCGAGGTCGGCGCTGCGCGTCGCGCTGCGGTTAGTCCTGGGGCGAAAGAAAGGGCGGGGGAGGAGCGCGGACTCACCCGATCAGCACGATCTCGTCCGCGACTTCGGCCGGCGGCACGCCGCGCGCCGCCAGCCGCGCCAGCATCCGGCGGCCGTACCGCGGCAGCGACGGCCACGCGTCGTCGGGGCCGGAGCCGTGCGCGCCGTCTTCCTGTTCCTCCTCCTCCTCCTCCTGCTCCTCCTCTCTCGCGTCCCGCCGCCGCCCCAGCCACGCGACGAGCCCCGCCACCCAGCCCCCCCGCGTGCCGGCCGCGGCCGTGGCCTCGTGCCGCACGTGCTGCGCCAGCTCCGCGGCGGGGGCGCGCGCCCGCACCCGCGCGCGGAACGCCGCCCCCGGGTCCATGGCGGCGGGCGCGAAGAAGGCCGGCGCGGCCAGGCCTGCGAGCTGCGCGTACAGCGCGGCGTCGTCGGCGCCGGACGGGTCGAGGGGCAATGCGAGGAGGGCTGCGGTGAGGCGCGCGGCGAGCGGGCCAGTGACATCGGCGAGGACGTCGGCTTCGTAGGTGGTGGTGGTGGTGGCTGTGGTGGTGGTCGCGGTTCGCGAGGGGGAGGAGGTGGGGGCGAGCCCGGGGACCGGCTGCGCGGCGCGCGCGAGCAGCCGCGACGTCGTCCGCGCCACGAACGACGCGACCTCTCGGTCCCAGCGCGGCGGCGCGTAGAGGCATTCGTCGAAGATGCGGGTCCAATTCTGGGGGAGGGGGGAGGGGAGGCTGAGGAGCTGTGTGGGATCCGTTGGGGCGGCCTCGTTAGAGGGTCTCGTCCACTGTGGGGAGGGGGTTAGCGGTGGCGTAGTTGCGCTGTTGCTCGCCTTTCACTTCTTCATAGAGAAAGGAGTACCTAGGTGAAGAGAGAACATAGGATGGGGTGGGGGTGGGGGGCAGGCAGGGGCTTCCTTACTGAATACAACTCAGAGGTCCCGAGGGCGTCGTGGATGGCCTTATTCTCGGCGGGTATGACGAAGGGGAAATGGGCGTAGATGCTGTTCTCGGCAAAGTGGTTCGGGAACGCCCGCAGGATCAGCTTGTATATCACCTGGCCCTGGTTGACCTCGAGGTCGAAGTCCGCTTCCCGGTACCTGTTGAGCGGCCGGACCGGCGCGTGTCAGTATTCCCCCCTTGACTCCGCTTAAGGATGACTTCTTCGAGAAACTAGAAAAGAAAAGGAGGCGTGGCTTATGAGTACAGGGCTAGGCGAGTATAAGGCAATACGCACCCCCAGTTAGTCAAGTTCGTCGGCGTGTAGTCGGCGGTGTAGAAGCGGTCGCCGCGGACGAGGGCGACGGCGTCGGAGAGGATGGCGCGGCTAGTAGTGACGTTGACGCAGAGGCCGCTGCCGGGCATAGGGGGCTTGGCCTTCTCGGCGACGAGGCCCGGGTAGAGCTCGACGGCGTCGGGGGCGCCGTACAAGGCGGCGAGGCGCGCCGCCACCACCGGGTCCGGATTGATGTCGGCGAAAGTGGCGTGCCGCCGCAGCCCAAAGTACTGCCGCAACTCGTTGAGCGTCGCCACGTGCCACCCCCGCGCCTGCCGTATCCCTAGGATCTCGATCGCCCGCAGCGCCCGCGGCACCTGGTGTGCGCCGAACGCGCCCGCCACGTCCTCGACCGAGTCGGCCAGCAGCCGCACCAGGGCGTTGTCGTCGTAGGTGCCGTCGCTGCCGCGCTCCAGGCCTGCGAAGACGCGCTGCCTCGGCTCCTCGGGGATGTTCTCGCGGAGGGCGCGGATGGCTCTCAGCACGGCGTCGAGGGGCGCGGTCGTGGGGTCAGCGTCGTCGCCGGCGACCTCCCTGAGCCCGCGGCGGAGCTCATCCTCGGTCCAGGCCGCGTCGCGCTGCGAGATGGCGCTGTGCCAGCGGTAGATGAGGTTGAACTCGACCGACACCTGGTTGCCGGTGGCCTGGGGCGCGGGGGAGCTGTTGAAGAGGTCCTTAGTCTCGCGGACGCGCGGGTCGAGGCCCCACGTTGACCCGGTCCGGTTCAGGTTGAGGATCGTGCGGACGTAGTCCTTCAGCACGATGTTGACGTACAGCCCACACGTGATGAGACGTCCGGTCTGGAAGAGGTCGTCGTCGTACTTGGCCCACGCGGTGGCGTGGGCAGCGTCACGGGAAGGCGGCTTCGTAAAACGGCCCCCTTCGTTGATCCTTCAGATGGCTTCGTTAGTCCGGCCAGCAGGTTGTCATGCTTTTTGAGGGGTCTTACTCTGCGAGTTGGGTCACCACGTAGTTATGGAACCGGTTGAACATCTGCGTGGGTTTTCGTATTAGACCTCGCTTCCCTCGTATCGAAGATGCTGCTCTCCGCGAGAGAGACATGCCGACACGTAGGTAGTCGTGAAGAGAGAAGAGAGTGGGTGGCGTCGCTCAGATTCTACTTACGATCAGAAACACCCCCAGACCTGGGGGGAAACCGTATAAGCTCCTCGACGAGAAGCAATCCGGCTGAAGCAGGCCATCCTCGAACGTTCGCATCGCGCTCTGCTCTTCGGCGTTCCTACCGTACAGGGGCGAGAGGTCGAGGTACGACGATGTCAAGTTGAAATTCGGGTCTTTCGAATCCTTTCGAGTCGGGGTTATGCGTCAGTCTCAGCCAGAAAATCGGGCCCACCTAGTTACCAGCCGATCGGCGACGACAACTTACGGTCTGGAAGATATCATGCGTAATGATGGTGGCGAGGTAGAAGAGCATGCTGGATATCTTGTTCGGATGTTCCCGGAACGACGACCCGTCTCCCCTGTCCATGAGGCTGTCGAAGATGAGCGCCGGATCCGGCAGGTCCGGCAGCTGGAAGGTCCTGGCGGTGACGGTGCGTGCGTAGCGTGTGTTCGCAGCGCCCATAGAAGGATCTGTGGGATTGTTGTAAGAACCGTCCGCCGAGCGATAGCGGGTGGCTTCCGACCTCAGCTGGGGTGGAGGGTGCTCCAGCACATCCCACAGCTGGTTGATAAAGGCCTCGGTGAACCGTCTTCCTTGGCGGGAGCGAGGCGGTAGTCTGGCCAGGAAGGTAACGATGCGCTCGAGGAGGAGCTCGTTGTCGTCCTCTTCGCCACTGATAGAGGCCTCTAAGACATCTTTGAGGGTGTCGAAGTCGTCGATCTTCAGTCGTTGCAGGTCCTCGAAGAGGCCTGTCTCCTCCGCGTTATCATCGTTGCTCTGGGAGAGCCGATGCTGGGGAGCCGGGGCGAGGGCTTTGTTGATGGTCTGGACCGCCTGGGCCCAAGGTGTAGGGGACATGGCTGCTGTGCCGGCTCGATGAATGCCATACCCCTTGGTGCCGGCAGTAAAGGGGACTGCGTGCTATTTAAGCTGGCCGAAGTGCAACGCGCACCCGTCGCTTGCGTGGCGTCACATTCGACGTGAGGTGGACGGGGAGCGAGGATGGATTACGTCTCACTGGCGCATCTGAGTTCCCCATTCGACCGCCAGCCTTGCGCCAGCTACATCTACCGAAAGGGGTGTCTTTATGTCTGTCATCTGCTGCTGCGGGTCGTTTATGGCTTGGTAAATCGGGGTAATCAGTGGCTCCGGATCCATCCAGTTGCACTTCTTTATAGCGGCGAGGTGAGGTCGGTGGCGCTTCAGCGCGGTCCTCCGGCCTAAAAAGCAAAAAACCTAAGGTCGTGCGATGCCTATTGACATTCTCGTCCTACGTTATGCAAGGTTGGCCTCGCGGACGAAGGGGCACGAAGGGGCGTAAGCGGCGGCGCAGGCAGAAGTGAGACATGGGTTCACTTATGAGTAGGTAGATTTATGTGTGTGTCCGTGTTTCCCTGGACCTGCCTAGGTATTCCGTGATAACAATTATACGGACGAGTATGAGCGTTTACTCTTCCCGTCAGTTTTCATAGCTGTATGCTGTTCCTCTACGTAGTTGAAGCGTCGGTCGCCGAAACTCGGGCCAAGTTCGAGAGAGAGAGAGAGAGAGTAAGAAAGGAATACCCATAGTAAGGGCAGGCTTGTGCCCTTCTTTCCCAGGGAACGCGCGGCAATAGTGAGCCGCATCGACTCCTGTATTTGTTCGCGGATCCTACCTCCTAGGTAGTATTATCCTGTTACCTGCTATTTCATTGCCATGTCGTGAAACAACAGACGTACTGATGTGCGTTCTCAGCCTATCGTTCCGCGATGGCATAAGCACGGATGGAGACGGATGCTTCTGCCTCTCTACGGCACCTTGTGATGCGTCTTGTTGGGGGTGTGCCTTGATGTCCGTCTGTCGCTGCTACAGCCTCGCATCGTACCTATGTATTATGCCGAGAGGAATGCCACGTACGTAGACATAAGCGCAAATAACGCCTGGTGTCGATATTAGCAGATGCCTAGGTATTGATGGCAAATGGATGATACCCCAAGGGAGACCGCCAGCCGCGGAATCGGTGCCACAAAATCTGAATGTTCCCTCTCACTTGTTTTCTTTAGGTACTCAGCGAGGGTTGCCCAGAATACTTGCCGAGCCAATACGCCCAGCGAACTTGGCTCGAATTGGCCCTGGACTTGATTGAGGCGGTGTTGTCCGTAGCAAAAAAAATCGTTACACTTGTGACAACGCAACCAGATTCCCCTCTTAGTTGTCTATTATTACTGGCGTTGCACAACAGTCTGCCTCAGACTCGTAATCTTTGGTAGGTCATAGTCAGCTATCGTCTACGAACTAATGTTAATGTGCTCCAGCTCCGCACGTACAGATTGCTGCTTACCTCTACTACTGGTTATCCGCCGGGAAAAACAACCATTAAAATCCCTTGTTGAAAGCTTCAACACCAAAGCCATTAATTGGAGCCGGGTTAGAAACGCCCTACCCCGGAGAATGTTCTCAGACACTTACCTTGTTAATTGCCCCTCCTCCCTCTCCCTCCTCCCCCCTCCCTCGTTAATTAGTAATACCAGAGAGCAAGAAATAACCGAGTTAGGCCAGCTGTGTTCTCCTTCTTCCACCATACCCAGATTCGCGTCCGGCGCAACCGCTGCTAGCATACATCCGCGGCATTGCCCTCACGTGACGAGGATGGCGAAATCGTCGTCGAGGATGGCGAATGTCGAATTCGTACGATATACCCATGCCAGTTCCGATGACGCCCCCTCCCTTCCTCCGGCGGCAGCTCCTGTCGTATATCAGATCGACCTGCGATGCGGTTGTGCTACACTTTGCAGTCGCCCGAGATGACCACCTGAAGCGACCATGAGCGAGGAAACCAAGATCCGGTCCGTTGCTGTTGTCGGTGCCGGTGCAGCAGGTATTGTCACACCCAGAAACCACCTAAGCCCGTGCTATGTTCGGGACTGTCTTGACAATACTAACCTTGAGTCGATAGGGGCTATCACGGCGGCGGCGTTGAAGGCGGAGAAGTACTTTGGGAGGATTGTAGTGTTCGAGAGGCGCGAGACGCCCGGCGGCACATGGTTGGCTTCCCCCCCCGGTGGCGATCGCCGTTCTGATTATCCCTAGCGATCTTCCGGCTTACGACGCACAGGATCTTCGACCCGGACCCGACGCCGGGCCTCGAGGTCCGGCCCGGCAAGTTGCCGCCCGACCTCGACCTCCCCCTGCAAATTCCCACCCAGCTCCCCCAAGTCACGCCGCCTAACCAGCAGGAGCGCTACTCTAGGACGCCGATCTACAACTCTCTAACGTGGGGACTCTCTTTCCCTATGCATTCCCCCCTATGCTCTGGCTATCTCTTCTGTCCTCTCCTGCGCCGCGATCGTAGGAGAGAAGAAACGAGCTCCGCGAAGTTAAACCTACTGTGAGACAACCGCGGATGTTGACGGGCAGATCAGGACCAACGTGCCCGACATCGCCATGGCCTTTTCCGATCGGCGCTTCGCCTACGGCCCTTTCGCGCCCCACTACGTGCCCCGGCAGTACATCGAGAACTACTTCTCCATCCACGGCACCGATAAGTTCCTCGTCCTCAACACCACCGTCGAGGACATCTCCAAGCTTGAGCCCTCCCTGGACCACTCCCTCGAGCGCTGGAAGCTCACTCTCCGGCGGTACGACCCCGCCCGCCACGTCGATGTCTGGTGGGAGGAGGTCTTCGACGCCGTCATCTTGGCGACTGGGCATTACTCCGTCCCTTACGTAGGTCTCCCTCGCCCGCCCTGAACCAGTCGGCCGTCTTGGGGCGTAGCTGGTCAGCAGCCAAGCGGGAACTAACCGCAACAGGTCCCCCAGGTCGACGGGCTCGAGGAATACATCCGCGCGTTCCCGGGCCGTGTATCGCACTCCAAGGACTACCGCTCGCCGCTAGTGTACGCGGATAAGACGGTGCTGGTGGTGGGTAACTCGGCGTCGGGCCACGACATTACGGCGGAGCTGGCGGGGGTGGCGCGCGCGCCGGTGCTGCAGTCGCGGCACTCGCGCTCGCGCTGGGACGGCGACGCGCCGCCGCCGGGCATCGCGTGGAAGCCCGTCGTGCGCGCCTACGAGGCCGGCGGCCGCGTCGTCTTCGCCGACGGCACCCACGTCGACGCCGTCGACGCCGTCATCTACTGCACCGGCTACGCCGCCTCCTTCCCCTTCTGGAACGACGCCGCCAACGGCGGCCCCCTCTGGGACCACGCGTCCGGCACTCGCGGCGGCAAGCTCGCCGACGTCTACTGGCACACCTTCTCGCGCCGCTTTCCGCGCACCCTCGGCGTCGCCGGCGTCCCCCGCGTCCTCACCTTCCGCAGCTTCGAGTACCAGGCCATCGCGCTCGCGCGCCTCTTCGCCGGCCGTGCCGCGCACCCGCTGCCCCCGCCCGACGAGCAGGAGCGCTGGGAGCGTGAGCGCCTTGACCGTGTCCGCCGCGCCGGCACTAAGTTCCACGACATCGCCTGGGACACAGGCGAGACCGCCGAGTGGCTCGGCGGCCTCTTCCGCATCGCTGGCCTCGGTACCCTCCGCGGCGAGGGCCGCATCCCCCCCGCCCTTACCGACGAGCTCGTCTGGGCTATAGAGCACATCAAGAAGTACCCCGAGCCCGGTAAGGGGAAGGGTAAGGACAAGGACGACACGGCTAGGGGGAGCAGCAGCAGCAGCAGCAGCAGCAGTAGTCTGGGGGATATATGGTCCGGCGCGTGGGTATGGGTTGATAGTCCGCGCAAGGACTTGTTGGGCTTCATATAGAAACGGGACTTGGGTAACTGCATCTATTAGCATAATAGGTACCGTGTCGACTCATTGTATATCACCTACCCGCTTGAATCTCAAAAATGGTTACCCTCGAAATGTATACCGAGTCACATATGCGCTTTTGATTATTTTCCGGTCCCAAGTTATTCGCAGTTCAAGCTCTTCACACCGCACTCGGCTTCGTTAGTAGGAACATCGTAACCCGTTTTTTATTTGCTTGCGCGAAACCTCGTTTACCAGATACCACTTGTTGCTCTCTATCATTCTTGCGTGGACGCCGCGACCGTTGCCTAATAATTTACAGGTGGGCTTGGTTGCAAACGCCGCGTAATGGTTGGCGATATTCTTCGAATACTTTTTGCCGTTCTTCGACCAAGGGCCCGGCTCGACGAGAACTGACTTACTTTGTATACACCGCATAGCCGTGGCGTTTAGAACTCGACACTCTACATGATCAGTCCTTTCAGGATTCCATCGCACTCACATTCTTCCATAAGAGAGTCTCTTTACCACACTCTCAACAACAATACATAGGGGTGGGATTTACGTCTCAGGATCATCCACAGGGGTGTTGAAAACGTCATTCTTCCAACCACCCGCTTCAAACTCCTCGATACGCTCTGCCGCGCGTACTGCCTCTTCATGCCAAGTCTTGACGAGGCTCCCAGGCGCGTACACGCCCTGAAAGACGCCTTTGCCCGGCGGTTCGACGCCCACACGCGTGTACGAATCAGGGTCATTTCCCGGCACTAAACGCGCGGCGACGGCCTTCAGGAAAGTCCACAAGTCGCCGGGGTCCGCGATGCGGGTGGCCCGCAGACGTTCGCGCGCATATAGAAGTTCGCGGTTTCCGGCGTGGAGTAGGGCCGCGATGGCGGTCGCGAGCTGAGCCTCCATAGCACTCTTGAGAACGGGCCGGAGCACGGGTTTCAAAAACCAGCTGACCCATCTCAACTTACTCTCACGGAGCTTGAAGTTAAGCTTATGCACGCGGACGCGGACGCGACGCAGTGTCAGGACCTGCTCGAGCCGGTCGCGGCAGATCTCGACCTCGAGGTGAATATCGATACCACGTTCATCCAATGCGAAACTCGCGATGCCCTCATCCGCGAACCTGAACAGGCGACTGTGGGCACGTAGCCAGAACCCAACCTCGTCCGCGCGCGCCGAGAGCCCGTCGATCTTGATGAGCATGAGATTCTTGCTGCTGGCGCTAGTCCGGAAGCCGGCCTTGCGGATCTCGACATTATTGTATGTTTCGATCTTCAGCCTATGCGGGAGAAATTGTGAGTTATTCACGGTTGTTCCGGGTTCGATAATGAGATTCTCTAGCAATAGATCGATTGCCGGCGTGCTGATTTCGAGGCGCGGGATCGGCACGTGTTGAATAGCGGCGATGAGGAGCGGGATGAAGACACCGAGGCCGTCTTGAATCAGATCAGGATTGATCGCAGAATTCTCGGGAGATATCACCCGGAAAATACGGAGTGTAGTGGCTGCTAGGTTATGGATGTCGTCGTCTCTGAGAACACTCCGGAAGGTCACGGACAATTGCTCGAGAAGCTCGTCGACATCTTGCCGCAAGACACTATCTGGCCCAATCTCCTTACTCCTTTCTCTCAACTCTCGAATTTTTTGATCGGCATCGCTGAAGAAGCCCGGGTCGATGAGAAGCTTCTGCAGGCTGTTTCCAATTTCTTCTAGCAGATTCTCGAATTCAGGATCCGTATCTTTGTGGCTTATGACCCGCTTCAGCTGGTCCTCGCACCTCTCCCACTCACGCTTATTGCCAAAACTCTTGACAAACTCCCACAGGTTAGTGAGGGCACGGTCCGCCTCCTGATTTTCCTCAATGTCACTCTGGGCGACTTCGACGATCTGCTCTACAGACCGCGAGTAGATAACGGCGTAGCGCTTAATAAGTAGCGAAAGCGTAGACACCGAGTTCGAATAGTCTTTTCGCTTGCGGAGGCTGAGGACGGCTTGGTGGAGCCGCTTCAAGAGGGCTTGGCCTTCGTCTCCCGAAAGCTTGTCCTCTACGCTCTCGAACGTGGCACTGGCAACATCCGCGCCGCGATTCGCAAGAACCTCTCTGGCATCTGCGAATTCGTCCTCCAGATTTTGGGCCTCCAGAAGCCCGTCATCGTCGTCGGTTACACTTCGTCCTTCCTCGGAAGACAGCTCTAGTTCTTCGCCCGCTAACCTCGCGGCATCGCTCAAGGCGAAAGCCGAATCTCGGAGTATTTCTCGACCAACGACATGGAGGTCACCCAGAAAAGTGCGGAACTCGGGGTTCGTAAGGAGGAGTGAACCAACAGTCCGCAAGCTCTGGTAAGCGGCGGCGATGTCCGCTCGGGTTTTCGATTTCTTGGCTCTCGACCGGAGGTCATCCACATCGACAGATATTTCGCTCTTGGATAGGAGCCAAATGAGATCCTGGAGCTGGTCCTTGTCGTTTTTGTGGCGCAGAAGCGCGATGAATTGCTGCAGCCACAGCTTGACCAGACGCACCAGTCTCCGGCCGCTGTCGGAGAGATCAGGGTTGTCGGGATTCAATAAGTCACTGGCTAAGAGAGTGCGCAGATTGACTATGACTTGCTCAGTACTGGGCATGTACCCTTCAGTCAGGGCGCGCAACATCTGATAGCTGTGAAGCTTCCGGTACAGCTCCCGCTGCAGATGGGTGTCGTGCTCATACTGAGGGAGCAACGGCTCTTGTTCGGGATCCGACTGCTTCTTCTTCTTCTTGCAGAGACCAAAACAGGACGACAACATTTTCACTTCGCTGTTCCGCAAGTAGGTACTGATGTCAATATATCCGTAGCGGCGACAGTCCCTCTTCGTCAAGGCCCCCGAGCTGGAAACTATGCCGGGACGATGCTGCGGCACATTGAGGGTGGGGAGGACTCTTTAAAGTAGTCCCCGTAACAGTGCCTGGCAAGCGAACGACGTCTTGCTTACGAGCTACAGCTGTTCGTAGGAGAAGTGGCTGGGTTACCCGGCGGAGCTGTTGGCGACCACGTAAGAGCAGGCAATTCCTCCACCAATGGTGCTCAACACCAACCGCGCTCGCTGGCCGCCTCCTGATCGGGCCCCAATCTTAATATCGGGTACCAGCGAGGCTTGCTTAGGCTGACGCCGGATAGGAGTGGGCGCTTAGGCTACGTCGGCTGTGACTCGCGGTTGGATTCGCGTTGTAGGTAAGAAAAAGGCGGGTTGAGTTGTTGTCTCGAAGTTGGCGACGTGCAGGCGAACAACTGCCCCCCTTATGAATGCAGCACAAGTTACGCGTTTCTGATGTCACGGTTAAGCCCCAACTTGCCGCCACACCTGTGCCTATACCTACCTAAGGTATTATGTGGCTCAGCACTGCAGAGTACGGAAGAGTACTACACGTATGGATCTTAGGTACCTATAGCCTACAGGTATCGCCCCAACCTCTCAACATATCAGCCTAAGCTATCTACTGGAACCACCGCCACTAAATCGCTGCATCATCACCACCACTGCCATTACTACCACCAGCTCGTCTGTAGCCTACTCAACCCAAGGTGCCTTCGCTTATTGAAGACCTAGATCAAGTTTCCGCTTTGGGGAAGAATAAGAGAGACATAGGTACTTACAGGTAGTAGAAAGGAGAAAGGGGAGGTACCTACCTACCTATAACTCTCGATTCCACCACCTTCAACGAATTCCTGAGCCCTGAACACCCCCTCTCCCGGAATTCCATCTTGGTCTCGGCTCCCAGCGATGAGCTACCCATGGCGGGATCGCAGAACCGAAGGCGACAGCGCGCCGGCACGCTCTCGCGGGACAACTCTTCAGCTAAGAGGACCGGAGCAGTTAGCGAGCCGGGCAACTTCACGCCGGCATTCTGGGATCACCTGTCTAGGTTTTGGCTCACACCGTGCGCCTTGAGAGAACTCAGCCGTCGAAATAGCGTGTGTCCGACCCCAACGTTTGCAAAACCTGAGGCTTCCTCGAGGGATCTGACTCGACTTGCGAGACACGGTGGCCCAGATCTTCGTCACCTTCGAGGCGTAAGGCTTAAGGAGCTACAACAGCATCTCGCTAGCTACGGTGTGCACATGAACAACCACCAGTCAAATGGTAAGAGTTAGCGCGCGAGAGAGAGCGTCGTTGCTTCGAGGGGGATAGCGAAGAGGTAGTGTTTCAGAACAACGTTATCGCCAAGATTACCCCGGTGATCTACGGGAAGGCCAACATTCCCAACAAGCAAAATGTAACCTTCGCCGAACTCACCGATTATGACCGAAAATATATCGAGGCCGATGCCGGACTTTTTCGACGGGGTGTGCCTTCAGGATTTGAGCACGGGGGCTCGCAAAGACCAGAGCCTCAAACAGATCATCGTTCCGATGAAATACCCAAGAGTCCTGGTAGTACTGAATTTCTTCTTCGAGGTCAAGGGGCCCGGATGGACATGCTCCTGTAGCACAGAGACAGGCTTACTTCGACGACGCGTACGGGACGCACGCCATGCACGCCCTTCGAATCTATAGAGATGGAGCCGACGCACAACGGCAATACCTACACATATAGCGGATATCAATGCCAGCATCATGACGCCAAGCAAGCTATCGAACGTGTTCTAAAGGGGAAAGGGTTTCCAAACGGTCCCTTACTATGTACCGAATAAGACGGCTTGGAACGTGCCGAGGTTGTCGTCGCCCCAAGCCTTGTTTATATCCCGACGGCCTATTATTTCATCCGACACCTCCCCCCCGAACCAATCTGCCAGAAGAGCCATCTCGCCGGATAGTTGATATCGACTGCTATCGCCATCGAGCGTGGCAGTGCAGGATGACATACGCAAGCCTGGGTGGGATCCAAGCTTCCGCGACGACGTCGTGTGGAGGCACTAGCGCCTTGTATGCAATACGTGTATGTCACCGCGCCGTGTAAGTGCGGACTAGAGGGCCCCTAGTGGACTGCTCGAGCAATGCGGCTGAGGAAAAATAGCCTCTTCCTTCCCTGTGTGTCTCTATGCGCTGCCCCCTGCTCTTGATGACAACGAGGATGGTGATGATTCGCGCGTGCTACTTACCTCCTAACTCGCCAGCCAGTACAGATGTGCGAGCGCGTCCCGTGCTACGTAGGAGCGAGGACACGGGCGGCACCCGTGTTTCCCCAGACGAGCAAAGATTGGCCCTGCGGAGGAATAGTTTGTCCTGTCGTAGGCGATGCTGCGGCAGGAAGCACCAGATCGTGCCGAGGTTCAGTAAATAAAAGATCTGGCGCATTCAGCTCCGGACAATCTGGGCCTCCTCCCTTTCCCGCCCTCACGGTAAGACGTGCTGCGAGGTGCTACTCGCATCGGCAAGGCGCCTGGAGAGCGCATATCGAGGTGCCACGGCGTGAGACAAGAGCAATGTCGCTGTGCCTAGGGGCTGTATATAGGCCTCTAGTGACGTACTTGGCGGCTCGCGCCATCGCTGCCGCTATAGACAACTTGTGCCCCCTCCCCACCTAGCCGCTGGCAGGTAGGTAGATGTTTTGCGGCGGCGACAGTGGGTTCTGTCAACTTGGAATCGTTCCGACGCCATGACGCCGACGAGGGAATCCTGTTGCGACCAGGAGAAGGGGGCGATTTTAGTATTTGTTAGCTCGGCCTATTTGCCTCAGCTCATGTTTGCGTGTCTTCCACCAGACGTCTAGGGCTAGTGTGTCTGCTATCCATCTAGGGCATGACAAGCGTGTGTAGGTGAAGCTGATAGTGAAGAGGCCCGCTCTGGGCTGGTTAAGTCCCACGTCTATGTCCACACCGACCTATCGATGACTCCCCCCTTTACACCTCCCTTCTTCGATTGGTGAGCGAGCGCTTAGGCAGCGTGAGAGGAGAGAAGCGTGCGAGACATCCTACCATATTACCTATAAATCTTCCGACGTAACTCACCTCCCGGGGCCCGGGCAATCCGGTCTGCCGTCTTTCCGCCCTCTGCGTCCGGTCTGGTAGGTATATTATACCTAGTCTGTGTGTCGTTGTGGATAATGGACGCGCTTGAGAGTCGTCTATGAGAATCGTTGCCTGTCTCTAGACGTTGACCTCTACTAATAATATTCTTTCCCAGTTTGTATTCTTTTTATTTTTTCTTCTTCTCTCCTATATTTTGAAGCGACCGTCTACTGAAGATACGCTCAGTACTTCACCCACCTCTCACGGCTACTCCACAACTCGAGACTATATATAGTACCAGCCTCATTTTCTCCCCCCCCCCCCCACACTTCACGGGATGAGTGCTGAAGCGGGGACGGGCTCGGCCCAGTTCTCGCTGAAGGACTGCACAGCGGCGACGTGTCCGTACGAGCATTCGTTCTACCTGTATCGAATCGACATCGTGCCGAACGCGGTGTTCGTGGGGCTGTTCGGGGCGTCGCTGTTGGGATTTGTCGGCGTGCTGGCGGCCACGCGCCGCGGCCTCCCCTTCGCGGTCGCTATGGTCCTCGGCCTGCTGTGCGAGATCCTCGGCTACGCCGGCCGCATCATGAGCTGGCACAACCAGTGGTCCGAGGACGGCTTTCTCATGCAGATCTGCTGCCTCACCATCGGCCCCGCCTTCCTCGCCGCCGGCATCTACCTCTGCATCCGCCAGATCGTTTCCGCCTTCGGCCCCGAGAACTCCAGGATCCCGCCCCAGTACTACACCCGCATCGTGAGTCATATCCGGGAAGGGAAGAGAGGGTTGTGGAGGGAAGAGGGGAAGGGGCCTGGCACAGCTACTCCCCCCGTACCCAACGACACAGGTACCTAGAACCGATACGGGCTCACTAGCTAACCCTCTGGTGTGCAGTTCATCCCTTGCGACATCATCTCGCTCGTGCTGCAGGCCGCGGGCGGCGGTCTTGCCTCGTCCGCCTTCCACCAGGGTGAGCCGACCGAGACGGGAGACCACATCATGATCGCGGGGCTGGCGTTCCAGGTCTTCACGCTGCTCGTGTTCACGGCGCTCTCGCTCGACTACGGCCTCAACACGCTGCGGCACCGGCGGCGGCAGCGCGCCCTGGACCCGAGCCCCGGCCCCGCCGCTGCTCCCGCTGCCACTGCCAAACGGCCCCTCATGTTCCGCCTCTTCCCCGCCGCCCTCGCCCTCAGCACCGTCTGCATCCTCTGGCGTAGCGTGTTCCGCGTCGCCGAGCTGAGCCGCGGGTGGACCGGCCCGCTCATGGAGCGGCAGGACCTGTTCGTCGGCTTCGAGGGCGCCATGATCGCCGCCGCCGTGCTCGTCCTCAACGTCTTCCACCCGAGCCTGTGCTTCGGCCCGGACATCACCGACGCCGCTCCCTTCAAGATGCGCCCCTCTGCCGCGAAGCCCGACACCCCTGCCGCTAGCGACTCCGACGCTAAAGACGTCGAGGATCGCGGCGACCAGCGCTGAGGAATTCGACTGTTCCCTCGGAGAGGAGGGGCGATGGGTGGAAGGGGGAGGGAAGAGAATCTCGATAACAATTAGAAGAAAAGAAGAAATCGTGCTGAGATGGAATTGACGGGCGATAGAAGTCATGATAGAGGAACGCTATCAACCCATAACATTTCAAGTCTGGATAGGAAATCTCTCAAGACATCGCATATACAACAATATCTGTTAGGCACAGAATACGATTTGTGGGTAGACCCGCGTCTCTATAGTGCATCTCGTAGTTATGCCTTGGTACAGCCCGAGTGCTCTCGCGAGTATCTCCCTCATGTGAGGTTGTAACTGGGCTTCGGATGGGTCTCAAATCGTATAGCAACAGTGCGCCCTATTCTCCAGTTGATTGGCATCTGCTATTATGCTGTGAACCGGTTGATATTATCTTCCGCTTCTTACATACTTCATCTCCTTTCTCTCCCCAATTCAGGCTATTGACATGGCCCAAGGGCCGTCTATTAATGCCGTCCGGTATCCCTGTGAAGTATTTGTCGCAGGGCTAGCTAGCAAGGCTCGTGATCAGAGTGGCTACGGGTACCAAAAACAGCCCGTAGACGAGCACCTGGATCGTGAACCTTCCCAGAGCCCCTAACCAAACAGGGAGGGACATTGTATTGGTGCCTCCCGGGTGGGGACGAACAACAAAGTCGAAATGATTATCCGACCGCGCGTGTTGCTTAGATAGTAAGATACCTGCCAGTTGAGATATAATGTTGGAAAGGTACGGGAAAATCTACAAGGGAGCTTTCAGGTATCAATGTGCGTTCCTGTGTAAGTGAAAAAAACTACGAGGCCGCCTAGCTCGTACCACTGTCGAGTGGCAACACTTTGGTTTTGTCTTCAAGAAATTCTCGCCTGTGCTTCACAATGGCTTTCGTGATGCGATCGAAGTCTCGGACTCTGTTGGCCTTCAGTTCGCCGAGTACCCTTTTGAGGCTCTCGACGAACCGAGTCCGCGTCTCCCCGGTGAAAATGTCGGAGGAACCGAGCTCGGTGATGATATCGGGATCTAGGACAAACCGTCACGAAGTCAGTCATCCAAGGGGGGGATGCTTTGCAGAAAAGTAGATAAAAAATCCGACGAAATAGCTTTCATCACTCACCCGGAACCACCATCGTGTCAAAGTGCTGGAATTCGCAAGCGTTGCCGTCCGGGCACTGCTCCCCAGATAACACGCGGGGGCAAAGTGGTCGCATCGGGTCAATCCTGGAGCTGTAAGTCATCGACTTGAGGCCGCCCGACACCTCATCGAAGAACCTGGGGTGGAATCTAAATGCGCGGAAATACCCGAGAGGGCTATGATAAGACAACAAATTCTCTACCGTAGGCTCCTCTTCAAGTTCATCCTGCATAGAAGTCAGTGAGGAGTGCTCGTGAGATGAGCTGCTTTGTACTTCTCCACTCGCATGTTGCAGTGAGGACAAGACCGGCTCGCTAGCCGATTGAGGTGCGATAGTCTCTCTTGGTACCTCATCATTGACCTGTTCCTCAATGCGTAGATTGCTCTCTGCGTGGGGTGGCGGGAGCCTCGAAGTATCGTCTTCGGGCCCGGGAAGGGGAACAATGTGGGTAAGAGAAGTTGGCGTTGGGTGTGGCTCCCGCGGACTGTCGGGTATTGGAGACAGGATCTTTGCAGGTAGCAGTTCCGACGTATCTACTCCGGCTCGGCCTTCTGGTTTAGTGTGAGTATCTGCGGCCGCCGCCATCGGGCCAAAGCCGTCTCCGTCATCCTTGTTAAGCCCGTCCGTGGAAGGAGCCCCAGGTGCTGTCTTGTCATGGGCAGCATTGGCTTGTTCTTCGTTGCTGAGGTTGGGTTTCTGTAGCTCAGAAACAGTAGCCGGGGCCAGAACCTTTTCTGGGACGCCAGTGCCAGGAAGCGATGAGTCCAAAATAGGTTGGATACCGTCCGAGACCACTTCGGTGTCTTGCTCGATCGCGTACTCTCCATCCGTCATCTGTACGTCGAGAGTTCGCCCGGGGCTCATTTGCTGCTCGTCCGGAGGCTGTGATTCTGCTACCTGATCCGGCTCCGAAGCAACACTTCTAGCAGCTGTATGCTTGTTAGCACTGCGTTTTCGGGGATGGTACGGAGGTGGTGCACGTTCGTAGTTCTCAGTGACCCAACTTACCGTAGGAAATAGATTCAGATTCTGTGTTTGTTTCAACAGGCACTGCCTCGAGAGAACCCTCCAGCTGCTCCATTTCTGCAGTCAGCTTATGTCGTCTCTCTATACTCGCCTGGATCTCGAGTTCGAGTTGGGCAGCTTCCGAAACCACCTGTCTCAGCTTTTCCTGCTGCTCCTTAAGAGTAGCCTCAACAACTGGTAATTCGTGGCTCGCGATCCTATCACGCCTCTTGAAACTAACCTTCCTTATCTCTTCTCGCACGCTCGACACCTCTGACGCTTCTGACTCTTTCAGCAGCAGAATAGATTCTGAAACTTCAGTCTGGGCCTGTGGTGATTGCGAAATCCTCGTCATCTTGGAGGCCTTCTTAACCTCGGCCTCGGCGATCATCCGCTTCATCTCTTCGATTCGCTTATGCAGTAAGTCCAGCTTAGGCCCGTGTAAAGGTGGCGTCGGCACTGCGCTTGACGCGGGACTCGAGCGTTGCTTGCCGTTCGTAGGGTCGGAAAGTGGCGGAAATGAGCCCAGAGAGGTTTGCTGAAGCGGACTTGTCACCTCGGTCGACGAGTTAGGCTCGTCAATAGGAGAGCCAATGTCCATTTCAACGTCTTCATCGTCACTAACATCGATAATCAACGTCTCCTGAGTGCGAGATCGTTTGAGTGACCCGCTATAAACTGGGTAGTTATCGAAATCCGAGGCAACTGGACGTTTCAAGGTGCGGTTTAGGGCTTGTGCCGGCGGAGTGGATAGGAATAAACCCGGGATGCCCCCTTCTTTAGGGACGCTCCTTTCCGTAGGCACGGGATGCTGATCGGGCCCTGATGCAGGTATCGCAACTACGGGAGAGCTCGCGGACAATCCTGCATTATTATGCACGGCGGAAACTACGGCCGGGAGAGCAGTAGACACACCCGGGGGCGTAGGAGGCTTATCGGGACTGTCAGCCACTAACTTCTCTGCCTCTGCCTTTTCTTGTGCTTTTTCTTGTGCTTTCTTCAGTGCCGCTAGCTTTTGGTGTAGAATCGCATTATTCTCTGCCCGGGTTTTGTTCTTTGCAGGGGACGCAGCTGCGGAGGCTGCAGTATTCACGGCATCCGAAGGAAGCCTGTGCGGTCGAGTAAGTGTAGGGACCGGGACTGATGCCGTTGACTTCTGTGCCTTCGCGGCTAGTTTTCGGGCGATCTTGTCCTTTCGTTCCTCTGCCGCGGACTTCTCTGTAGTCTTTGTATCACTACTAGGACCCGGATTTATGGTAGGCTTGGCGGTAGCGGTTTGCTTCGGCTTCGACGTAGTTTCGGTTTGATCGGTGGCGTCCTGTGGCTTATTGACGTCCTTGGCAGCGTCGGGGACAGTCGCGGTTGGGACTTGAGGTTCATCCGTGGTCTTCGGAACTACGACAGGCCTAGGCATCGAGGTGTCTAGACCCAAATCCATGAATAGCCCCTTCATCAACTTCTCATCGAACCCTTCCTTGATATAGTCCTGATATCGAACCTTGAAGGGCCATAGACCCAGAATGGCTTCTTGGGCCTTCCTTTTTGCCTCGGATATGGAGATAAAAGGTGAATTGTTTTCGAAATTGTTCGGAGCGACGGTAGGTACTGTAGCATGGCCGGTAGCAACCGAACTTAAGAGAGGCACGTCATTTGAAAATGGGTCCTCCGCCGAGTGTTGCGGCGAAGGCTCTGTGCCTACACCCGGAATAGAGTGTGTGGTGGTTTGGATGCCATGAGGCTCTATAAACAGTTAGGTACAGTAGAAAATGGGGCACGCTTTTAGAACGACCTACGTTTAGATCCGTGGGCAGTCGCCTTAGTTACCGGCGCCTTACGCTGAATCTCCCTAGGTGAAAGATATGGCGAATAGGAGCCGGACCTCTCACGTTCTTGGTCGGCACGCTCCCATTCTGCACCGGGAGAATATTCTCGTTCGGGGGCGGGAAGTGATGTGGACGTGCTATTGGTAATGACTTCTCCTCGAGGCGTCTCGCTATCGTATATGGAGGATCCATCGGCGTCCCCAACGCTGCCCTGTCGATTCCCTATAATGCTCGGCGCTCGAGGAGGCGGTGGGTTGGGGATACTGGGAGCATTATTGGAAACCTTGGGCTCGTAAAGGTCTTCGAATTCGCCCTCGCTTAACTCTCCTTCTTCTAGGGTAGAATTTTCTTCCCGGGAAGGGACCACGGTTTGAAGCTGCGAACTCCGCGTCGCGGTAGTCTCGGGTTGGGGGTACGGCACAATTTGGAAAGAATTGCCTAGTCCCAAACCGGGTATGCCATTGGCATTGTGTTGGTAAGTGTTGACGACCGCGTAGTTCTCGGTGGTGATATTAGGCGGATGCAAGGGGCCGTGGTAGGGAAGCTGAGTGTTCGGTGGCGGCGGTAGGGGTTGATTATAGAAATAGGGATTGGGAGGGACTTGCTGGCCTGGATAGTGGCCATATCTGTAAGGGTGTTCGGACATCTTTGGGAGGGACGCGATGCATGAGGAAAAAGGTCACGGCGGCTTGCACAGGCTGTGGGTGAAGGCCAGAGACAAAGCCGGTTGTTTCGGGTTGCGAGTACGCAGGGGCACAAGCACAGTCGTCGGACTCTCGAGTAACCAGGCTATGAGGCTCTCTAGTTAGTATACCGCAGAAGAGACAGAGACAGAGAGAGGTAGAGAAGTAACTGAAAGGGAGATGAGTGATATCAACTGAGCCTCGACGCGCGTGTCGTAGAGTCAAGGGGACCAATCGGGTAGAATATATATAGGGCGCTCCGCAGGAAGAAAGGCGGCAAGATGCTTACATGGAAAAGAGAGGTTCAGGCAACCGAGATCAAAGGTGGTGGCAATACGCGACGAGGACACTGTCCTTGAGGGCGAAGCCGATGAAAGCGCTGCAGATGGGGATGGCGTCAGCCGACTCCGAAGTAGTCGCCTCAGTATTGTGACTTGGTATTGTGCGTTACCTGTGTATGTGTTTCGATAAAACCCTGCGAGACTGGATGAACTGACCAGGTCGGGTTGTGGATGGGCGTGGATGCGGACGGACAGATGGGATTCAGATTGGGTATCGGCCAGCAGCGATCAAACCGTGCTGAGAATGCCAGGACGGGGCTGGCTTCGCCGCCCGTATTACATAATCGGAGTAGGTTGTAGGTACCTGTCGAGACCCAGATTAGGTAGCAGGTACCTAAGATCAAGTAGTACCTCCGGCCTAGAGCGGGCTCGGGCTCATCGGCGCTGTAGTAAATCCGAGAGCCGACGCCAACTCTTCAAGCTATTACATACCTATGTACATCAGGATGAGAATAGATGAGCTAAATAACGAAGACTACCAAGTAGCGCTATGAGGAATCGAACTTATCCTTCATTAAGTGACCTACTGATCTAGAATTACACGGTACGAAGTACCAGCCTGTCCGAATATAAATAGCCTGTAGGCAAGTACCTCGGGTAGACACACGTACCTACATGCCTAATTTTTGCGCAGGCTCACAACTCGATACTAGCTGCCATTGGCCGAGGTCGGCTGCGGATCCAAGTGAGCCCTTGATTGACAGCGTCGTTATACCTGCTTCCTCCGCATATATAGGTACCTATGTACCTATGTACCTACATCGGCAAGGGCAGGGTACCCCATATTTAGGCATGTACCTAAGGTAGGTATGTACCAAGGTACCTCATGTACATACACGTAGGTACAGGTCCGGGGGTGGGTGCCACCAGCGCTGGGTAGCATCCGTACCTACCTAACCTACCTAACCTCCACTAGAAGCCTACTACCTACGACGTTAGGTGGTACTTCTCAGAGTCGCTCCGCCAAGACGAGGATAACAACCGCTACGTAGTGTGTACTGTTTACTTTCTACACACCGTTGCCGGGCGCTCCCACTTGTCAACAATCCCATCTACCGACTTCATCTTGCACCACCATCACCCCCAGGGACAATTAATCAGCACGCGACAACACAAGACCAATTTGTATGCGTTGCTCTGCTCCCGGCCAGAGCTGAGAAGGCGAGGGCTTCGACCGGGTTCCGTTCGTTTAATACCCAGTTTTGGACGCTCGGTTCTTTTCTATGGCATCGCCCCACGATACCAGTTTCTACTCATACAGTTCATGTACTAGCGCTTGAATACTGGCCGTCGAGGGCAACCGTTCCAGGCATCGTACGCCGACGAGCCCTCCGTAACCTTGGGTCCGTGACTTGGCAGATGCGTCACCCCGAACCCCCAATACACCCAGAATGTCGCAACCTCGCAACAATCCCTTCGCCCGCAGGGCTTCGCCGACGCCCTCGCCAGCTCCAAGCGGCGCTAGCAGGCCGAAATCCGCCATCTTCCCCTCCCCATCGACCGTCCTCACTAGAGTAACAACACCGCCCACCCATACCCGTACCCAGTCCTATGCGCCGGGCGCCGCCGTCAATCTCGTCCCCGTCGACTCCCACGGCCCGAGGCAGCACAGGGCCGACTCCAAGAGCAATGGCCCGAACTCGACTACCTTCGCGCCGTCGTTTATCAAGACTGAAGAGATGCGGAGGAGTTTGGACCCTGTCAAGGGAATCGAGGGGGAGAATGACTTCTCCGGCAAAAGATACGTCTGGCTTAGGGATCCGCAGGCCGCCTTCGTCAAAGGCTGGATTGTCGATGACCTCGGCGAGGGTCGTATATTAGTACAGTGTGACGATGGCAGCGTGAGTATCCCCGTAACCACATCGGCGGCTAGCGATGCTGACATCCGCTGGTAGCAACGGGAAGTGGACGGCGAGAGTGTGGATAAGGTCAACCCGGCCAAGTTCGATAGGGCCAACGACATGGCGGAGTTGACGCACCTAAACGAGGCGTCTGTCGTCCACAACCTCCATATGAGGTATCAGACGGACCTGATATACACCTACTCGGGGCTCTTCTTGGTCACGGTGAACCCCTATTGCCCCTTGCCGATATATACCAACGAATACGTCAACATGTACAAGGGCCGAAATCGAGAGGATACGAAACCCCATATCTTTGCCATGGCCGACGAGGCGTTTCGGAACCTCGTGGACGAAGGCGAGAACCAGAGCATATTGGTTACCGGCGAATCTGGTGCGGGGAAGACCGAGAACACGAAGAAAGTAATACAATATCTTGCGGCAGTGGCCCATTCAGAGTCTCCGGCAAAAGGCCGAGTGCAGCACTCGACCCTCTCGCAGCAGATCTTGCGAGCCAACCCTATCCTCGAGGCCTTCGGAAACGCCCAGACGGTCCGGAACAATAACTCGTCCAGGTTCGGAAAATTCATCCGCATCGAGTTTACTCGCAACGGGGCAATCGCTGGCGCTTTCATCGACTGGTATCTGCTGGAGAAATCCCGAGTTGTCCGCATCAACTCCCAGGAGCGCAATTATCACGTCTTCTACCAGCTGCTGAAAGGCGCCGATCAGCAAATGAGGCAGGAGTTCTTCATCGATGGTCTCGGGATTGAAGAATTCACCTACACCCGCGAGGGCCACGACACGATATCCGGGGTCTCCGATCTTGACGAGTGGGACATGCTGCTGGAGGCCTTTGACGTAATGGGGTTCTCTGAAAAGGATCAAAAGGCGATTCTGCGGACCGTCGCGGCAGTCCTGCACCTGGGCAACATCACCGTTGTGAAAGAGAGCCGGATGACCGACCAGGCACGGCTCTCCCCGGATGCTAAAGAGGTAGCTGATAGGGTGTGCCGACTTCTCGGTATTCCCTTGGAGCCCTTCCTGCAGGGGTTACTTCATCCTAAAGTCAAGGCCGGCCGCGAGTGGGTGGAGAAGGTTCAGACCCCGGAACAGGTTCGACTTGGTATCGATGCCCTCGCGAAGGGTATCTACGAGCGAGGCTTCGGCGACCTTGTCACGAGAATCAATCGTCAGCTCGACCGGACGGGCCTAGGCATCGACGACTCGCATTTCATCGGGGTGCTCGATATTGCGGGATTTGAGATCTTCGAGGAGAACAGCTTCGAGCAGCTTTGCATCAATTACACAAACGAAAAGCTCCAACAATTTTTCAACCACCACATGTTCGTCCTTGAACAGGAGGAGTACGCCCGAGAACAGATTGAGTGGAAGTTCATCGACTTTGGCCGCGATCTCCAGCCGACCATCGATCTCATCGAGCTATCGAATCCCATCGGCATCTTCTCCTGCCTCGATGAGGACAGTGTCATGCCGAAAGCTACCGATAAATCATTCACGGAGAAGCTGAACTCCTTATGGGACAAGAAGTCCAACAAGTATCGTCAATCACGCCCCGGCGCACGCCACGGGTTTATCCTAACCCACTACGCCGCCGAGGTTGAGTATTCGACGGAAGGCTGGCTAGAGAAGAACAAGGATCCCTTGAACGATAATGTTACCCGATTGCTCGCCGCCTCCACGGACAAGCACATCTCCAACCTATTCTTGGACTGCGCTGACACCGACGACGACAACGTTACCTCTCGAAGTAGAGTCAAGAAGGGCCTATTCAGGACAGTTGCTCAAAGACATAAGGAGCAGCTGTCCAATCTCATGTCCCAACTCCATTCTACCCATCCTCATTTTGTGCGCTGCATCCTCCCAAACCACAAGAAGCGGCCCAAACAGTTCAACGCGCTGCTCGTTCTCGACCAGTTGAGGTGTAACGGTGTTCTCGAGGGTATAAGGATCGCTCGGACAGGTTTCCCCAACAGGCTATCGTTCGCCGAGTTCCGGCAACGATACGAGGTCCTCTGCAAGGAAATACCGAAGGGATACCTCGAGGGACAGACCGCCGCGGCGTTGATGCTCGATAAGCTAGGGATAGACAAGTCCCTTTTCCGTGTTGGCCTCACCAAAGTGTTTTTCCGGGCCGGGGTGCTCGCCGAGCTGGAAGAGCGACGTGATGCGTTGATTACCGAGATAATGGCTCGGTTCCAGTCCGTCGCTCGTGGTTATGTCACACGGCGAATGGCCTTCAAACGGCTGTATCGCACTGAAGCGACCCGGGTTATACAGAGGAACTTTCAAGTCTACCTTCAGCTCTGCGAGAATCCTTGGTGGCAGCTTCTTATCAAGATGAAGCCACTATTGGGCGCGACTCGGACCGCTATCGAAGTGAAGAGGCGAGATGAAAAGATCCAGCTGCTTAATGATAAGATGAGGCAAGAATCGGAAAATCGTATCAGGCTCGAGGAGGAGAGGCGCAACTGTCACGCAGAGCTAATGCGAACGCAGCAGATCCTCGAGAGCGAACGAGCCTTGGCATTGGACAAGGAGGAGATTTTCAAGCGGCTCCAGCTTCGCGAATCCGAACTCGAGGAGGAACTAAAGGGAGCCATCGAAGACCAGGAAAAACTCGAGATCCAACTCGATGATCTCCTCGATGCCAAGAAAAGGGCCGAACAAGAGGTGGATAAGTACCGAGCTCAGCTGGATCAAGCTGCTGCTTTGATTGCCCGGCTCGAGGAGGAGAAATCAGATCTAAGTACTAGGGCGTCTAAACTCGACATCGAGATCCAAAACCTATCCCAGAAGCAGGCAGACCGAAGCGCACAGGAAGCTGCTCTCGAGGATGAGGTCAAGATGCTTCAGAGCCAGCTATCGCTGAAAGATCGAAAGCTGCGAGATATCGAAGGTAAACTTCTCAGGTCCGAACAGGATGCCGACGTCAAGCTCGCGTCCGTCCAAAAGGAACTGCAGTCTATCAAGTCTAGAGAGCAGCGTCTTACCAAGGAACACCGCGATGCCCAGCAGCATCTATCCGAATTATCCAAGACGTCGACAGACTACGAGGAGCTCGTCAGGAAGAAGGAAAGCGAGCTTTCCATTCTTCGTTCGGATAACAAGAAATTCCAGATGGAGCAGCGCGGCTTCGACGAGCAGAAGAAGAAGTTAATGTCTGAGAAGGAGAAGACAGCTGATCGTCTGCGGGAGGTTCAAGCTGAAATGGTTGCTATACGGTCTCAGCACTCGCAACTCCAGCGAGAAGCCGAGGACGCTAAGCAACTTCTACAAGCTAGGCTTTCCGAAGACGCTCAAGCAAACCAGAATCGCGAGGTGCTGGAGTCCCAGATCAAGGACCTGAAGGACCAGCTGTACAACGTCCAGATGGAGCTGAGCCGGGAACGCCAATCACGAGACGATGTCGCTCTCCTCGCCGAGCACAAATATCAAGCTCTTCAAGAAGAGCACGAGCGGCTCAAGGAATCCAAGATCACGATCGAGAAGGAGCTCTATCTTCAACAGGACACATTGCGGCGCACCATGGAAATACGGGCGACGGCCGAAAGGGAACGAGACGAGGCGCGAGACGAAATCCGACGGCTACGAGTAGCGAAAACCCAGGCTGAGGAAGCGCGGATAAATGCAGAAGAGGCAGGCGAGCGCAATGCTACCCGCGTGGCCCGGGAAAGAGAAGCCAGCCTGCAGAGGGATCTCGACGCGATGCAAGACCGGCTAAGGTGGTTCGAGGCCGAGTGCGAGAAGCTAAACCGCGAGATAGAGGATCTCAACAAGTTTATGATCTCCTCGGGGGAGTACGGACTCAAGAATGACCAAGCCAAGGAACGACTCGAGCGGGAACTCGTCACGGTCAAGGGTCGTCTAACCGCGTCCGAGAATGACAACCGCGCCTTGCTCAATAAGCTCCAACAGAAGGGGCTTGAAATCGCACGATCCAGTTCGAGGGCTAGCGAGGCCTCGAGAGGACAGATTCAAATCCTGCAGCGCGAGAAGGCGAGAATGGATGAGCAGAACAAGAAGCTCAACAAACAACTCGGAGAGGCGTCTTTGAGCATAGCCGGCTTAGAGAAAAAGGTTGAGAAGTTACAACTAAACGTTGAGGACCTGAACCACGAGGTGGCGCGAGAGGCCAAGTCCAGCCGCAACGCCGAGAAGGCTTCGTCGAACCTCACCACGCAACTTGCCGAAGCCAACCGGACGATCGAGTCCGAACGCCAGCTACGAACCCAGGCGCAGTCTACTATCCGCGCTATGCAGGTGACCGTCGACTCTCGGGACAAGGAGTTAGAAGAGCTTCGAGCACAAATGCTACGCGTCTTGAAGGCAGTCGATCCCGAGATTGTAATACCCGCCCAAGACGACGCGAGTCACGATAAGATCATGAGCAAAAACTTCGACATGCTAAGGAAGATTGAGGACTTGCAGCAGAACCTCCGAATACAGACCGCGGCGCGGACTAATGCTGAAGCACAACTGACGGAGCTACGCGCGAGTCGCGGAGGGTCTCCGGTGCGGCCTAAACTTGAGGAGATGCATCCTAACGAAGCTCCTTTCAACGGCTCCCCGACGCAAAAGCGACCCAAGTTTAACGGGCGACGTTACTCGAATGCCTCCACCCCGACGCGCCGGCGTGGCAACGACAGTGAACCGGTGCCGGATTCAGGCAGGTCAGACCGTACCGCAGACATCCTCAGCTTCAACAATAGGCAGGACCTCAAGACCGAGCTCGAAGAGCTGCAGAATCAACTTCAGATATCGCAGATGCAGAACCGCCACCTCCAGAGCCAACTCGAACGTGTCACGACGGTTCCAGACACGAGTTTCGGCGACGACAGCCCCTCCATTCGCCGGATACAGAAGCTGGAGAAAGTCAACAACCGCCTGCACGATATGCTCGACGATTCTACGAGGAAAGTCTCTCAGCTAGAGAAGACTATCAGGAGTGGCGAGTTGTCCGTGCGCGACCTCCAGACTCGGTCCCACGAAGAGATCCTTGAGCTGCTCAACAGTCAAGAGGATTCCAGACGTACACTTCTACACACTCATAACGACGCTATAACCGAGCTAAGCGACGTCAAAGAACACTTCGAGAAGATGAGGCACGAGCGCGCAAGGCTCGAGGTTGAGCTCCGTGACGCGAAGTCGGACCTACAAGAGATGACTGCCGCCCGAGAGCAGGAGTCCGCCAGCCGCAGCCAGCTACTTGAGGAGTTCGCCGATCTGCAGATTCGACTCGATGCCGAAACTTCTCAACTGGCAGACGTTACTTCTAGCCTCGAGATGTACAAAAGCCGCGCCGACGAATATTTCAGTAAACTTGAACAGGCCGAGATCGCCGTCCTCAAGGCAACACGGGCCGAGCAGTTTGCCAAGTCCCAAGCCAAAGAGGCAGAAGAGGCCTACGCCGAGATCATGTCTCAGCGGAACAAGTCTGACGGGAGCATGACGGATATGCTCCGCCAAAACCAACGTCTCGAGGAGAAGTTGGAAGATATTTCGACGGACCTAGAGGCCGCTTTGCAGGCCAAGAAGCGTCTCCAGCACGAGCTCGAGGACTACAGGAACCAGAGGGCTATCGACCTCGAGGATAAGGAGGCGAGCATGGAGCAGACGCGCAAGAAGTATCAGGCCGAATTCGCTACGCTCACCAAGGAACTCGACCTGGCGCGTGAGGAGAAGCTCTACAAGCAGTCCGAAATCGCTCGACTGCGCGAAGAACTCGACGACCTCCGATCGAAGTGGGACGACGAGGTGCTCAACAGCGCAACGTGGTCGAAGGAGAAATCGCGTCTCGAGACTACGCTTGCTGACGTGGTCGCTTCGCGCGACGAGGCAGTTAGCGCACACAACGAGGCCCAGAGCAAGGTCGTGTCCCTCCTCTCCCAAGTTAGGACCCTTCGCAGCTCCGTCGACGACATTACCGCGGAGCGCGACGTGCTAGTTCGGGAGAAGGCCAGTATCGAGGCGAGACTCAAGGAGGCGAAGGCGGGGCTCGAGGATCTCGCCAAGAGCGAGAGCCCAGCATTGCGCAACGCCGCTAACACCGACAAGGAGATACTGGAGCTGAAGTCTAGCCTCGCCCAACAAGAAGACATTGCCGTCGCGGCGGTAGAGAAGATGAGGCGAGCCGAGTCGCTGGCCAACGAAGTGGCGAAGGAGATTGCGGCCGAGCGCGAGATCAGCGCTGGGTTGTCTAAGCAAAAGGCAGCTCTCGAGAAGAGCCTCAACGAGGTGCAAGTCCGGCTTGTCGATCTGGAGACTAAGGGATATTCAAGCGGAAGCCAAGATATCAAGTTCTTGCACAAACGCATCCAAGAAGTAAGTACATCGGTCCACCCTCACCAGCCCCGAAGCTCGAATTTCCACGCGGCGCGACGTCGCCATCGAGAGATTCTTCGCTTAACGACTCTTCCTCTCTCCTTCTTCCTCCTCCTCCTTCCCCCCACTCCCTATCTCTATCGTCGCCGTAGTTTTCGCAAAGCTTACCAGAGGCGCGACGCAGCTCGAATCGCAGCTCGAGGAGCAGGAGGACGAGCGGTCCAAGTCGCAGCGTTCGGTGCGTAACGTGGACCGGATCGTGAAGGACCTGCAGTCGCAGGTGGAGCGGAAGGACAAGCAGGCGGAGCAGCTGCAGGAGGACGTGGCGCGGCTGCGGGACCGGGTGGAGAAGCTGCTGATGACGATCGACGAGCTGCAGGCGAGCGAGAGCGAGAACCAGCTGTCGACGCGGCGGGCGGAGCGGGAGCTGCGGGAGGAGCGGGAGAAGACGCTGCGGATGGAGCGCGAGCTCGAGGGCTGGAAGCACCTGCGGCTGGAGAAGGGCAGCGTCAACGGCAGCGTGCGGGTCGGCACGCCGGCGGGCGGCGGCGTCGTCGCCGCCGCCGCCGCCGGCTTCGAGGGCGCGGCCATGCGCCGCCTCAACAACAACGCGTGGAGGAGCGGGGCCGGCGCCGCCGCGAACGGCGACGCGGACGACGCGGCGAGCCTCGCCGGCGCCGGCATCGAGGTCCCGAAGCGCAAGAGCAGCCTCAAGCGCACGCCCAGCCTGACGAAGGGATTCTTGTGAGCGGGACGAGGGAAGGAAAGGAATTGGTTCAGGGGTATATGAGGATAAGGGGGAAAGGAGGATGATGGCATGGGGGGGCAGGGGAAAGGGAAGGGGAAGGGGAAAAGAAAGGGGAAGGGGAGAGGGACGGATACCGAAGACGGGAGTTGTACGATTGGCGAGCCGGTCTTTTATTTTTTTGCACTCTTAATTTTTTTTTTCGCAGGCACATACATTAACGTTCCTACGACGACGAACACTATGTATTTTACGAGGGGGCGCGCGCGCGCACAGGCGACGAGTATGATGGTAGTGGCGTCGAGAAAAAGAGATACTGCGTGCGGTGATAGGGGTTGGTTGGTTGTTATCGCCAACGGCCGCGGTTCTGCGGCTCCGTGCTGCGTGCGTGAAGGGGAGCGAAGGTGTCTCTGCTCATCGCCGCCTAGTCCCCCGGCGGTATTCCTCGCGTCGCGGCTCCTCGTCCGTCCACGGCCTCTAGGCTAAAACCCGGCAACCAAACAACGGGCGGCGGCCTCGCCGGTTCGCGCCCCCGACCCCTAGTTCTCGGGCCGCTCAGGCTAAGACAGGGGCGTGCCGCGCCCGCGCCTCCATGCAGCGTGGGCGTGGGCGTGTGTGTCGGCGCCATCGTCGGCTCCGCCGCCCTCCTTCCCCCCTATTCCCTACCCCCCCGCCAAGCCCCACCCCACACCCCGCTCTCGCCGCGCCGCGACGGCCACCGGGCGACAGCCAAGCTCGCGAGGCTGGGGTGGAGGGCGGTGCCTGCGCACGCGCTGCTGGACCGGCCAGACGCGCCGCGTCGGCGTCTCGCGAAGGGGGGAGGGGGGGAAGGGGGCGACGAATGAGCGCGCCTCTGCTATTGGGAGGCGCGGGGAGAGGCTGCGGCCGCTGCTGGCTCTGGGCCTACCACAGCGTCTGCCGGGGCTCGCCGCGGGGTCGTCATCTGTCTGCCGGTGGCACGCGAGGGGAGAGAGAAGGTGGGGGGGGGGGGGGGCGCTTCGTGGAATGTCCCCAAGGCTGCCGTGTCTCGTCCGTCTGTTTGTCTGCGCTCGTCTTCTTCCTCTTCCCACCTCGCTTGCGCCCGCCCCCCCCGGCTACCTGCTGGCCGCTCGCTGTTTTCGCCTGCACGCCTTAGCGACCATCAACACCGCGCCCGCTCGTGCTGCGGCTGGTTGCTGCAATTGCCATATCGTAGTTTTTTTTTTTGTTTTCTTCTTCTTCTCGTTGTTCATTTTTGAGGGGGGGTCGGGCATTGTTTGTTGTTTTTCCGTCGCGGCCCGCCCGACGACGACGACGCGCGTCCCCCCTTCCCCTCCCCGTCCCCATGGGCAACCGACTCGCAAAGCAGCGCTCCTACTACTACTACGGCGCCCGAGGCCCGGCGCCGCGCCGCGGATACGCGAGCTACGACGATTCCGAGGACGCAGGCCCCGACGAAGCGACGGATGCTTCTTCCTCCGCGTCCTCCTCCTCCTCCTCCCGCTCCTACGCGACCCCCCGGTCCGCGCCGCTCCTGTGCTTCTTCTCGCCCGCCGAGGAGCACGAAGGACGCGGCGCCGGCTGGGGCGGCGAGGTCGTAGGGATCTCGCGGCGGAAGGGCTGCGTAAGTCGAGAGAATCTCCCCCTTCCTCCCGCCCTCCGTCTCTGCTCCCTCCTCTCTCCATCTCTCCATCTCCCCTTTTCTCGCCCCGCCCCCGGCCGACATTCAGGCCTCCTCCCCCCGCCCTTCCGCCACGCCACCGATATCGGACAACGAAGCGAGGTGACACGAAGAAGGAAAAGAGGGAGAGGGAGAGGGAGGGGGGGACGGCGGGCGGACACCAACTTCGCTGACGAAACGGCCCCCGCAGCGGTCCCTCAACCACTGGTCCGTCGCCTTCCGCCCCGAGGTCGACGTCGCGCGGCTGCCGCCCCAGATCTCCGGGTTCCGCACGCGCGTGCCGGTGGAGGTGTGCCGGGCGCGCTGCGAGCTCGGACAGGCCCTGTACATCTCTACTATAGATGGTCGCGCCAGCGGCAGTGGCAGTAGTTATAGCAGTAGCTCGGGTGCCGAGGGATAAGAGGCGAGGCGGTTGTCGCATTGGAGTATAGCGCTGATGGTAGGCATATTTACTTGCTTGTACGGTCGGCTCTTGGGCGTTGGGTAGGTATAGCGCACGTATGTCATACATGTCGGGGATTGCATGTCTTGTCTTCCCTTCTTTCTTGTGGCTTCGAGGGAGTTGGATGTCGCGGCTGTACATTTTACAATGGGTTACGGGACAGGACGGGGTGGGCTGGCCCGACTTCTGCTATTGCTTATGAGGGAAGAAATGATTCACGATACTTACTTATTGACGACTGGATGAGGTTTCTTATCATACATGTCAGCACCTCTCTGTAGGGGCTATCGGGGTTCATTCTACAGGGGATTTAAGACGGAATCGGCTCCCTTTCAAATCATGTTTTAATAAGCTGGGTGCGTTTTTTTATAATATTGTGTTATTAGCTATCAACAAGTAGTACCTATTTACAACTGCGACCCCCAGGTCCAGGGATCCGGGTGTAACACAGGGTACCTTGACAGTAGGCCTGGCATTGTCTTGTCAACTCGGGTGGCGCGTATCTGACCAGACCCTGGTAATGGTGAAGACCAAGTGAGTGACTTTTTTTTTAGGTGGTTTTCTCTTTTCCGTTTTTTTTTTTTGTGCTTTTGAGGGGATTATTTTGTTCTTTTCACAGCCGCCCAGGAAGCCATCCGGAGAGTGCTATCCACCTGATGGGATGCAGCAATCTCAATAGTCTCAATCTTGAGAGGGGTAGCATTACGGGGGGCCGGAAAGAGTGAGATGAAAGGAAATGGAAAGTGAAGTGAACAAACGGATGAACAACCGAGAGATTGATGGAACAAGATGAAATCAGGTGAAAGGGGGAAAGGGAAATGGGGGAAGTGAAGTCAAGCATACTGAGGTAGACTCAGATAAACTTGAGAGGGTATCAAAGTAAGAATCTCGTAAGAGGAGCTATAACAACGTCCCCCGCCCTTGGTGAAAGAAAAATAAAACCTGAAATGTTGGTGAGCCCATCCACCCGAGCGTGGTCCTGAGCTCAGATGACAGGTATAGTAATAGTGAGAAGAGCTGGTTGGCAGATTTGTCCTTGGGGACCGCCTGGCCCCAGTCTTCTAGGTGGTGGTCCGTGAGCCAGATTATCAGAGTGGTTTGACTTGTGGTTCCCGGCTAGGCCAGTCTCGCAGATGTCGTCCACTCATCTAACTCGTCGTAGTCGTCGTTGTCCTCCTCCTCCTCTTCTTCTTCTTCTTCCTCTTCCTCCTCCTCCCCCTCTTCTTCCTCCTCTTCTTCCATTTCCTCGTCCTCCGCTTCCTCGTCGTCTTCCTCTTCCTCGTCGTCTTCTTCTTCTTCCTCTTCTTCTTCCTCTTCTTCTTCCTCCTCCTCTTCCTCCTCTTCCTCCTCCTCTTCTTCCTCTTCCTCCTCTTCTCCCTCTCCCTCTTCCTCAGATACCTGTGAACGCAGCTGCGCGAGCTGGATGTCCCACTTGAACTTTAGTTCTTCCCAGGTGTTTCTGAGGGTCTCAACACGTGATGGGAATTCCAAGTCGTGAAAGGCTGGCGAGTCGCCACCCAAGGCTTCGAGTATGTCCTTCGGCGAAACCATGGCTTCCCTCTGCCTCAAGAGGGCACGATGATCTTCCCACCTGCGTCTAGCCAAGTTTGGCACCAAGATTTTTATGTAGTAGGCGCGAATCTTGACCTCCAAGGCGTCGCATGCCAGCGTGTGCAGCGGTTCCCATGATGGCTCGCCTTCATCCACCCAAGTGACGCGGCACTCGATATCAGACTCGCCCCATCGGATATCAGTGATGTGGTCGACCTCCCACACGAGATTGCCCTGCAACGAATACTTCGGTTTGACCCGCACATTCACGCCCAGTTTAGTATCTGGCCGTCTTGACCTGAATCTTGTCCTTGACGAGATTCTGCTGGTAGAGCTGGCGAGAAGGTCCTGGTCGATTCGGTCGTCCCCTGGGAAGTCTATATTTGCATGTTCCAAGGCTCTAGCTACCTGCTGCCTGCCTGAGACCCTTTCCTTCCATGCTTCCCAGCCTCCATTGGCGTGAGTTATTTCAAGGTTCCTCTTCCGGATGATGACTGGCAGTTGATACACAAGAGTTAGAAATCAGCAGCTGTCAATGTCAAGAACACACGCGCGCGCGCGTATAATATGTGTGTGTGTGATTACAAAAGAAAGGCAAAGCGACCGGGGTTAATGGGATATAGCTTACACGCATGGTTGACATTATTCAACCACTGAAATATTTGGCCTACCTCTGGAGGGGCGTCTTCGCCGGTCACCTGGAACTGGCTTATTTGTACGCTTGGGCGGAATCCGAGTTTAAAGGTGCGATCTTCCATAAGAACCTCAAGTCTGAGATTTTCCATATTCCACATGCTTGCCCGGTGGTAGTCGGTATTATTAATCTCGTTAAGGAAATCTCTTAGCAACCCCCCTATCTGTTGCGTTTGAAATACAATGCCATTAATGGGGGGGTTGGCGGCGGGCGTCCAATTGTATTTGTGACCACGCGTGCTCGAGAAATGGGCGCTCAGGTCCAAGGTTAGCGTGATTGTGTTCAGCCGGCACTGGTTCAACAGAGCCACGGTGTGGATGTTGTTGGTGAAATGTGAAATAAAGAAAGCGTAAGTGTCCGGATACGAACCCCGCATGAGGAACTGGACAGAACGAATATTCTGTCGTCTCCATGGGGTTATAGCGGTCAAATATGGCGTAGGATCAAAGGGCGGCCGAAACCGAAAGGTGTTTATGCGGTAGAATACGGCTAGAGATTCAATCTCGAAGTAAATCCGCCGGCATGTTTGGGAAAGGGTCACCACCGTCAACTGCGGTCCAACTGGTTCTCCGGGTTTGGATCTTTTCCACCAGAATTTGTTCGATCGAGGGAGAATTTGTCTGGGCTCAATAGGCTTTTCCACATAGACAGCTAATTCGTAAATCATCAGCCGGACCTGGAAACAATATTAGTTAATGAACAAGAGCCGCTGGGGTTGACTGGTTGTGGTAAGTCCATACGTCTAGAGGGATCCTGGAGAACCAAATGGCCGTATCGTTCTGGCTCGTCAGGTGACTTTTGGGGTGGCTTGGATCAGATAGCAAAGTTATCAGATTGAGGGTTTTTGTTTCCTCTTCGATGGTGGAACCTCCATCAACCGCGGTAGAGCTTCCCTCCATGGCGATAGAGGGAAAATTGTAATGCAATGCCACGGAACCTAGGCTGGAGGTGTGCAATGATAAAGGGATCGGGGATGTTGACACTCCTGAAGGGACGAATAGATCGAAGGGGTACTCAGATTAAGATGCTGCCGCAAATCACGACGGTTCTTGCTAGCTGGTGGGCGGAGCGGTTACCGATAGATAAACGCACTGAAGATGGAGAGGACGCAGGCAAGATAGGGTGAGACAGGCGGCGTAAGAGATGTCAAAAGAGGTGGACGATGATGAGAAAGGTCTGCGAAAAGTATGTTGAGGGAGGAAGGGGTTTAACGACGATGAGGGAGAGTGACTGGAATCACAGTAAGGCAGAATTTACCGCCAAAGATGGATCTAAACAGTATGAAAACCATACCGGGTACCTGATACTCCAGTTGTACCTCAGGCACGATACAGATCCCCCAGCTCGAAATCGATGGCTGAATGTACTCCGCTCAACGAAGGCAGCCACCATCTAGTAGAAGTGCCTGAGCAAGAGACTTGAGTTCAGATTCATCATCAGGGCGCGTGTATGTCCACCATTTGTATCGTCCGTACCTTGCCTGAGCCAACACCTAGGGCAGGTGATGGAGAGCGCCATTTCCAACCAGATAGCTCAGACAACCCTGCTCCCGGATACATGCCTAGTCGTATCCCGAGTGAATAGGCAAGCTGAATGTGGGTGGTAAACAATGGGTTATAGTAACCTCTTCATATGAGCAGCTGGCTCCGTTAAGTTAACTAGTGTTTCTTGGATGTCACTAGCAACACGTATATATTGTGAAGCGGAACCATGAATACTCCTCACATAAATTCAATGAAGAGCCATAGAGAGACAAGCACAGAGACTCCACAAATTGGGTGAGCAGATGCTTCTGGAAAAACTGGACCAAGCGACAAGGAGGGTAGCCTCCAGCTCCTAAAGTAACCACTGCAGTTACTATCAGACTTAACTGACACCGCCGGCAATGAACGACAAAGATGTCACAATATCGCTTTACCCGCTTGACAGTACCAACCACAGGCAGACTCGAAACACGACCAGACTTCAAGCTCAGCCAATTTTCATTGGGGGTATTACTATTACTACAGGTCCCGTCCACCCTTCTATACACTTCCTCGCCTCCCTCGAGGCGGTATAGGCACAGAACCATGCATACCCGCCCCTTGTCCTCTACGGCTGAGCTTCTAAAGTGACAATGTAGATGACCCCTGCGGTGATGCGTGTGTGCCGGACCACGATATTAAATATAAAAAAAAAAGAAACCCTCTTTTGCTGACCAGGTTCTCCCAAAATATGCAAGTCTCATTCGTAAGGATCGTAAGAATCTTATGGGTACGCAGCGGTCATATGGTACAGAGAAAGAAAAGATTGCCCTGCGTGGCTAAGCTCCGATGGATACTCATAGCCAGGTCTGCAAACTTACAGAGCAGCGACGATGATCGCACCGGCAAAACCCAGGAAGCCCATACCGGCACCGATGTGGGCGGCACCAGCGGTGACGATCGGGAGGTTGGTACCGGTGCCGGACGGAACCACGGCGCCTCCAGTGCCGGCGGGGGCGGTAGAGAAGGTCGAGGTTGCGGCGATCGGGTACGGAGGAGCACCACCGGCGGGAGTCGAGATCGGGATAGCCAGGGTAGGCGTAGCAGCCGGGACGGTGGCAGAGTAAGTGCCGGGGACGATGACGACGCTAGTGGCGCTGGGGCTATCGGTAACGGTGGTGAACACGATACCGGGGACGGTGAGGCTGGTGTGGATCGTGACGGTGCTGCTGGAGCTGGGGATCTCCTCGCCGACCTCGTTGGTGCAGGGGACAACAACGGTGGTGGCAATCTCGATGGTGGTGACCGACGCCGGGGGAGCGGTAGGAGTAGCGGTCAGGACAGTGGTGATGGTCTCAGCACCAGTGGCAATACCAGGGTTGGTGGGCACGAAGGGGGCACAGATACCCTGGAAGTAGCTAATAGCCTCGGAGATGACCTGGTCAGTCTCACCGTGGGCGTACAGGCAAGTGAAGATGTTCTTGACGAAGGTGGTGTCAGGGCAGTAGCAGGCGGAGTCAGTGTTGTCCTTGCAGCCAACGACGAACAGCCAGGTGTTCAGGCAAGAGGGAACGACATCAGGGCAGGGTAGGGTCTCGACGGGGGGAGCAGGGCCGCTGCCGGTGGAAGAAGCCGGAACGGTCGACGATCCGATAGGCTGCACACCAGTAGACGATCCAATCGGCGCCGTGGTAGATTCAGCCGGGGCGGGAACGGAGGCAGACTGGGTAGCCTGGGTGGCGGGGGTAGAAACACCGATGGTCTCAGTAACCGGGCAAATGGTGGTCGAGATGGGAATGGTGACGGTCGTGACGGCGGTGGAGCCGGCAGGGCAATCGGGAACCTCAGGGCCGCAGCTGGTGATGGTCTGGACCGAGGTGGTGAAGACAGTGGAGGTAGTCAGGTAGCTGGTAACAGAGAACGAAGAGACAACAGCGCTGCTAGAGGGAATGGCGGCAGTCGAGCTAGTGCCCTCAGTGGCAGAGCTGGAAACAATGGCGCCGGAGCTGGTGCCGGGAATAGCAACAGAGCTGGTAGAGCCGGCAGCGGAACTCGTGGTCTCAACGGCAGAGCTGCTGGAACCGGGAGTGCTAGAGGCACCGACCGAAGAGACAGTGCTCTGGCCCTGGCCAGGGTACGAGGGCACACCGGGGACACTGGCGGAGGAGGAAGGGATCTCGACAGAAGAGCTGGTGCTGCCAGCAGGGATGCTGCTGGTGCTCTGAGCGGGAACGCTGCTGGAAGAGCTCTGAGCAGGAACACTGGACGAACTCTGAGCAGGGACGCTGCTGGATGAACTCTGGGCAGGGACGCTGGACGAACTCTGAGCAGGAACACTGCTAGACGAGCTCTGAGCGGGAACACTGCTGGATGAGCTCTGAGCAGGAACGCTGCTGGATGAGCTCTGAGCAGGAACGCTGCTGGATGAGCTCTGACCAGGGACGCTGCTAGACGAGCTCTGGGCGGGAACGCTGCTGGTCGAGCTCAGGATGGCGGCGCTGCTAGAGCTGGTGGCTGGCGAGGAGGTCGAAGCGCTGATAACCGGGTAGGATTTCGTGGGCTTGGGCGGGTTGCAGTCGAAGTCGATGTGGTGGATGCCGAAGTCACAAGTCTTCTTGGGCTTGTTGGGCTGTTCGGGGTAGACAATAGTAACGTCAGTGGCACCACCGCACTGGGTGTTCTCGACAACGGTACCGGAAGCCTTGCAAGCGGAACGGTGCTTGCAAGACGATCCATCAGGCAGAGTGTAGTGGAACTCGAGATCGCAGTCGAACTCGGGCGAAACCTGGAACTTCTTGATCGAGGTCTTCTGGACACCCTGGTCCTTGTCGCAGCTAATCTTAGGGCTGTTGTTCTTCTCCTTCGTAGCCTTGCCGGTAATGCACTTGCTCTGGAACGAGCGGCCGGTCAGCAGATCCCGCTTGCCGAACTTTTCGCTGCAAGTGAAGCCGCTCCATTTGAACCCCTTGTAGGAGTCGAACCCGCCAAAGGGGAGGTCAGACCAGTCGAATCCACGGTCCTGGTCGAGAATGCACTTGTTGTCGGTGTTGTCCGGGCAAGTGAACTTGGGAGCGTTGTGGAAACCGAAGCCCTACGACGGTTAGAAGCTGCATAACCACCCCGGAGAGGCGTGACTTACAGTAGCCGCGACCTGGCTGAGGCCAGCAGCCAAGGCGACGAGCGACAGCGCGTTCTTCATTTTTCAACTCGGCCCCTGGTGTACGATGTGTTGGGAAATTGGCGCTGTATGAGCGTATTGGTTCTTATAACGATTGTGTAAAACGGGAAAGGAAACTCGGTTGGGAAGCAAGTAAACGAATGACCTTGGCTTCCGTGGAGAGAAAAAAGAAAACAATGTCTACCTTGGAAAGGAAAGAAAATGTCGATGGTGAGAGAAACTTTCCTCGAGACAAACAGCGGACGAGGACATCCAACATATATAGAAGGAGGTCGTCATGGGCTTCCGGCGAGGAGCCAGAACTCGGTATGCATGTACCTATCCACATAGAAGCAACGAGCACAACCCTGGCTCGCCAGGATCTGTTGACTGGACCGTCCATCCAAAGCATCCGTGCCTGGGCCTGCAGGTTCTGGTCCCCTGTTCCAGGGCCGAGCCAAAAGCTAACCCACACGGGTCTCAGGTACTAGGAGGAGGACCCGAATATGGCATGGGCCCCCCCTTCTCGCTCAGGAGCAGAGGTGAAGTTGAAGAATCCCCACACCGCAGCAGTTTGGACCGAGTCGAAAGCACGGAGCGCGCGGCTGTTAACTGGGGTTGTCTTGCATCTTGGTGTGGTATTTTCAGGGGGCAGCCAAGGATCATCTGCAATCTGTCCGCCGTTCCTGGCCAGTCAGATTGGCCTCAGCAGGCGCCCTCTCGCCAATAACAGCCCCTGTCTACTCTCGATTTCGGCTCTACGACGGTCAGCACCTTGGATCTAGGAGGGGTTGCACGAATCATAGGTAGATAGGTACCTACTTATCCTTACGCCCAGTTTGTTGCCATACATAGTAAACAGAAAGCTAGCGCTTGCGCTTTGTCGCCAGAAATCTTAGCCAAGCCCTACCATCCACAGCACAGACCCACGTAGCGACTCGCCCGTATGTACGAGTAGGCGTGCCGGGTTGGTATGTCACCGCCTCACAACCTGATCGTATCGTGCGCGGGTATGCGTTATGTCGTGGTAACAGGTAGAAGTGAAGCGGGCGATGGGATTTGCTCACCCAATCGTCACGGACCCGAGAGGGTAGTCCTGGGACAGGAAACCCCCCCTCTATCCCCTACCAGTCAAGGCAAAACAGGACGACCTTGACGAGCCGGTTCGTTGCAAGAACATCATCAGATGTTGCCATTCCCCGCCCTCGGCGGAGAGGCACATAAGATCGAGGACCAGAAGCCAAGTAAGCCCGGCTCAGGGTTCGGAGGTGCCCCCCCCTTTCCTAACGAAGAGAGGGGTGGGAAAGGGGGGGGGGGGGGGGTAGATGGCTGTTCTGTTCAACTTGAAACGAGCATAGCCACCTCGACTTTTCGTTCTGAGGTTTTAGCCCTAATGCAGGTAACGGCACCATCGTCGAGTAGTATCCTATAGCCAGGGGCGGGGGCCACAGCGCGAGATCGCTGATTCGTTAGCAAGAGAAGCCTCTTCTGGTTTTTTTTTTTTTTTTCTTTTTTCGCACCATCTAAGGATTTCCTGTCATGGTCAGTCTCCCCTATCCGGGCAAACCTACGCGGTCCTTGGTACCGGCACCACGCGTAGGTGACGGTCAGCAGCAAAACTCGATAGATCGATGGTGGCGACCCATAGATTCCCAATCCGCCTGTATGAGTAGAAGCAGCAAGAGGAGCCGGTGTCTTCTTCCATTCCGCCTTATTGAGGGCGTCGCGGCATAGTTCGTAGACTACCGATGCCTGCGTCGACGAACCACGCCGCCGAACGGCAAAACAAGCGAGAAGGCGACTCTACTAAAATAGCTCTACCCGCTAAAACGCCAAACCGTAGCATGGGAGATGGCACGGCACTTTGGTTTTGTCTTCTGATATACCGGGCATCCGCTAAGCAGGCATCTTCTAAGATCTAGGCGAGGGATGAAAACAACAATTCCCGTTAAAACCCCCGCCGTGGCTTGACGCGACGCCATTCATGATAAGAGCCGGATGGCTAGGCACGAGGCACAACATCCTGGCACGATGTGGTAATTCGGGGAGGGGGCTTCAGCGGATGAGGCGACGAGAATAGAAAAGCCGGAAGAGGAGGCGGCGTCGAGTTCGAGCGACGGAGCTGGAGGACTAGACGGTAAGCAAGCACAAAAATAAACGAGGTGCGCATACGGATGCTGCATTACGCATTACCTGAGGTTGCTCCTGCTTAGGTAACATGTACCTTTGGTATTTATGTAAGCAGGAGGTACCTAATGTATCTCTCTTAGCGGGGAACCGAACTTGCATACTTCGGGGTACATACCTTCTAGGAGCTATCCTGAGAGGAGGTACCCCTCTTACGTACACGTACAAGGCAAGTAGGAGGAGGAGGAGGGGGCACCTGATGTACCCGACGTAATTACCTAATTTGAAGTACCTGGCCTAAAAATGTGTATATCGGGACAACGGCGATGGAACCATCTGTCTTCGGTGGGTGCGTGCAGAGACACATGTTAAATCAATGCAAGCATGCATGTAATAATGCATCACCGATCTATCTATCGCTTTTCGCTGCTTTTCGCTACGCCTCCACACGGATACCGCATAGGATAAGGAGGCTGTGTACCCAGATATCCCGTGCGATTACATCGGATCGCATACCTACCCACCTCCTCTGCTTGATGTAGGTCCCTAACCCAAGATTCGGGACACCTGCCCGCTGCCATGTGTCATGCTAAACCTGGCTTGGCGATGATGGGCACGACAAGCATTCATGGTTAGGGGATGGAGATACCTTGAGCCTGTTTACCTGCGCGTGGCCCGGTCCACGCATGGATGCCCCACGGGTAGAGGACCTTGGCGGCTCTGCGTTGCTGGCCGGTGGTCGAAATCTCCCATACCCCTTTAACGGGCTTGCAGTTAGGTGGGTTAGGTGCCCAACTTCCAGACATTCATCGAGATCAGGTCCCTCCTCCTACGTGTATGTATCTTAGATAGGTACCTACCTAACGCAAGGATACATATATCTATTTATATATATATAAATATCGAATAGGCAATTCAAGATAGGCGTAACATAAATACCTGGTAGCCAGGTGGTGTGCACCTACCTATACATATGAGTAGGTGAGCAATTGGATGTTGGAGGTAGATATGTTAGGCTAGGTACCTATTCACATGTACATCCGCACGTTCGTGCCCGCTGGAGGATGGCCCTTCTCTTTATGGCCTAGGTCGGCTGCACTCCATAGAAAACCTCCGATTCCGTCGCTCACGAGTTCTCGGCGTCTGCACCTCCTAGTAGTTTCACTATTGTTTTTATTCTCTTTCCTTTTTTCTGCCTCTTCCCTCTTCCCTCCTCCCCCTTTTCCTACCCGTCCCGAGAAGCTCGAGAGGGCCAGATCCCGCGAAAGCCACGGTCGGAGGCGAGCATCCAATCAGCCCGGGATGCGCATCATTCTCTCCCGGCCCATCCGTCGATGTCGTCCATGTACAGATCAGTTCTGCGCAGCACGCCCGTGGTCAAGGACGGGGACGATCCCTGGTTGTCGGATTTCCAGGATCGGTAACCACCGAGAGCCCAGCCGCTTAACCTATCCGTCGTCGACTAGCCTACTACGGAGTAAACCCCCCTGGCTCTAGTGCTAAACCGGTTTTCGCAGTGGCGAGCACGGCCGAAGAGGACGAATACGAGCCACACGCATTACCTGAGACCTACCCTGGGGCGATGCGACCTCACCGGCGATGGTACAGCTGCTGCGTGCTATACCTACGTAGGTAGTAGCTAGCACCGTTCCGTCTCCTATCTCAAAAACCTCATCGCCACCTATTACGCGATCCCGCTGTCTGCCAAATGCGCGATATAGTCAAGCTTCGTTTCAGTCTCAGTTGGGGCGAGTTGGGATAATCAGATCTTATCGCCTGACATCCGTTTCCAAACTGTCTGATGTAAAAGGGCATACTACGACCGAACGGCAGTCTCATTTCCTATACGAAGACTCGGGCGTGCATGCGAGGCCAGACCTCTCGATTCCGATAGACTGGTAACGACACCAACTTTCTCATCTCGCTCAAAACATACAGGTAAAAGTAATAGAGCGTGGATCTTATGAGAACATCTTATGATCATACAGACTACGGTACCCGCGGTCGCGTCGAAGACTGCGCGGGCAGGCCAGTGAGGTTACCTCGTAAGCGATGGCCCAGAGCGTAGCGCCAGATCAGTGCGCACAATTCTCCCCCTTCGGCCGAGCACTAAGCCGAATATAGAGAGAGAGAGTCTCGGGGCCTCCAAGGCGTGTTCCTCGACCCAGCTTGGTGTCTGATCACTAACAGTCGGTCTCCTCGATTCTCGACTTCTCTCTCTGGGCCATATACCTCCTAGGTATCTAATTACCTTGCTGCTACTAAGTGTGCGGTTCTTTCGGATACACTGGAACTTTTGCCCCCGATCAACTGAAGTATTAATAATAATAATAAAAAGGGGGGGAGACGCTGCGCACTGTTAGAGGGACCAGGGAGCCTTCTACCACTATTCTTTTTCTCGACCCAAAGCCGAGCTTCCGGTGGGGAAGCGGAGCAAGCGAGCTTTCCGAAATGCAGGTACAATCTGATTAATGTCCACCTCTTTATCCATTAAGGTCGCTATTATCGACAATATCACATACTACGTAGCACGTTGGTTCGGACCAGTACGACAAAGTGCGAGGTACGGATGACACGGCGCCTAACCCTTAACCTTCTTCCAACCCCATCACCTTAGGCTGTTTCCAGGCCTTTCAGATATTGTTACGTAGTAGTACGCTGGATGCCTGGTCCGGTACGTCGTCTTATTAGCAGTTGTCTGTCTAGTGTCCATCGGATCTGAGGGGCCGGGACGGGAAATGCCTGCTCGTCGTCGCCTTTCCCCATTCTCGACACGACCTTCTCGCCAACAGCCATTCGCGGAAACACAGAGAAAGGGAAGCGGGCGGGCGATTTTCGACTTTGACGGTAGAAGACTACGGCAAGCGCACGAAATTACCGAGTGACATCGTGCTCTAGGTGATATCGCAATCCGGCCATATTCGTGAACATGTAGCAGGCTCATATTCTCAAGGCCACTCTCGTCTCTCGCTCCCCAGCAGACAGACACGCTACCTACGTCGTCGGTTGAGATGATTAGGGCAGTTGGATCTCGTCTCCTGTCACGAACGAAACAGGAAGATGAGCATGATCCGACTATTAATATCCCCTCGGGCATCTGAAAACCAGCGCTGCCTCAACAAACAAGCTTTCGTTCTACTCCTTCAGTCGTCAGTTGATATGGCTGATCCCTATTTCCAACGTTAGTGCTGATCGACGGGAACTAGGTGGGCAGGGAAAGGTTGACGACAGCAATCCTGCAGGAACAGGGCCTCGCTATTGGTCCAGGCGGGCCAAGTCACGATGATCAGATCTGCCTAGATCGGGAACTCGATTGACACAGTCGAAGCAGCAATCCGAGAGCAGCTCGACGGACTCTCGGCCACATGGTGCAAAAGCTCCTCCAAGAACATAATCCCAACTAGGCAGGTAGGCACTGTAAACGGACATTCTCATCTGAAATGCGTGGTGCATAATAGCGGATGAGCTTCGGGATCGGCCCGGACGCTGGAGAATGTGAATTCTCTCTCCGGCTCTCGGGCGACGAGACAGGCAGCCCAAATAGCTTCTTCCATCGGCCGCCGTTTCGCCTAGCGAGTTGCAAGCTGTCGAAACTTATGATTTTCTCTCCGATTATCACTGTCACGGTGCGCAACACGCCTGACGTGTCAGCATATCGACGGTGCATCATGAGAATTCACGCCACACAGGCAGTCCTGCAATATTTCTCAGGTCGCGCAGCACGATCTGGTAGAGAATTTGGTCCATCTCGTATTCTGATGGTGAAACGAGCTGGTAGGACGTCAGCCGTCACATCGCAGCTTAGAATAGACAGATTCTTTTCCCTGTCTCGCTACCTCCCTGGAGAAGAACGCATGCAACTAGGAAGAGACTACCTACCTACTCAATTGATCCCTACCGGGCGCACGCACGAAATCGGTATCAGGTAGGTAAGCCTGCGAGCAGCCTGCGAACAGCCCAGTACCTCGCAGTACCTCGCAGTAAGCCAGGTTCAGTTAGTTAGTTGAGAGTTACCTAAGAGAAACCAACCCTACCTCGCCTTGGCGCGTCTCTGGACTACCTACGATTCGACGGGTTACAGGAAAGCGTTGCAGACACGGGTCGCGAAATGTTGCAATACAGGGCAGAGCAGAGCAGGACAGAACATACACCTTGCCTATTCCAAACCTAGGTAGGTAGGTAGTTAACGTGAGAGAGAGAGTGAGAGAGAGAGTGAGAGAGAGGGAGAGGCGCAGGCAGAGGCAAAGAAGAAGGCACCCAAACGCAGAAAGAGACGGGAAGAGTGAGCAACACGCCACAGGCATTCTCAGCCAGCCTCGAAGAAGCCCATCATCATCCGTCATCTTACGACCGCATCCAACCACATCCAACAAGCCCGGAAACCAAATACGTCTGGCAACAGTAAGCGGAGACCTCGGGTATCTCGATTCGAGTTTATCCGCGCCACACGGCGCTCTTCTCCTTCTGCCTCGCCTGCTGCTGCCACCGCTGCTGCTCGTACTCCCCCTCCACCTCCTATTGCGACTTGGTATCCGCTACCCCAAACTCGTCCGAAGCTCCTCTAACCCCCCCGTTCATCTTCCTCCACGCCCAGATCTGGGAAGACCTCCTCCCGCTCCCGGTCCGCGAATCCCCCTCGCTGCCGCCGCTATCATCGTCATGATGATTAATCCCCGCGCGCCGGAAATAGTCCGTAGGACGGGATGTGTGGGTGGGGAGAGGAGGCAGAGGGCAGAGGGCGGAAGAGAGAGCTATCCTCGCCTTACCTTGCCCTAACTCGGATGCTAGCGGGAACTCGACCCGGGAGGGTGTAGGTGTGTGTAGGCGTGTGTATGCGCGTACGTACATCCATACTCGAGGTAGAGGGGGAGATGACAGAGATGCCGGGAGGGTCACGTACGCAGACATATCTTAGACATTAGGAGATAGGTACCTACACAGGTGGACAAGCCATAATATACACCCGTCCGTACGTGGGCACCTCCTACGTGTTGGCCAACACACACCACCTACCCACACACGCGGGCGGGCACGCACACACATCCCGCACCCCATCACGACACCCTCCGACCCGGAACCCCACCACCAATACCTCGCCCTACGTGCACGCCTGCGCGCGCCGCCGCCGCTCGTCATCTCAGGCTCGCCAGCCGCGACAGAGGCAGCAAGTACACCTCACCTGGGCGCCCGGCGCCAACCCCTCCCTCCTGACCTCTGCACGGAGGGCAAGGGGAGGCAGACAAGGCGAAAAAGACCCTCGCAGCCGCCTCGCTTGCCACACACCCTGTCGCGGGCATACCTACACATATATCTCCTGCGCGCCCCAGATGCACGCCGCGTCCGCGAGCGAGCAGGCCAAGGCTTGCCGCCTACATGCATCTATCCCCGACGCGTGCGCGCACACCTTAGGTGCCTACCCAGGACCTCGCCGACCTAAGTCGCCGGCGTGGCGCGCCGTGCCTACGCCCCCGAGCAAACGGCGGGCGACTTGCTATGGTAGATGGGAAGGCGTGCCGTGGCTTGCGAGAAGGGGAAGACGAAGCAGCAGCCGGAAGCCCACACTGTGCGTACGCAGGCGTACGCGCGGAGGCGTGCTTGTAGCCTGCAGCCCACTGCCGAATGCGCGCAGGTAGGAAGGCAGGCAGGCAGGCAGGCAGGCCAAGGCAAGGGAGCGAACGGCAGTCCCGCCGGCCGCCGGCAGCGGCAGCGACAAGTCGCGGGACGCGCACACAGACATACCGATACACACATGAATGCATACCCACCTACGCACTGCCGTGCGGGCGCGTGCGGGTGCGCGCGCGCGAGAGAGAGAGAGGGAGGGTAGGTGAGCGGCACGCGAGCCAGTGGCAGCAGCAGGCGTGGCGGGCCGGCGCCACGACGTGTGTGTAGCGCTGGCTGCAGCAGAACCGAGTTGGCGGCGATTATTACGCGCCTATCATCGCACGCCTACCCATCCACACCGACACAGACACACTTTGGTCGGCGCCCACCGCATCCGCACAGCTGAAAAAAAAAAAAAAAAGGTAACGCAGGGGGGAAAGGGGGCGGGAGGAGGGAGGGAGGAGAAGGGTCGGGATGACAATTGATTGATCGAGATCGGCTGAGACCGATACGCCTTGGTCGATCTGGAACAACGCCGCCATCTCGTCCGCCTCCGTCCCCGTCAGCCTGTTGCCTCGCCTCCTATTCCCGGTTCCAAGCTCCCTTGTTTATTGTTTTCTATTAGGTTTGAGAGGGGGGGGGGGCAGCCCTCCCCGCCCCCCTCCCCCCCTCCTGCCCCCTTCGGCCCCTCAGGGGGTAAGACCAGTATCCCAGTTCGCTACTTGCAACGCTCAATTACTCGCTCACCTGCCACCTCATTACACGCTTGAACCCCCTTCTCCTTGCGGCCCTCGAGGAGTACCAGGCAGGCCTGGCCTGTCTAGCTGCTACCGCCGGCGCCGGCCGCCATCCTTCGTATCCTCTCCTCGGCGGCGCGCGCCCTGCGCTCGCGGTCCAGCCTCATCCGTTGCTCGGGCGTGAGGCCGCGCGCCTCCTCCTCGCGCTTCTCCTGCGCCGACTTGGGCGCGCCGCCCGCGCCGTCGAGCAGGCTCCTGCCGCGCCCCTTGCCGTCTGGGCGGTCCGGCACCTTGGGCCCTTCGCGGCGGAGCCGCTGCTCCTCGGCCCGGCGCCTCTCCGCCTCCCTGCGCTCCCCCTCCCTGCGCTCGCGCTCGTCGCGCTTCTCTGTCTCCGCCCGCGCCAGCGCCGCCGGCACCCGGGCCGCCTCCCAGTCCCACCGCGCCTCGCCGAGCTCGTCGCGCGCCACCCGGAACGCGTCCCTCGTCGGCCGGTCGCCTGCGAGCTCGAATGCCGTCCGGCCTTCCAGGTTCCGGATTGTCGGGTCCGCGCCCGCCTTCGCCAGCAGCCCCGATACCAGTGGCGCCGAGTTCTGGTTAGCGGCTAGATGTAAAGGGGTCGGCGCGTGGTGGTTCTGCTGCGTGTCCGCCGGCTGAAAGCGGAAATCGGCAGGTAGGTCGTTGCTCTTCAGGTAGGACAACAGGGCGGGGAGCTTTGATCTTCGTATGAATGCCTGTAACTGCGAGGTGTGTAATAATGCCGTTTCTTCCTCTTCGCTGAGCTTTGGAGCGGTCGGCTTTACGGGCTTGACAACGGTTGCCTTTGCCGGCGATTCACCGCCCGTCTCCGCAGTTAGGTTCGGGTCGATCTCGCGGACCTTCAACCGGGTCAACTCGATGAAGGACCTCATCAGCTCGTTTTGCGTTGCTCTTCTGGTGCTGAATGGGAAACCTCGTATGCGCGGATCGTTAGCCCGTAGGATTTGGCCCTCGTAGGGGCCGAAGAGTGTTCTTCGGTTCGTGGATCCCGTCGCACGGATGAACAGTAGCTCTGCCGTGTCGAGGAGGCCCTTCCATTCTTGCAGGAGAAGCCGTACCTCGTCCGTCAAGGCCTGCTCGTTGTACCGACGAATGCTCGAACCGGCCGAGTGCGCATTGCCCTTTGCGTTGTCGTTCGCCGACTGTGAACCGCCTTGTTTTCTCCTCGTAGTGTATCGGTGAAAAGTCTTATGCGCTAAGACGGTGGCCTCCCTGCTCAAAGGACCTCCTGTCCCGTGCTTCGTTTGTCGCGGGGCAAGTGACACTACCATGCCTGCGAAGTGACCGCCCCCGATCATACAGAGAAAAAAGTGAGGTCCCCTGTAGGCGGCCGGTGCTAGGTTGCCATCCGGACCCGGCTTCGGCGCAGCCACCGGCCCTAGCTGCTTCTTCTCGATGGTCTCGACGATTCGGCTTTCGTCCTTAGACTCTTCCGCGGTAAATATGGCACGATAGATACCGAAATAGGTGTTCTGAGGCAGCGCAGAGGAACTAAACCACAGTAGTGGCGGTTTGCCGCTGCCCTTCTGTTTCTTCCTCGGATGTTCACCTACATCGTCCTGGGCGCCGCTATTATTTCTTTCCGCAAGGGTAGCCTGCTTCTTTAAGAGTGCTGTGAGAATGTTGCCCTCCTTGCCACCGTTGCCGGTCTCGTCGTCCTCTTCTTCGGCGGAGTCGGTTGAGTCGTCGGAGCCCGAAAGACTCTCGTCCAGGTCAGCGATCAGCTTTTCAAATTCGGCCTCGGAGACGGGGCTTCGACCCCGGAGCTTTAGTTTCAAGTTGTAGTTGTGCAGGTCAGACTTGAGGTGTCCGCGCTGCTCCTCAACGTTGACAAAGGAGAGCGCGCAGAGAGAGCAGGACTGAGGCCCCACTACGGCAACTCTGGCGTCGGATGGCGAGCTGTTGGGCGACGCACCCGGGGCTGGCTCCCGGGCATTTGGTATAGACTTCTCGGCCGTTTCTCTAGCTGGCGGCTCTCGGAAATCGACGGCGATATCGCCCTCTCTCTTTAGTGAAAGGGTGGTGAGGACCTGAACAGGGAGGTTGTAGACTGTTCCGGCAGCAGGTCAGACACTCAGGCCTTAAGCAGCTTGCGACGCTTGGAGGGGTCGGGAAAGGCAGAGGAGGGGAATGTACCATAGAGGGGCCGGCGCAGCAGATCGTCGTGGTTGGGATCCATTTCTAGAACTCAATCGCTCCGGGAAGCGGATTTGTAGAGGCTGTATAGAGGAGAAGCGATGAGCAACAACTCGCGCCGAGAAGAGGGGAGAGAAAACGAGGAGAGAAGAGAAGAAGTGTATGCTTGTTTATAATAATACGTTGAAGTTTCGGTGGGATGACGAAAGAGAGGATTGACTACGCCGAAGTGTCAACCTCTTCCCCCCACCCCACCACGCCTTAGGCAGAGATACCTAAGATACCAGGTACCTCCTATAAGGGAAACATGGATTTCCAGCATTCCCATTGAAGCATTAGGTAGAGGTAGGTACCTCTTACTAGAGGTATCCTTATGGATTATAGTAAAAATATGGCGAGGTAGCTTCACCGTCCAAGTACCATGGTACATGTACCTCAGGAGGTACCTGCCTATCGTAGAGGCTGCGTGTGGCTGTGGTAGGCACCTGCCTACAGGTGACCAACGTGTGAGTCAACCGGCAAGCTTCAGTATCCATTTTAGGAGGGAGGTACCTTAGGTACCTAGATAGGCACCTCCTAGTCGTACTTGTTTGAAGCTTTCGGGTGCCTTAGGTGTCTCTTCTTATGCGGTAAACTTTTAACCAGTTCCATGGACGTATGTATATACACTACTACCTCCAGGTACCTAGGTAGGCAAGTACCATAGGTACTTAATATAGGTACCAAAGGTACCCGCCTTCTTTCAGATAGACTAAATAATAAAGACTACTAAGTAGCGCTGTTAGGAATCGAACCTATCCTCTATTATATAACCCACTTAACTCGACCCATATAACAGGCACGCGCCCCCGCGCGTTATTATAAACACTACCTACTCCAGTAACGTCGGAATATAAGATCTTATAAAAATAAGATACGCTCTACTACTATCGTATAACCTATACTAGTATATACGTACCACCTAAAAGGACCTTATTACAAAAGCGGCACTCTAGCTCGAACCAGTAGCTTCTAGAGTTTAAAGTACGCAGTACCTGCTGCCTAGACGAAGTTACCAGATAGACTAAATAATAGAAACTACTAAGTAGCGCTATCAGGAATCGAACCTGTCCTCTATTATATAACCCACTTAGCTCTTTCAAGGAAAAGGGTTAGAACAGGTACATCGGTACATTCTATAAGAATCTCTTTACAGGTACCACATGGAATGTTTTAACTCTTCCCCTAATTACCTACACTTAAATACGAGTCCTCCTCACCCGCTCCTGGGCGCATCACATAGAATCGCATACCTCCTGTATGCAACGGGCCATGAGACAAAGACACCGATTACCGAGCCTCTATCTAGGCAAGTAGACATTGGGACGACGGCACCAAAAGGACAATCCTATTCAACTACTTAGGTAGGTCACGTCTATCAAGTCTTGGTTGGCTATTTCGCTCCCTCTTCTCACACCCTTCTTACCACAAGGAGACACCAAGACAATGCCCCCTTCTCCTCGGACAAAGCCTCCCCCAAGCGCTGTAGCGAAACGACTGCTTAGCAGAATACCTAGATAGAGTTCAAAGAAATAATTATTGATCCTAAACATCGGACAATGGCTTTCGCCCCTTCTTGTTGTCGTACAAATACCCAGCATACTCGGCTCCTCACCTGGTCTGCCCAGCGAGACCTCGTCATCCTCTCTCACCAGCACCTCCCGCTCCTTGGAAGAACACTCCTTCTTCCTAGGCACCGTCTCGCCCAGCACTCACACATTTACGTTCCCAGGACATCAGACGACGCCACAATGTGTGAATGCACGCGCCTCACCTTCCGGTACCGTTGCCATCACAAGCAGCGGGAGATTTACAGATGCTGGCGGTACATTTTCAAGCGTGATCACCCGTGCCTGGGCGCCTTACTCTCGAGGTGCTCACCTTACCGCGTAACCACCGACGCCAGAGGAGTATGTGCCCAGTGCAACATGTATTTTACCAAGACCTTTGGCGGGCACGCCGCCCCCGGCGTGATCCTTAAGTTCCTGGAGTATAAGGATCGCCGGCAGCCGACGAAGCCCGTCGACCCCGAGATGGTGCCCTCGGAGGTCTACATTACTGCTGCTGAGCTGGCTCAGCTCGGCGTTGGCACCGACACCATGAGCAGTCAACCGTTCCAACAAGTGAGCCCCATGCGAACCACCCAACCCAGGAGCCTCCCACTCATTCATCCTCAGCCATCGCCCGCCGCCCACCACAGCCAGACTCGCGAGCGTCGACGATCGAGACCCAAGGCGCAGGTGAAGCCCTCGGCCCCCAGCGCGAGAGTCCCTAGCCACATAGCTCGAAAGCCCCTTCGTCGTAGCCGTAACGCTAACGCTAGAAAGACTAAGAACGGTCCCTCTATAATCCATTGCTCGATCCCAGAGGTTCCAGAGGAGCGTAGAACCTCCGACGCGATCCGACCTGAGCTGGCCGGCGCTGCCGAGGACGGCCCCCTTCATCATGGTATACCGCTAACTGGCACCCCAGAACAGCCAGTGCCGTACCGTCCGAGACGTTCGCCTAGGGAGCCACACCAGGAGATATCAGCCTGCTCGCTTATAGAGCGGATTACGAAGGCCGCCGAGACCATTCGGATCACCAGCCATGCCAGCTCGGAAAGTGACGACGACCTTGCCAGGATTCCTAAGCTTTCCGCCGCTCCGAGAGTGCCTCGCTGGCGCGTAGCCACACCCCACCCTACAGTGCCCCACCCGACAGTCGGCACGCATGTGCGTAGCGATGACGACGACGACGAAGATATCCGAGTCCAACACGAGGGCGCGATTCCCGTGTTACTCACCCCCGGAACCTCGGCTGCACATATCGCCTCAGATATACGCACTGCCCCGGTAAGGTATGCATGCGTGCGAACCGCGCCGTCAGCGGCCTCCCTGACGGGCGTCATCGAGCAGGTACGCGCGCGCTCCGCTGACGAAATCGTGATCCCGCCGCTCCCCAGCGCGGCCTCGGGGGTCCACCGGCCAGCCTGCCAGCTCCGCAGCGACGGCTCCATCCCGTCGCTCGACGCCGCCGGCCGAGACCCTTCCAGCTGCGAGGTCGCGTACTTCCGCGAGCACGGCGTGCCGCCGGCCGCCCACCTCGTCGAGGGCAATCGCAGCAGCAGCAGCGGCGGCAGCCGGCACCAGAGCCGGACTCCGCTCACCGCCCCCGGCATGCTCGTCACGATCCGCACCCCCTCCCCGAGCTACAGCTGCGCCGTGCAGAGCTGCTTCTGCACCCCGAGCGAGGCCGACAGCAAGGTCTGCCCCAGCTGCCGAGAACGCAGGCGCCTCGAGCGAGAGCTCCAGATGCAGTGGATTTAAAACCAGGTCGCTGCGTGTGAGTAGGGCCAGCGGGGGTGGCGGACGAAAGGGGAGGGGAGTTGAGAGCCAGCGGATGTAAGTACAACCCCCGCACGATCTCGCTAGATCTCTCCATCTGGTTCTTCCTCGTCCCTCCTACCCAGCCCTCTGAAAGGTAGGATTCGTACAGGCTTTCTAGGCGCGGAAGCAAAACGGTAAGTTTTCTCTCCTTTTGAACCGGTTAGTCGACCCTTGATCTCTTTCGGCTGCCACCATCTTTTGGTCCTGGAAGCGTACAATTTAAGGGAATGACAAACGTAGCCTGGAAAGGTGTGTTTGGCTGGTTACTGCGTTCTCTTGAACCAAAGCCCCTCCCACATATATATAACCAGGCCGGTAGGTATGTATCTTCTTCATGTCCCGGTAAGAGCTGGCTCGTTCCTCGTAGCTATGCTATATATATACTATAACGTTACGATGGACATCAGGCATGGGGCGGTGCCCCGGACAGTATACGGGTAGCCGGGAACAATAGGAACAATAGAAATCAGGTTGTCTTTTATGGTCAACACCACTTCCAGACTTCCATCTCTAGTCGTCAATGTGTTGGGTACAATAAAGTATAGACGGACAGCTTCTAGATTCGTAGAAATTTAATCCACCAAATCCGTCTTGAACACTTCCCTAATTCACCTAATTGTCCGCTAAGAGGGGCCAATGTTGTATTTTAAAAAGTCTCGCTTACGACACAAGGCTTTCTCGTGATATACGATGTTCGGAATAGACAAGGGCTACACCTATAGGTATGTACCCAAGCCCCAGCCTTACCTCTTCTTCCCGCTCTTCCCCTTCCCCTCCGCATCTGCGCTTGCGCCTCCGCCTCCTCCGGCTTTACTCCCGCCGGGGCCGCCGCCCGCGCTGCTCAGCATGACCCTGAGCTTGCCGACGGGCACGACGTTGACGAGCTCCTCGGGCTTCAGGGCGCCGAGGAGCTGGACCTCGCGGGGCCACATGCGGTCGCGGTCGCGCGCCGCCTCGTCCACCGCGCCGCGCCGCGCCGCCGCCGCCTTCCACGCCTCCACCACCTCCCGCACCGCCTTGCCCTTCTTCTGCGTCCCCGGCTGCAGCTTCACCTTGTACTTGCACCGCCCCAGCGCCGCGTACGGCCCGCACACCGCCACTGCCTCGAGGATCTCGTCCCCGGGCAGCGCCGACCCCACCAGCCCGTCGAGCAGCGCCAGCTCCGCCGCCGTCTCCTCCTCCGCCTCCGCCCCCGCCGTCTCCGCCTCCGTCTCTGCGCCTCCCACCTCCGGCATCATCGCCCGCCGCCGCGCCTCCTCGTGCTTCGCCACCTCCCGCCGCTGTCGCTCCTGTTGCGCCCGCCGCCGCTCCGCCGCCGCCTCCCGCTGGGCCTCGCGCTCTGCCCGGGCCCGCGCCTCTGCCTCTGCCTTCCGCCTCCCGGCCGCGGCGCCCGTCAGCTCCTCGATCGCCGCGCGGTCCTCGTCGTCCTGGTCCTTGTACTTCGCGGCGATCTTCTTAGCCTTGCTGTGCCGGCCCCGCTTCGGCGGTTGCTGGCCTTTATTGGACGCCTGTGGTTGAGGGGTCGACTTCCTCGACGGCGCTTCCGACCCTGGGCTGTTCGTTGTAGCAGCCGGTGCCGGGTTGGGTTCGGCCTCCGCTGTCGCTTCCGAGCCCGCTTGTTCATTACCAGCCTCGCTAGCTGGCGCTGACTCTAGCTCTAGCTCTGGCTCAGCCTCAGCCTCAGCCTCAGCCTCAGCCTCAGATTCGGCTCCGCCTGCTGTGGGAGCCTCCTCGGCTATTATCAAGTCGCTAACCTCTTGGATAGGAATGTCTTCTTCCACCGTCGGCACCACGCCTTCGGGCTCCTGGCCCTGACGAGCCGTGGGTTGAAGTGGGTTATCTTTCGGCCTCGAATCTCCTTGATCTGCAGCGCTATCACCCGAATCGCTTTCGTCATCCCCTGCAGCGGCTTCCTGTGTGGTGTCGCCCTCGGTGTTACCCGTAGTACCCGCCGAGCTTTTCTTAGCAGTTATGTTTTCCGGACGATCGTAGAGACGATGCCTAACATGCTTGGCCGCGCTTTCTTCGCTTATCTTGAACATCAGGGCAAACCCCAGCAATAATTGTGTAGGGGGCAAGAAATTCTTCTTCCCTTGCACTATAAAGCTGCCGATACCTAGGAATTCCCCAGTAGGTGCTAACTTCGAAACCTGGTCTGCGTTCACCCACCAAGCGCTTGTAACGGCCTTCGAGTCCCAAGCTGACGAGGCGCAAATAGCTAAAGATCCGGCTTGCGACAAGGTTGATGGGGGTATAGGTGCGTCGGGTGTGTTTGGACTATTCTTGATTATCACAGACGGCGCGCCGTGAAAGTCTGCATGCACGTAAACGTCGCCTTTTTTCAGGTATCGTCTATAGAGCATCTCGTTCTGCTGGGCATCCTTGCCACCGAGAACAAGATAGCCGTCAGACGAGATGAACCAGGTAAACTTCTCGAACCATAGTTGTTTTCGGATCGGCTGTAGGACCGGTTTCTCTTGCTTCAAGCCTTTTTTCAGTTCTGCGGCAATTTTCTGCTCTGCGTTCTTCAAGGCGGTCTCCGATTGTTGCACTGTCTTCTGTTCTTTCACGGCGGCCACTTTTCTCTCGCCATAGTACTCGCGCGCATTGCCGTAAGGGGAGAGTCCAAGATCGACATCAATCGCTAGTCGGCGACCGCGACCCCTCGACGAAGAAGCGTCGGTATTGGAGTAAAAGCCGCTGTCCGAGACTGAAGAGTCGGTGTCAGAGGCATCAACGCCTTCGTCTTCCTCCTCGTCCTCCTCAGCCTCGCCGAGTAATACCGTGATGGTGTTGTTGTGGAGCTTGAGAGGAAGCTGGATAACCAGGGCTACGGGGTTGTTCCGTTGGCGCTCCCGTTCTACAAGCTTGCCAATATCCTCCCAGTCCATCCCCTGTTGTATTAACCCATTCACTGCATCAATAGCTTCCTGAACTCTCTCAACATTGGCTTCGATAGCGTTAGCTTTGCGAATATTCAGCTGCTGGACTGCTTGTAGACCCTCGATCCTCTTGGCGTGATCGGCTTTGGCGGCATCCAGCTTTCGCTTTGCGTCGGCTTCCCTCTCAGATAATCGCGATTCGAGCTTCTGCCCCTCCACAGAAGAGAAAAACTCGTCTACCATCTTGTTGAAGTTGTCGAATGTAAGCACGGTGTAGGCTGGGTCTTGCTCAAATTGGCGGGGTAGGAACGGATGGAAGTCTTCATAAAGCAGGTTATCTTTCTGCTGCCTCTCTTCCCCGTCTGAGGTTTCTGGCAGCGCTGCCCCAACGCCCGGCTTCGTTTTGGCTAGAATATACCCCTTAGAGCTATCGGAGCTAGTTATTTCTTTAACGATCTTGCGGGCTTCCTCCAGAGACCGTAATAGGTCGTCAAGTAGTCCTTCATTCTCAAGAACCGCAGATGGTTGTAGAGTAGAATCGAAGCTAGTGACATTCAGGGCGTGGTCAACTAAGATCGGCGGGAACTCGGTGATGGTGGTAGCAAGACCCTTGCGCAATTCATCGCCCGGCTTCTTTTTTATCTTTTTGCCCGCAGTGGCAGACGCGGCGGCCTTATCGACGGTGGCCCGGAGTGCATTTCGTAAGCGTTCCTTCGTCAGGGCCGGGATACCGCTAAAGTTTTGCCTATTTTCCAACGAGTAGGTCAGACCGGGACGCTGAGGTTCCTGGCCCTCTCCTTCCGGGACGTGCCGCAACAGGGTGAGAATTTTGTGCTCGCTGTTCGTCAGGATAACATTGCCACTCGCAAAGAACTCAAGGTATAGTCTGTATTGGCCATCGCTGAACTGGAACTCGATAATACGGTCTGTACCTATCTGAGACACGGCGGTCACCCGTCTTGTTTTCAAAGCCTTGCGCAGCTTCTGGACGAAGTCGGACGGTGCAGCAGCGGTGGTGCGCGCAAACTCAGTCAAGTGGGTACGGAAGCCAGAGTCTATAAGGAGCTGCTTCTTGACTCCGGGCTTTGAGAATTTAAATAGGAGGATCTTAGAGGAGAGGTCATAGATATTCGAGACCCGCAAGGGTACGAGGTTGGCGGACAGCTCGTGGGAGATGACCTATGAGGGAGAGCGTGTTAGTTGGTAGGGCAGCAGGTGGATATACGAGGGGGTGTCTAGTAAATACCGCTCGGAATGCTTACTTTTACATCCAACGATGAGAACCTCTGCTTCATTTCCCTGTGCGTTTGTGGTTATTTTCCTGACTGGTGCAAGCTGTGACGATTGTCGCCTTCGTTCATTTTGTTGTTGGTGGGAAAAGAAGCATAGTCAGATGGAGCTCTGAGGTTCACTCACAACCTCCATTATTACGTAGGTACCTGAGTACTGCGCGGGGCATAATTACGTAAGTCACGTGCTAATTGTTCAGTAACTAGAACACGGACTTCTGCCGTAATATTACGGGTTACGACTGAATATTACCACGTAGCACAAAAACGGCTTGAACCAATTGTCACGCGCATGGGCAGCTTTACAATAAGTCACGTCGACGGTCAAACCCGTACCGGCACCGTTTGTTGCCAATAACGGCTATGCGACCACGAATTAGGTATGCTTCCTAATCTCGCCCTTCTCCGGTCGTCTGTTAACGATGTCTTGTGGGCAACAGAGGCCTGACCGACGAGAGCCAAAAACATATTCGGAGATTTGGGGTCCTTCTCTCATTTCTTCCGGCAATGGCCCCTGACAGCCTCGACGGCACATACCTACACGGGAATGAGCTGATTCGACGGTGACTACAGTGACAGAATCGATGACAATTTCAGCCAACCCTATTCTTCATCAAAGAGCTCGATACCATCTACGGAGACATCGAAATCTAGATGGTTCCTAGTCAGTAACCACAACCGGTAATTCTGCATAGGTGAGAAGCACTCACCCTCGCTTCCCGTGGCTCCAAAGGTGATGGTATTGACGTCGCCGGCCTTCAAGGTGAGCTGAAGCGGAGTCGACGCGTGATACCCGGCGCGGGAGTTGAGGCTCGAGATATTAATAGCCGGCCCGTCATTCACGAATATGTGAGCCTCGCCCGCTGTCACCCACAGTTAGCAAGGGGAGCTACAAGCTTGGCTAGAATCAAGGCGTACCCTCCGGGTTGTTGACTCGGTAGTGGAACGAGAGCCACTGGCGAGATCCGGTGCCGGTGACATTACGGAAGGTTACTTCGCTCGCGTCGCCCACTATTCGAACCGTTAGCCCGACAAACGCCATGCTCGAGGGCTAACTAGGATGCCATGACTTGCCTCCGTGTACGGAGCGCTTGCTAGCGCAGGTGTTACAATCTCTCACCACTTCCCAACGTCAGTAGCACGGACTCAGGGACAGATCAACCCAACTACGTTACCTGTTCTGCCCGACAAGACCGCGTGTTCGGCCTCGTAGCGCTTCTGCGTGGTCGGGTAAGAAACCACGCCGGTATTGGGATCAACTTTCCACATCGAATGGTAATCGAGGGTTACCGAGCGCGAACTGTGCGAGTCGGAGGGTTAGCCGGGTCACACCGAAGTTCAACAACAAGAGATGGGAGAATTCGGCGCTACTTACCCGACGTCAATATTCATAGGCAGCCACACGTAGTTTGAGCCGTCACCTCCTTTGGAGTCCCAAGCGTCGCCCATATAGATGTACGTAGTCTTTTGTGAGCCCTTGACCGTCAGCTCGAACGTGTTCTGCGACCCGTAGGTCTTCTGGTCTTCTGGCGCGATGTCGGACCCTCCGGTCCAAGGCCCGTTTATCGAAGTGGCCCAGAAGACCTTGTTCGGATTTGCGCGCCAGCCGGTCTTGCCCGAGACGATCAGGAAGTAGACGCCATCGACCTTGACGATACCGGGGGCCTCGTACGCTCCGGCCCCTATACACGTCTGCTCAGCATTCTTCACAGCTCATGCGGCCGAGCCGAGAAACTTACTCAGGTCCGAAACCTTGTCGCCTAGCGCGCCGTCCTTGTTGATCCGGTTGACTTGGACGATGTTGTGGTCGGCGCTGGTCAGGAGAAACCAGGTGTCTGATCCATTACGCTCGTTAGCAACCGGGAATTCTGACTTCTGAGTTCCTCGGCCTACCTGTAGCTTCATCGTGGAACATTCCGGTGTCCGAATACGAGTAATCATCAGGTGGTATATGGACTTTGGCCGATTGGCCGTACCCTCCGATGAACGCCGACGATTTTAAGGAGAGGACATAGCGATCCTGCTGGCCAAACAACTATCGCTGGCCGAATCCAATTAGCAGGGGCTACATTAGCCCGATCCGGATTGCTGAAGGTGAAGGATGCTATACCCAAAATGACCCGTTCGGCTTCGCTATCTTGGGTCGCCACATGCCAGATACAGAGCTGGCTTGCTGCCCGAGATTCTTCCAGTTGACGAGGTCCGCGGAAGAGTATAGTATCGGCGTTTGATCTCAACATCATCGTTAGCCCACGTATTTCACCAGACTAGTTTAGGGGACTTACTAGCAACGGCGTGGCCAACCCAGTAGAAGGTGTCGCCGCGTTTCACGACGCCGCCACCGTGGGCATCGATCTTGTTCCCGTCCGTATCATACCAGACGGCGCCCGGCGCAATCCACGACGCGCCGAGGACGCCGGGTATGACGCAAGCCCAGAAAAGCGAAGATACCAGCATAGTTAACTAACGTGGCCGATCCAGTTTACGGAAAGCGTACAGCTACGGTCTGATCTTCAGCTTCTAAGATCGCCACTCGACGTCCCCTTCTTCTACTGTTATACCTACAGGGTCGATACTTGAATTTCTGGTCTCGGTTTAATGTTATGGCGAGCGTCTCGGCTAATTAGTATCATGCTATGTTCCTCGTGCTCGATATCGCCGTAACGGAGTGACGAACATTTTGGGATACATCCTCATTCCCGGCTTCGACAGCCAAACTCCCGCCGACGGCGAATGCGGGGAGAGCGCGATGTAACGACACGGCCGGTTCAAGCACACGGAGCTCGATGCCTTTTATACTTGATCGCCTCCTACTGTAGGCCCCCTTAGCCTATTCCTTCTGGGATGAGCTGGGTCGTGAGGATAGAGAGTCCCCAAGTCGGCTAAAGTTAATTAAACGATATTCGTAAGCTGCTAGGAATTCTAACGATATCCTCACGGTCCCAACTGCGTCGTATACAGCCTCATTTGCCGGATTAAAATTTGAACAACGTACTCACTAGGTTCGCTGTTAGACGACAGGTCAGCAGCGCCAGTAGTGACGTCGACGGAGAAACAGTGCTGGGTATATTAGCTATCATCGATGGTCTAATGGCTTTAACATCGTCCGTTTGACAATCGGCGATAATCGCCTCACTTGGTGCCATTTTTCAAAGAGTAAGATTCTTATCTCCTCTAATCTATTCTGCAATATTCTATACAAGTGTCCCTGAAAAACATGTACTGTGCAAAACAGTGCCGAACCTCTGCCTCACGGTAGAGACTTGTAGCCCCATTTCAGAGGGAATACGGAAGTTGGCCATTCGATAATTCCCCGCCGCTGGCATCAACATGACTCGGTCATGGGGGAAAAACAACCCGAGAACAGATGCTCGTATAATACCACCAGTTACATGCACAAGGCATGCAGGTAAGGCGTGTGGAGTATGTATGTAGCGGGAGGTGTGAGGCATGAGCCGCCAACACCACTAATATGGGCAATACGAGCCGATGCCAAAGTGGTAGTACCCTGTCCACTGAGAGGAGACCAGTTTGCAGATCGGATATGCATTTATTGGCTTGATAAAAGAGTGAAAGGGAACCTAGTTTCTCCATCCATGCACATGTGTATAATCCGGGCAGCTTTCAACCACCCCGTCCATTTGCATTATACACCTCCGAGACGTGACGTCTGCGTTGATGGGGATTTCCGAACCCACACCAACTGACGTGTTGCCCCCTGACGTAGAACCGATAAAGTCACGAGCAATAGATACAGGGCGGGATAGAGCGATAGAGAGAGAAAGCTCGGGGGCGTATAGGCGTCTATTCGACTCGAGTGTCAGCGTCAACTATGGAACCGTGGCTAAAAATGGCCGTTCGCTACGGCGCCAGGACGCCAGGAATATGTCCCGGTTCGACGAGGCTTGAGGAGCCAGCTTCCAATATATTGCGTGGCGGGAAGGGAGAAGGGCTGTTGTCCCTTTAACCGCAACAACACAGGGCCAGCTGGCATCCCTTACGCCGCTGCGTGCCCACATACCCACGAGTCGAGAACGAGATGGGAGAGGTCGGAAGGAGGGCAGTCTTATCGATGGGCTTTCCTCAGGCGGTGGGGGCGTGGCCCAGAGCCGTGTCGGGGGCGGCGACACCGCCGCCGCATGCATACGCAAACACACGCACTTGCGATCCGCTGGTAAAGTGAGCGAGCGGATCAAGGGAGTGGGAGAATGGAAGAGACTATTGTATGCATGGCGGACGGGGCCGATGTGGGCACGTGTCCGACGGACAACGCTCGAACGGAGCTGCGTCGATTGCCGGGCACCATAATGCGAACGGTCGACGACGAGTCGCGTTCGTTCCCAGGCCCTGCTGCGTCATGGCGGGCGACTCCCGTAGCGTCGCGGCAGCCAGGCGGGCAGCTGAGGAGGTTGATGACGATGATCCTGATGCATCATCTAGGCTGACCTATCTACCTATCGATCTCGCCTAACCCTGCCTACCTACCCGTGAGCTCTGCCGCCGTAACAGAGAGGAAGAGAGAAGAGATGAGATGATAGGGAGCTGATGGCGAAGCGGACGCTCGGCCCGCCTAACCTCGCGAACTCATACGTACAGAGACCGCGGCGGATTGGGCGCGGGAAGCGAAGACGACAGCTACGCTTTCCTTTCCTACTAGACGATGGCGAGAGGGGAATGTGGATAGGTAAGGCAGTCAGGCGAGGCAGGTGGGTTGAGTCGTGTCACGAATGGGGGGGCATCGTCGTGGACACAGATGCGCGTAGATTGGCCGGGCCATAGCAACATGTCTGGAGCTCTCGTCGGAAGCTCATCAACTGGCTGCCTTGCTATAGCTGCCCTCTCATTGACTCGGCTGCTCGCCGACCAGAAAAAGAAGAGGCTCCCACAAGAGGAACACAACTCCCGTAGGATGAGAACTGGCCGTGGTTTATGGCGCCGTAGCTCCATGCTGCTGTACGTGGAACCGGGTCGTGCCAACTCCGCGGGCCACGCTTCCTAGACGTTTCAATCGCACCCTCTACTTAGCTACCAACACACAGCATAAGATTCCAGATCCATAGGCGTGTCAAGCAAGGCGGCCACGGCAGAGATGGCCATCCGAGCCCATCCGGATGCCGAAGAGTCGCACACGTCTAGAAACTTGGCAAATCACGACGCGAGGAGGCTGTGCTCGTTCACTTGTTGGTGCCCAGTTATCGACTAGGCGAGCCCAGCGTAGCCTCAGCAAACAGGAATCCCTCCTAACTCATGATATCAGTGTGCAGAGCCGCGGCACACATACTTGCGTATGGGCTATGTAGGCTGAACCCCCCGAGGTGCGTAAAGCAAAATGAGCGTGTATATAGGGTAGAGGTAAGCCCGTGGCGTATCATGGCTGCGTCTACACCGTAGCTTTCACTTAGCACGACCCAATCAATAGCCGTCGGCACCGAGACTTTAGGAATTAGACGTGATATGTATATGCTTGCCAGTTAATATGAAGCAGTTGTGTCGGTGTGCAGTGGGTCGGAGGCCAACTCGCCCACTGACCGTCTAGCTAAGGCGAGAACATGATATCGTAACGGGCGTACGTCGTAGTAGACCCGGCGGACGGCCTAGATGGTTGTCGTATTATTGGCCTCTTGGGTTTGCAAATGGACAAGTAACATCTACAATCACTATCTATCATTTCGACCGACTGAGGTGCTACATAGTATGATGTATTGACTGTGTCAATTCTATGGTACACACATGCACACCATCTCTTCCATGCCAAGCGCGGGCAGCTTCGGGCAGGACAGCTTGCTCTCCCCGGGTGGTCTAGAACTAGTTATGCTCGGTGATGGCTCATCTATGTACTGCCGTTGTAGCGTAGCAATAGCTTTTATCTACATTGCGACGGACTCTCGGGAATCGTGCGGGCGTCAATTGATCTCGCAGAGGTTGGCCCTGACGCCGACGACCCCGATCTCGTGTTCTCTCGTCCGTTGCGGATGTGTATACATAGATATGTGGTCCCCGTACGTTCGGACCTTCGCCGACGCTTTCACTCCGTGAAGCCTCCCATTGGGAGGCACATACACGAGATAGGAGACCAGCATCGGCGACACCCTGGGCAGCTTGAGCAAATGCAGCAGTTCAGTGCCGGGGGCAATCCAGAGCGTTTTTTCTCACTACGAAGCGTGCTCGGAGCCGCTGGCTGGCAAGTTGACATGCGAGAGCTTGAAGGCCCATTTTGTTCCAAGACTATATCTATCTTGGGCAACGGCAGCGAATAATCCCACTTTTGCGTCATTCAGAGCGTACGGCACCGAACCCTCCTAGGTTTTCGACGTTGGTGTAGGGGAGAGGGGAGAGGGTCCTCGAGAGGAGGAGGGTCGACATGGCGCGCAGTGCGCGACATCGCCCAGCACCGGCAACAAGCTTTCCTCCACTCTCTCTCTCCCCAAAACAAAAACATTCGGAACGCTGGGGGGGATGCGACACTTCTCCAGGATCACCGAGGCATCGCGATCCGAGATTGGTAAAACCCTGGCGCGCATGTGTCGAGCTGATCCTCCATCGAGCTTGGACCGTCCAGACGAGCTAGGTAGGCTGACGCCGACGCCATCACCACGCCGGTGGTTGGCAATCGACTTTTTTTTCGTCTGTTTTTGTCTTTTCTCTAAATTAGGGGGGCGCAGGTTTCCTCGTAAAAAGCGACGCTAGGTAGTTATTTCTACCCACGCCTCTCCGCTTTTGGCGACGACAAGGATGTCGGGAGCGTGTCGTCGTATTCTGGACCTGCCGGTTGTCATAGCAACGGACTCAAGCGGTGGAGTTCGGGGCTCAGGGGCTGGAGATTGGCATCAGCCGGAATCTGGTCTCTGTTGACGGAGCGATGTTGAAGCCGTAAGAGCCGTCCAAAGTTGTCAATGGCTCATGATAGCCGTGTCCATAACACTTAGCCTACTCGGCAGGTGAAGCGAATGTCTGAGGAATATATCGAAATGTTACCCCCGTTTCCGCGGTACCAGATTTGCGCCCACTAGGCCCCATACATATGCACATCCATCCGTCCATCCACCCACCCATAATACCGTATGCCTACTAATAACACATATACATACATACAGATACATAGACATAGAGGTGCTGTGGCTAGGTTACGGATGTATGTGCATGTATATATCTCGATACTGCAGATACGGGCCAGGGATGAGACGGGGTGTGGGAGCTCCGGACTTGTTTTACAATCTGTGTATCCAAGAAAAAAAAGAGAGATTCAGCTCGGAACTTGCATCGACGTGCATAAGTTCCCAAGGTAGACTGCATATTCCCAATCCAATGAGCGCAATCCACGATATGACGCGTCACGGAAGATGCCTTGCTTGGATGCAGGAAGCATACACAGTAGCATACATAGTAGCATACATGGTAGCATAATATAGACACACCATAAGGATGGTCAGCAAAAAGAGGGCATCGGGGAGGTTGGTGACCATATAAGTTCTCGGCCGTGATTCGCCCTGCATCGTAGCCGATCGAGAGCTGCTGACGGCTTCGGGAAGCTTAGGGGACACTGTAGAGGTGGTTGGTGTTGCCGTTGCTACTGCTACCCCAGCCACCAGAGGACAGGATAGACTGTGGTTATCCTGGCCTATCCCACGGGGAGAGAAGGATCTTCTAGCCTCCTTCATATGCACGGACGGACGAGGTAGGTTATGATCCGACAATGGCCTGAGCTCCTCCCGCGTACCCGTCTGTCTGTCTCGACTCTGCCTCTCCGCCGCATGCTGGCTCCGTTTTCCGCCATGTGTCGAGAGGGTGGGAGAGCAGCGAAAAGATACGAATGGTCATAATGAAATATCCGGTATTGTGCAGAGACAGCTCCCTCCTCCTCCTCCCGGGTCTGACACATAATACGAGAGTTCACACGGGTGCAGATTGCAATTACGCAGGCAGACAAACAAGATGCGCTCATGAGTACACGGGTCGGTTCGGCTGACCAGCCAGCGGCGTAAGGACTAGCAATTGCTAGTCCCCAATGGCTGGAAATAACGAGTGGCCCCAGACGGATCAAGAAAAGAGGGCTGGGCTGCCGGGTCACCCTGCAATCTCTGATCACGGCCCTGTAGGCCCCCCGGTGCCGCTTGGGCGATTGGACGGAGAAGGGATCGCGAGGGAAGAACCTAGGCCAGAAAAAGCGCACAGGAGGGAGCTGAGCACGGTTAACCAAGTAACTAATCGAGCAACACGCTACGTCTGAGAACCATTCCGATAGACGAGGGAGCTGTAACATATTTACGTATGCACGGGGGGGCGCAAGGATAGGGGGGGAGAGGAGTGGAGAGGTGGAGAGGGAGCGATGGCGAGGCGATCATGGAATGATGGGCGGGGCGGAGGAGGGAGAGAGGGCAGAGATAGAGAGGAAAAGAGGAGGGGGGGGAAAAAAGACATGTACATAGTACGTAGAGACAGTGCGCGACACGGTGCGGAGGTTCGCTAGGAGGCTGCTGCGAGGGGAGGGGGCGCCTTCCCAACCCCGTCGGCGGCACGGTCCCCACCGCGCTAGGCCGCTTTGGGGGCATGATAAACAGACGCCATCTTAGCAGACCCACACCGAGTAAACACCGGCGTGGGCCAGTCGACCCCTGCAGCCCGGGCAAGCACGCCCTTGCCGCGCCAGCACCTGCCTTTCTCTGGCGCCGCCGCCGCGCAGACCCAGCAGGGGCAGCTTCGACCCGGCATCGTCGCGCTCGCTCCTGCTCCTGCCCCCCGTACAGTACAGGTTTCCAGTACTTCTTGGGCCTCCTCCCCGTCCCTCCCTGGCCGGCTGCATCTTCCTATTTCTTCCCTCTCCAATGACCTCCTCCTGCCACTTCATCTCTCCTCCCATTTGACCTCACCACAGCCCAACATCTCCTCGCTCCCAGCTCTGCACCGATTCCCCGCTCTTCCCGCCTGAACGAGAAAGAATCGAGTCAAGAAGCGCGCATCGCCCCCGCCTGCCTGCTTCTTCTCCCTTCTTTTCTTTCAGATCTAGAAAGAAGAGCAAGAGGAATCTTCTTGATCTTCCTTTCGTCCTCAGCAGTCGAAAGGTTGTCGGGAAGAGGACTCTCGCGCCGTTAAGGTCGCCAACCTGGACTTTGAAGCCCGAGTTCCCGTCCCCTTCAGCATCTTCCCTCGGACATACAAGGAAGCTGAGGTTGACACCACCACTCATACCCACGAAGAGCTACAGATCACACTTCCCGCCAAACCAGAAAAAGCCGGACGGGAAGGTCAATACTCTTCTATCTCCGCTTCCGCTCAGCTACCTCCCCGCCACGAGCAGCGCTTCAGCGAAGAAGAGGTCCGCATCACACGTGAAGAAGAACGTTACCGCCGTCCCGGTGCCCGCCGCGAGTACCCCGAAGAGCACAGGTGAGCTGAGTTCCGTTTTTTGTGCGAGAATGTTCCCTTCTGGCGTGGATATGGCGAATGTACGCGAGCCGCATCCAAGAAGACGAGGGAGAGACTATTGCAGGAGTTTCCCTCGTTTTCTTGAGCTGCGTTGCGAGCGAGCTAGTTTTAAAAGGTGTCCGTCGACCCGGAAGTCATGCCCCCTATTTGCTGGCACGGTCGATGGAGCGGTGACTAGTTTCCCATGCTCCATACGACGGGCGGGTCTAGCCCGGTGCCCACCGCAAGAAATTGGGTGGGCACTGGTGTTGGCCTCGGCACCAATGGCGCGAAATTGGCCAATGTGGTGCCGCAGTATTTCTGTTATTGGTTTCCCTCCTCTCCCCCCCCTGGACCGACGCTGGGGACATTGACTGGTCCCTGTTCATGTCAACGGCCCAACTCTTCACTGATCACAACTAACACAACTCCCTTGCCTCTAGGCCTCATACCCCCTATCTAGAGACTCGCTTGGAACCATCCCGGCCTCAAAGTTCTTTCTCTTTTGAGTCTTCGGTTCAGGAAGACGACCGCCACTTCCCGCACGTCAGCCCCCTTGACCGTATCGAGCGCGAATACCGCTCTCGGGTTCAGCCCAGTGTTTACAAGAACGAGTCCGTAGTCGGCACCACCGTCGACCCTCCCAAGCCTCCCCGTTCCCACTTTAGCGAGCAGGTCCACGTCAGTGAGACTGCTGTCGATCTGCCCAGACACAGCCCCGTTTTCCACCAGGAAACCCGCGTCACCGAGTCAACTGTTGACCCCGTTCAGCCCCTTCCCAAACACCACAAGCACATAAAGGTCACAGAGGAGACCATCGACTATCCTCCTCGCGCCTCCCCCGACTCTGACCAGAAGAGAATGGGATATTACGACGAGACCGGTGAGTAATAAATAGTCATTCTCCCTCGTTACCCAACCGGCCTTGTCATTCCTTCACCTTGCACCTGCATTCTAATTCCTCCTTTTCAGGACACTACCACTCCTTCCGTGAAAGTCTCCACAAAATGGCCGACCGCGTTCTTCATCACGATGGCGACCGCATCGAGGTTGTCCGCGAGTCTCGCCCTGTCTCCGGCCCCAAGAATGGCAACAACGTCCCCAACACCGTTACCATCCCTTGCCACCACGTCCGCATGGGTGATATCTTGATACTCCAGGGCCGACCCTGCCAAGTCATCCGCATCTCCACCTCGTCTGCTACCGGCCAGCACCGCTACCTGGGCGTCGACCTTTTTACCAAGCAACTCCACGAGGAGTCGTCCTTCATCTCCAACCCGGCTCCCAGCGTCGTCGTCCAAACCATGCTGGGCCCCATCTTCAAGCAGTACCGTGTGCTCGACATTCAGGACGGCTCCGTCGTCGCCATGACAGAGACTGGCGACGTCAAGACCGGTCTGGCGGTCATCGATCAGTCCAACCTGTGGAGTCGCCTGACCAAGGCCTTCAATGCGGGCCACGGTAGCGTCCGCGTCCTCGTTCTCAACGACGGCGGCCGGGAACTTGTCGTCGACATCAAGGTGATCCACGCCTCCAACTTGTAAAATGTTCGACGGGATGTGTCGACCGCGGCGACGGTCGGCAGTCTAGTGTATGGATCTTGCCTGTTTATTAGTCCCGGCCCCACCTCACCATTCAGTTGGAACGACCCCCTTTTTTGTGCAAATGGTTCACGATGGAGTCGCGGTTGATCTTCAAGATTGCTCCCTAGATCCTTCGCGTAGTAATGTATGTGGATGGGAACACGAAAAGGACGTTACGGATTATGGCATATGTTCAATGATACATAGCTGTGTATATGGATGGTAATACAATGTCAGGTCTCTAGCGTACACCGCGATGACGCTCCCCTTTTTGTGCCTTAGCTCTCGTTTGTGTTGTGACGATAAATCTGCCCTAGACCGAGTGAGTAGGCTGCGTCGGTAGCTACCTACCTCCTAGTCACGATTGCTGGCTCTTCCTCTACACCCAGGTAATCAAGTGTAGGTAGTAGGTAACCAAGGATACGGAATGGTGATGGGCCGCCGTGGCCATCAAGGTGCCCGCATCGCCGCGGCCTGGCGGGTAATGGCGACAGTTTAGCCCCGAGGTGTTGGGTGTGTCATGGGGTAGGTGGGCGGGCCAATCGCCGGCGGACTCACTTACTGCCTGGTAGGGAAGCAGGCCGATAAGACGCCATCGCAAGCACCACCGCACCTCCTCCTCCTCCAACACGTCGAATCCCCTTCAGCTTCCTCTTCCTCTCTTCTTCCTCACCCTACGGCAGCCTTCTCTTCCTATGCGTTTCGTCGCCCTACTATCGCTGTAGTCATCGCGGTGCGTAGCTAAGTCACGCCCAAACTCGAACCCCATATCCATCCCGACTATCGAACCTGAAACAGGGCCCCTTCTGCCCCTCTTCCCTCGCATCGCGGTCGCCGCATAACACCCGCCATCATGGGTGCGCAGCAGTCCAAACCCTCCCCCGAGGCAGCCAAAGCCGTCATGCACGAGAAGGCCGTCATCGATCGGATAATGAATTTAGACGTCCAAGATGCCGGTGATGATTTCGTCCACGTCAGCTCTGAGAAGGGGTCGTTCCTTCGCCACAAGATAGCGAGGCTGCCCGAGAAGATTGTCCTCGAGCTCACACAGAACTGGCAGTCCAAGCTGCTCGCCGACCCGAAAAACAGGTCTGTTGCCCTATACCGATGAGCATTGCTACGCATGTCCCGGTCCGTATTGCGACTAACAGCCGCTTACCATCGCGCTCCCTACCGCAGACTCGCTCTTTCGGCCCTCAGCGCTGCGAACCCGCGAGATGTCCTCACGTCTCGCTCCGTCAAGATTGCCGACCAGCAGGTGTTCAACATCCGCATCCCGTTCGAGGGCGCCCCCATCACGAACCAGCGATCCTCGGGCCGCTGTTGGCTCTTCGCCAGCACCAACGTGTTCCGAGTCGCCATCATGAAGAAATACAACCTAGATGCCTTCGAGCTGTCCCAGGCCTACCTCTTCTACTGGGACAAGCTCGAAAAGTCCAACTTCTTTCTGGAGAACATCATCGACACCGCCGACCAACCCCTCGATGACAGGCTTGTCCAGAGGCTGCTCGCTGAGCCTATAAGCGACGGTGGCCAGTGGGACATGGTTTACAACCTCGTCGAGAAGTATGGCCTCGTCCCGCAGGCGCTGTACCCGGATAGCTGGAATGCCATGTCGAGTAGCACTATCAATTACATCGTCGTCGCCAAGCTGCGCGAGTATGCCGTGACCCTGCGCAAGCTGGTCAATAGTCCCAAGACGACAGTCTCGAGCCTCGCCGCCATCAAGGGCAAGATGCTGCGCGAGATTCACCTCATCCTGACCCTGACGCTCGGCCCGCCGCCTAGCACGACGGAGGAGTTCGAGTGGGAATTCTTGGACAAGGACGGCAAGGCCGTCACCGTCGTCTCGACGCCGCATCAATTTGCCAAAGACCTCGCCTCCCCCGAATTCCGCATCACCAGCTCCGCCATTGCTAGTATGGTCTCCCTAGTTCACGACCCGCGCCACGAGCCCCTCACCCTGATGACCGTTGACCGCCTGGGCAACATCGTGGGAGGCCGGGGCATTACGTATATTAACGTAGACATAAACACTCTGAAGCAGGCATGCGTAGCCATGCTCAAGGCCGGCCTCCCCATATTCTTCGGCTCCGACGTAGGAAAGTTTAGCGAGAGGAACAGCGGCATCATGGACCTCGACATCATCGACTACGAAGTAGGCTTCAACGTGAACTTGTACGGAAGCTTGGACAAGGCGGCGCGCCTCCGCGTCGGCGAATCCTCCATGACACATGCCAGTACGTAAATCCCCCCCTCCGCCCACCGGGCACCATCCCGCCCGAAGACGGGAGATCGATCCCCCCGAAGTATGACAGCTACTAACCCTCGCCTCCGCAGTGGTGCTGACGGCGGTGCACGTCGACGAGGACGGCAAGCCGGTGCGATGGCGGGTGCAGAACAGCTGGGGCACCGCCAACGGCGACAAGGGGTGGTTCGTGATGAGCGACCGCTGGCTCGACGAGTTCGTGTTCCAGGCCGTCGTCGACCCGCGCTTCCTCAGCAAGAGGGTGCGCGACGTGCTCAGCCAAGAGCCGATCGTGCTGCCCCTCTGGGACCCGATGGGCAGCCTCGCTTGAAACACCCCGCGGATAGAGAGAGGGGAGGAAGGTAGGTTAGCAAGAAAGCGAGCGAGAGAGTGAATGAGCAAGTTCCGAGAGGTGCGACGATACTATGTATTCGCGTGTATAGGCGCTACGGTTTCTTATCGTCCATGTTTTTGTGCGTAAATGGCCCTACCTAGGTGCCTATAAACCATGCTCGAAGACAACGTCCAATGCTAGTAACGCCACACCCCTTGCAAAGTCTACCAACGACGAGCCCAAGTGCTTCTTCGTCTTCGTTTTTATCTTTATCTTCTTGGGAAATAAATAATTTTGGGTAGCCCGGCTCCCACGGCCTATCCGTCCGTCCGTCCGCCTGAGTTGGGAGAAAGGGGGCGAGGTTTCCGTTCGTCGACACGCGCCTCTAGTAGCCCCATCTCCACCGAGAGCTACATCTACGTGGAGAGCAACCTGGCTTACCTAAGCCGGTTGTGCATATATATATATATATATATATATAAACTAGCTTTGCACTCTTTCACAGGTTTCCTTCCTTAGGTAGCTACCTAGGGAGTCAGTCAATATACCTTTCCTCACCTATGTTCCCTTGCTCCCCCGCGCGCAACGTACTCGGCAATACGTCAGCTACGTAACACCTGCTTATTCCTACGGTAGCTACGGGGTAGATTCACGGGAGAGGCAGGGGGGGCGACGTAAGCTATGCTTGAGGAGGGTGGAGGATATAGAGAGGGGGTGGTCGAGGGCATGCGGAGAATATGGGCGGCGGGGAAGGCGGGAGGATTAGACGACGACGTAGGTGTAGCACATGCTGGTAGGATGCGCGCGCGTCGTGGACGTGCGTGTCGTTTGGGGGCGGCATAAATAGGATGAGGGAGGGAGGGAAGGAGGGGGGAGGACTACTTGGAGTCGAGGGAGTAGGCGGACGGGCGGACGGATGCCGGGACAGGGAGGCTCTTGTTGGCGTTGGTAGTTGATTTTCGGTGTTGGTGGTTGGCGGAGAGGCAGAGGGAGACGAAAGGGGGGAGGGGTCAGACGTCTTTCAGGGGGGTTGGAGGAGGGTGCGAGAGGTATGACGCCCAGGCTGCCTCGTGTGGAAGTATACATCTACGTCACTTTTGTGTAATGATAGTTGTCGGGGAAGGTTCCGTATTTTAGGTTGTTCCCATGGGGAGGAGAGAGGAGAGAGTGTCTGTGCAATTTGAAAGTAAAGGGAGGAGTAGGGAGTCGGCATCCGTATACCACCGCACGGTTCGGGCCCGGCGTGTGTCTCCTGGGACACGATGTTCAGGGGCTACGAGAGCGGGCTCACTGCTCGTCGTGAGAGCACGTTGTCTTGCAAGTCGCCGGTCAAGGGCGGCATTCTCACCATCGTAGTTAGCACGGGGCATGGCGCAAAGAACGGCTCAGCTGTGTAGTCTTCTTGCAGAATGAGAGCTCTATAAGTTAATGGGGTGTAAAGTGCACCGTGTGTCGGCATCTGCGTGTTTCTGCACACACCACAGGAAAAACGCAGGCGTACACGCCTCCAAGTTTGGAGATCTATGCATATCTGGTTTTTTTTTTACCATAGCGCGACATATTCGGCGAATAGGTCGGAGAAGTAGGGAAAGCCTAGGACTATTGCCCAGACCACCGGTCTCTTTCTACGCGTGAAAACCGATAGAAAGCATGATGCTTAATGACTCCAAGTCTAGCTCGGCCTCGCCTCGTTGGTTCGCCCGTGGATGTTTTACGTATGGCAGCACACATGTCGACGTAGGTTCTGCGGTGTTTCTGTCAGAGGTTGACAACGGATGGGAGGAGTTTGTCTTTGCCAGCTGATGTTGGTCAGACCTGCGCCCGAAGCCAGCCACGCGCGTGCCACCTAGTAACGGTCCCGAACTTGTGCAAACGTCGAGAGTTGAAAATGACGAGTAGAGGAAAGGGGTCACCAAAGCCCGGCGTTAGGAGAATCGCCACCTAGGTAGCTAGGTAAACCCATCCCCTTTTCCCCTATTCACACTTCAAAGACAGATATACACTTTTGATTTCTAGTCTATGTAACGGCCCCCCAAATTGCCCTTTTCTATGCTCACTTAAGCTTATTGAACCTCGTCCTCCTTGAGCCGCCTCGGACACCCCTTACGTGGCACCACATGCCGTCCAGGACGCAAACTAGCAGATCGACATACGCGTGCGTTTGTAGGGCTTTCTTTTCTTTTCGGTCTGCGAAGTGTAGGACCGTGTGCGCGTAAGACCATTTCGATCGATCCCGGCTAAGAACGGGAGGTGTGGCTACGTAGGGCGGCACTTTCTCGCTGCATCATGTAACCTCGTACGGACGTCGCCCTGTGGCATCTGCCTGGCGAGGTCGGATGGCGAGGCGGCGAAGAAGAACCGAGGGCACAGACGAGAGATCCCGCTCCCGCGTGATACAGCATATGCGTACAGCCAAGAAGCGTGTTGCGAGCGGGCGCAGAGGAACCGGACCGGGCTTGGCTGGGCTGGCCGCGGCCTGCAGATGTCTGGGGCGCGAGCCATCTCGCTACGTCGAGAATTTGCTATGAGCAGGTGTTCTCGGTGTATGTGTCGCCCAGTAGGGGCTGTCGGAGGCCCCGCCCGGTTCCCCCCCTCCTCTTCGCCACTGGCGGCGGGCGAGAAAGGCAGGTAAGGCACCTCGAGCCGAGCTCTTGATCGTGGAGCGGGAGCGTCGGGCGCGTGACCTGGATTGAACACGTCGCCTCTTCTTCTGCCTCGAGGTGTTTGTGGGGTCTTCCTCGTATGTGATATGGCATGTCGATAGTGTGTGAACCACAGAAGCCGAGGAGCGGTATGGATCACGTCGGGAACGCGGTCGCCCTGGAAGAAGGCGATGTAGGTTGAGTCAGTCAGCATTCCATGAGAACACACCTATCAAGGAACGAGTAGAGGAGCCCCTAAAATATTACTTCATACCTCACCGTACTGTTGACAAACGAATTCCTAAATCTGACCCGTCTAGGAGGAGGCGCGCCCGCCAGCACACCGACCAAATCCCTCCCCCCTATTATCACAGCCTTGCTATTCACCGGAAGACCAGCCAAGCTCTCTCTATTCGTCGTAGCCACCCCTATAGCCTTGTCGAAACGCCTCGTCTCACCTTGTTCAACCCGAGTTGACGAATAAGCCGTGTGGAAAGTATGAGCTGGCATGTGTTTCTTGGAGCACCGCCGGGGGCTATAGACTCCGGACTGACGGTGCAGAAATCGAAGCTTCTGACCGCTCGTAGCAAATTTCCGGAAATGCGCGCCTCTCCTGATCGGAGAATTAAAAGCGAGATTACGGACTCCCATCCACGCGCATCTCCGTCACCCGACCCTGCCGTGACGTGTCGAGGGCGGCGTTGGGCCTCAGCATCTCGAAGAAGGGGACTCGGGTGAATCGCAGCCCCCGGAAGGGATGCGGTCATACTCATAAAGGGCATCATATTGATGTGTGTATGGCGATGCCGTCAGAGGCGACGAAGGGTGAGGCAGATAGGCCAGGCCTCTCCCGCTGGCTGGGGAGGTACGGTGTGCTTGGGATGAAGCGGCTGGTCGTCTGCTTCCATCGCACACAGCCGCAGCCCGTGCTTCGCGAGCCCAATGGCATCGCAGCAGTACACTCTACGCGCTCCCGTTGGCTCTCGACTCGCTTCGCGGCGCGCGTATATAGCTCGAGAGATCGGCGCTCGCGTTCATTGGAACCAGCGCTCTCCTATTAGACTCGAGGCGTGGATACATGTAGGTACATGTGTCGACGGGAGTGGCCTGGGAATTGCCATTATGCCAGATCCAAGGCGACGGGAACCAAGATGGGGGGAGCTCACTTTCTTTACCGCCTCTAGCTGGGGCAGTTAGTCACCTTGGGAAAGCTTCGTCCCCTATCTCGGCCCCCCCCTTCCCCCCTTCACGCATCAGGCATCGCGTGTCTGCGTGTGGAATGCGACGTTCGCGCCCAACGAGGACTGGGAATCCCAGGACCAGCGAAGGGCTAGGCTCCGATAGGAGGAGGTCTAGATTGCCGGGGCGTCGCCCATGTGAGAGCCATCACTTCGGCCCGCCGTCCATGGAGCGCCGTACCTCGTTACGACGCATGAACCGAGAGCCCCCTCTCTCCTGGTGGAACCTCTTTTTTTTCTTTTTTTTTCTAGCTGGTGCCCCGATACGGAGGGGAGGGTGATCGAGTTGAGCGAGGAAGGGTGAAGGGAATGTGACAAAGCAACCGGTGAAACTGTCACGACTAATAGGGCCGCGGCATCTGCCTCTCCGGTTCTTCTCGTCTCTCGCGGAGACTGCGATTTGTTTGTCCCCGGGCTATTCCGTCACTGTTGCTGGCTTGGAGCCGGGCTTCCTCGGTCAAGCGGCCGTTGGGAGAGGAAGGCAAGGGAGCCACATTCCGAAACAAACCGCAAATGATGCCCAGGCTCAACCACGGCATGGTAACTTGGGCGACGAGGTCTGTCAATTGCCGCGAGGGGCCGATCCTTAGAGAACTACACACCATCCTCCCCTCCTCCCCCCTTCGACGCTACGGCGGCCCAATAATGCGAGAGGAACCTGATACCTCGCCACTTGGGTGGATTTCCTTCTGGATACGTAGGCTGCAATCTATTATTCGATTTCTCTTCTTCAGCAATTGACTGCAGAACACAAAGCCGCCGGCTTAGATCCCAGGTATCTCCTCTCTAGTCTCACCTGATGATCGGGCAACACAGCGTCGTCGTTCGACTGACTTGCTGAATGGGTAGCCAAGACACCCATAGCCGAGTTGATGCCTAGGTAGAAAATAACTTCTTTTTCGTGGGAAGGTGGTGTCAGTGCTCGTGTCCTGGGAGCACCTACATGGTGTACATGCTTTACATAACATGTAGGCGGGTAGGTATGGATGTGGATGTGTGGATTTGTGTAGGCATATGTATGTGAGACAGGGCGAGACGCCGGAACCAAAGGACCGGGCCGAGCCACGAGGAAGAGGAGGAGGCAAACGTTTTGTGCCTGGCACAAATTGAAAATAACAATTGTTACCTAGGGAAGAAGAGTCGTCCCAGGAGAGAGAGAGGAGGGGGGGGAGGGGAGGGGGAAGAGACCCACGAGCCCCATTGGGTTCCAACCCGAGGGTTAGCGTTGAAGCCCGAAAGGCCAAAAGGCCAAAATTAGCACCGACGAGCGCCAACAGCTAAAACTCCGTCATCTTCATGGTCGGGAATAAGCGGGCGAGGCTTGCTAGGGAAGGTAATCAAGGAATAGAGAGAGGTAGTAGGCGTGTGTGTGTGCTTGCGCGTGTATGTGCGCGTAAGAGCGAGAGGGCGAGAAAACGAGTGAGGGCGAGAGACATGGGGAAGTAGACACTGTACTAGATTTCTTGGTGGCTGGCGCCTCCGGCATTTGTTGTGACGGCACCAGTTGAGAATGGTTGAGGAATGGCACAGCCAACCGAGCAACCAATGCCTCGTTCCAACTCTACCCACCCGTGGCGGTTGTGCGGGTAGGAATATGCGTTGGTCCGTCCATCTACGCGTGGTACCTGTGTGGTTCGGAGGTGACGGGTTAGGGAAATGAAACTATTCGCTGCGGTTGGGTCCGTCGCCTGTCGAATTACAGAGGTGGGAATCGTAGCTGGCTGCGAATTGCTAAAAACAACTAGAGATGCTAGAGGGCGGCAGCGTGTTTACCTATCGAGAGAACGGCGGCTGAGCCATTTGAAACCCAGGCGAGGTCGCGGTGGTAAGAGAGGAATATATCGATTATGAAAAGGCAGTCCGGCCGGTCTTGTTTCTGTCCTTGGGTCTGTCTGACTGCAACTGGCGCGCCGCTATCGAGTTTCCATCAGCAATATTTCCTATAATATCCTTCGCAATATTCTCGCTATACCGGCTTCTATTCATAATCCTTGCGCCCACTCTCCACTACCACTACCTAACATTTGCACTTACACTTACACTTACCCGCGTCTGCGCGCTCTCCCTCTTACTTAGGCGTTGCCGACATAACGCACCTACATCACCCATATTCAATAATCGACGGACGTCTCGTCCTAAAGTTGCAGCGAGCTTGCTAGAGCCGTCCCCGTCCTGTCAATCCGCACACGCGCAAATCCCGCCGTACGTACATCTTTGGAATTCGATACCATCCCCTCCCCTCCCCTTTCTAAGACATCGCAACGGGACAGGCGACCCTGCTACCGGTCCTATGACGGTCTCGAGCGCACCGTGATTTTCTCAAGCGTGCTGATCTTGATTCAGGTGATTTCTAGCTCGTGTTCCCGCGAAACCATCTCGGGAAAAGACGCGGAAAAGAGACTGAGGGAAAAAAAAAAGGAAAAGAGAAAGTGAGTGCCCCGTAGACTAGAACTGCCTTTCCAAGCCTGCTTGGGGCCAACCGTCGTCGAATCCTTGAGCGAGCGGATCAGCGCCAGCCAACCCTCGTCAGCTGGTACCTGGATACCAACATTCATCCTATTGCGGGTTTCTTATCGCTTTTCGCCATTGACGCAACGCGATTATACCATTCTCAGGGGGACGTCATCGGTGGCTAATCCCCATCCCCATCGTCGGCCTGGCCACCCCTCCCTCCCTCGTCCTCTGCCCGTCTCTCTCTCACCATACCCATTCGTCATCGTGGCCGTCCGTGGCAGTTACATACCTACAAGCTTGATCCGGGCGCGCGGCGTTGCTCGTATTGTCAGCTCCGGTGTCGTTCGTGACTTGCACCGCCATATTACCTACCTACCTACATACTTACCTGCTTCCTTGCCTACCTACAGACCTGTTCTCGTTCTCGCATCTCGTCCCCGTTTTCGTCTCCTGTTCTCGCGCTTCCCGGCCTTGGTTCTCCCGTGCCATCGCCTGCCCACTTTCACCGCCCCGTTCCATTCCTCGCTCTGGGCTGGGCGAGGAGTACCGAAATTAGGCGACGGCGATCGGTCTCGCTGTGGCCTCCTCTCGCTGTCCTAACCAACCCACGCTCACGCTCACGCCCACCCCACCTCCTTGCTGCAATGCATGGGTGAAGCACCACACCTATGTATGTACATGACCTGACCTGCCTTGCTTGACCTTGCCTAAAGGAATTGCCTTCTTCAGCTGCATGGGAATATATCCACACGCTACAGGCAACTAGTTACCCCGTCTCCGCCCTCCGTCACCGTCACAGATTTGCTCGAACCATAGATTTCTCTCTCTCGCTCTCGATTTGACGCCTATTCGCCCCGTCCGATACCGAGAGACAAGGGGTGCGGGAAGAGACGCGCATATCCGCAAGAGGCAGAGAGTCCGCCGTCGGCGTTGAGTCGAGTTCCAGTTCGAGTCCAGTTGCGTCGCGGTCCGGTCCAGTCGAATTCGCTGTGGTTGCGACGACGACATCCGGGTTGCACTCCTACGACGGGAAATCAGGTATATCACACAAGGATTACTCGTTATTGGTCGGCGATATATATTATCAGCGCGACGGGGAGGGTAGAGAGAGAGGTGCCTCTCCCCTTCAGGCAAAAGAAAAGCCGACGGACGACTCACACGCACCACCCCCTCCAGCATCAACTCGCGGACTTTGGATTTATTGTTCCTTTTTATTTTATTCGGGGTTTATTAATAATTTCTCTTTTTCTCGCTCAACAAAAACTCCCCACCTCCCTGCCATCCTACCTACCTGCTTTTCCTAGGCCGAATCCTCCGGCTCGTGCTTTACATTCCGTCACCGGGGTCACTCGATCCAGCTGATCCGGACGACTCACACGCACTATTTCGCCTCTCCCACCCGTCCTTCCCCTCTCGCGGTCTCCCGGTCTCCTGTCCGTCTCTCGGCGTAAAGTGTCCACGCGCCCTTCAACCCCGCGACACGCTACGAGAGACAAGTATAATAACAAAAAAAGAGAGAGCGAGGTTCGAAGCCTCGTGGCTCGTGGCTGGCGTCAAGGATCTCCTCGCCTTAGTGGCCCAGTTTGGCCACACGCTCCCTGCTCTGCAGCCCAACCGGACGCAGCAGACTCTTGTGAAGAGAGACCACACGGCATTCTATATGGCTTCTACCCCACGGTAGGACCCTGACTACGTATCGACTCCTGTTTCTGTACTAGGCTACGCCCTCTGTTTCTTGGTGGGTATGTATGCAACCCCTCTATCCCCCCCTGTCTCTCTCGTCCTTTTTTCTTCTTTCGGTTTCTCTCGTGTGTGTGGATGGGTGGGTATCGGCTCTCGATTCTCCGTAATACCTGCGATCCTATATATCGTTACTATTATTGCTCTTCTTATTACCTAGAAAATTCGCTACACACTGACACCCGCATCCACCCACCCACCCACACACGCACGCAATACTCGTGGGAATTTTTGGGATTTACAATGGCTTACTTGGTTGCTTGCAGGGTAGACCTGTCTTTGGTGGTGATCCGACGATCATAAGTGCACGAAGTACACATCGCAGGCATAAGACCTAATAATACCTGCCTACATTCTTACCAACTCTTCACTCCTTTCGCCCCCATCGGAGAACCCCCCTCTTCGAACACAACCTGGCCGCGCTGAACTGGGGTAAGAGGTAGACAGACAGAGCAGCGCAGAGAGGGTTGCTACAAAGTCCTGTTCTATCCCGTCCCCATCACCACAAGGACCGAAATAAACCGGACGTACATCCTTTTACCACCCATCTTCCCCCCCCCTCCCCCCCGGCCCATCCATCCTATCCATCCATCTGTCCCACATCGCTTGCGTTCGAAGCCCCGTCCCCCCAGCAGTTCTTCCGTCTGGGATCCCTCACTCACATTTTTTTTCTCTCTCTCCTCTTCCTGATTTCCTCCCATCTGAATTAGCCCAAGAATCTCTCTCTGTCTCTCTTACCAGCCGCATACCTCCACACGCACACACTGCACAGAGAGCTCTATCGTGGGTTTCGCAGGCAGCCAGTAAGCAGTAGGACATCAGCACTGCACCTCTCTGCGCATTCGCACGCCGGCTGGCCAACAAGATGTCGGAGCCTCGACGGTACGTGGGTCGTCAGTCGTCGCCCCCCATGACGCACCCCGCGCGGCTGTCGATGCCCATCACTGTTGGCGGTGGTGGTTATAACCCTCACTACGGCAGCGATCTCCACGCCATACAGACGGGTCGCTATGATGCCACTGTACCGCGGAGGGCCAATGATCACAGCCACAAAGCGCCAGCGGCGCCTCCAACCACCGTTACCACCTATAGTGTCACCAAGGATTCGTCGCAGCCGCCGCGTAACTCGGCGCAAGCCGCTCGCCGTCGCTCGTCGACTGTCGATGCAACCGCGGTGAAGCCTGTCATAGTCACCACTAGCCACCCCCCTCGGCCCCACGGGTCGACCTCTCACACATCGTCGTCCGCTACCCGGACAGCCAGCCCGTCACGCGATCCCTTTCGGTCGAGCGACGAGACCTACTACACCCAACCGGCCTCGTCGATGCGTTCGCGCAGCCAATACCAGGGCCACGGATACAGCCAGAGCGCGACGCTGGGCAACGACGAGTATTACCGACTAAGAGAACGAGTCGGTGAGGACAGGCTTCGCCCCCCAACGCATACTTCGACCGACTACTATCGCTACCCCGTCACCCACCCCCCCTACACAAACCCGCCGCACGCCAGCACCTCGGCGGTCATAGACTACGAAAATGAGGGCTACGAGTACACCAAGCCCAGCGACCTGGCCAGGTACGATCTCGATCACGGCCACCAGCCGCGCAAGGGCCGGCGGGACAGCTTCGATCGCCCCTACTATCGGCCCACCGTAAATGTCGTGAGCAACGAGCCAGGGCGGTACGACAGCCGCACCCGCGGACCGCCACCCCCCTCCGTCGGGCTCGAGCGGTACGGCAGGGCTGCCGCAGTGAGCACGTACGACCGCCCCACGGTCACCATGCCCATGTTGCCGCCCCCAGTGCCTGCCGCGCCGCCCGTCGATGCTCTGCGCAGGATCGAGGGTCCCAGGACCATATCGGCCGAGCGCACGAGCGACCGACCGCGGCCCGTTTCCCTGTATCAAGACGCCCCGGCGCGCATGTCGCACCCTGACGACCTCTACCGCTCCCGCGACGACGACCGGGTGCACGTTCGCCGGGCCCGCGATGATACCTACCGCGACGATAACGTGGCCACCCGCGGCTTCGGCATTCGTACGAACTCGCTAGAGCCGCCAGCGATCCTCTCGGGCGCACCGGATCGGCGCGACCACGAGTACCGCCACGCACGGCGGGATGCCGTCGACCGCGAACCGCGCCGCCGCCCCGACGATACGATAGAACCAAACTCGCGGGACCCGCGGGACACGCGAAAGCCCTCTAAAGACACCCCTATTGCCACCACTACTCGCGTCGATTCTAGTCGGGATCAGAGGGAGGCCATGACTCGGAAGAACAGCATTAGCGGCCGAGTCTTCGATAAATTCGTCGCAGGTGCCGCCGCCGCCGCCACGTCGTTAGGCTTAACATCGAAAGACGCTGCCGCCAAAGAGGAAGAACGTAAGCCTTCCCCGCGACGGCGGGATACCGCCGATGAGAAGGACACGGAGGGCCCCCGCGCCGCCGATAGGTATAAGCCTAAGGATAGAGATGTCGCGGAACAGAGGCCTTCCGCCAGGGATGAACAGGTGCTTCCGGAGCGGCGACGAGAGCCTCGCGGAGAGCGGACCGAGGAGTCGTCAGCTTCTAGGGAGCGCGACTACGAACGGGAGGCTGATCGCGAACGGGAGAGGGACCAGCGCGAGCGCAACCGGCGCGACGTCGAGGCCGCACTTGACGGCTCGGCTGTAGAGGATACGAACGACAAGCCGCTCAACTCTGACGGCTCCGCCAACACGTCTCGCAGGCGTCGGCACGGCTCGTCAACATTCGATCCCACCGACGCCAAGGGGCTGATGGAGCTCAAGGCGGAGCTGGCCGCGAAGGACGAGCAGGAGAGCGCGAAGGAGGACTTGGCCTCCAAGGACAAGCCGTCCGACAAAGACAGCACCGCCGCCACTGTCGCCTCTGGCTCTGCCGAGCGATCCACTGAGCGATCCACCGAGCGATCCGCTGAACGGCAGCAGCCGGCGGACGAACCGCGCGAGGAGTCCCGCGGGCGCGAGGCCGTGTCGTCAGCAGAGAAGCAGGTGCGTGTGGTGTCGCCGCCGCGGGAGAAGTCGGAGACGAAACCGATCAAGGGGATTCTGAAGGCGCCGAGCGCCAAGTTTCCGGAGGAGGAGAACCCGATACGGGAGGGCGTGGCGCCGCACAAGGACGACAAGACCAAGAAGGACGTGCCGGCGGGGGCGCGCTGGACCAAGATCAGCCGCAAGCTCGTCAACCCGATGGCGCTCGAGATCGGCAAGGAGCGCTACGAGGTCCGCGACGACTTCGTCATCGTCCTCCGCGTCCTCAGCAAGGAGGAGATCCAGGCCTACGCCACCGCGACCGCCAAGATTCGAGGTTAGTACCGTCCCAATTTTTTGTAACTCTGCCCCTCCCATCATTCCCCTTTCCTTTTTAATCTCTGCTTCCCCTCACTATCTATCCCCCTTTCCTCCTCCCTCACGGCACACGACACGTCACACGCGCGGTCGAGACGAGAAATGCGCTAAAACCTCAAAAATTGCAGCTGACGTGCGCCGCCGCGAGCACGAGCGCGAGCATGAGAATGGACACGACCGGGACCGGTCGGACGAGGACCGGCGGACCAACAACAGCAACGGCAGCAGCAACCGCCCCCACCGGCGACGTGAGCGTGACCGCGACGATGACTACGATGAGCGTGAGCGGCCCCAGCCGCACCGGCGCCGCGGACGTGGCGGCGCCGGCTCGGACGAGGACGATGCTGAGCTGCGGCGGCGGGCTATCGAGTACGAACCTGCGAGCGGCGGAGGGAACCACGTGCGGCCGCACCGGCCGCACCGCGAGCGCGACTACGAGCTCGTCGGCGCCGGCGCGGACGACCGGCGGTGAGCTGCTCCTCGGGCTGCCGCCGACTGTCCAGCCTAGCCCTAGCTTAGTCGGGTCCGGTCAGCCATGAGGCGCATTATGACGGGAGCCGCGGACGAGAGCTTCGTTCACGTACGAGATATGCCCTGCCATGCACGAATACACATATAAGCCACGTGTTACGACCTAGCATCTTTTTTTTTCTTCCCTTTGTAGTGGACTTCTTCGTTCGCTCACTCAGTCCGGACATCCCACCCATTCCTTCGCCATCCACAATTCGGGGTGGCTTTTTTATATAATTCTTTACAGGTCTACGGCGTTTCTTTGGCCTTCACTCCCGGCGTTTCCTAGGTCTTTTTCTTTTCTCCCACCTGCTCTTCGTTGCCATCGGCGAGGATGTCTGAAATGTGTTCGTTTCCTTCTTTTGCCGGTTGGGGATAACATCCCCGCCGCTCACGACCAAATGAAATGGGAGCGCTCGCGCGTGAGACGGAGGGGAGGGGGGGGGAGGCAGAGAGAGAGAGAGAGAGAGAGAGAGAGAGAGAGAGAGAGAGAGAGAGACAGAGAGGAGAGACGCGGGAGAAAATACAAGAGAGAATGTATGGAGAGGGAAAGAGAGAGAGAGAGGAGGTGGGGAGAGAGGCGTGCCGTGTATATATCTACGTACATATCTACCCTGTAGACACCCCGAGATACCAAGGCGTCGTCGTCGTTCGTGGAGGAGAGGGATGGAATGATATACGATAGAAAATGGGGTTGGAGGGGACGGGAGCAGGGATAAGAGTAGGAGGAGCAGTAGGGGAGAGACGGAGGAGAACATGTCTACGGGGGGACCTGTATGATCGATCATTTCGGCGGAGGGGACGCGCGCTGGGTACGCCAGGTAGCTGCTCGCCGCTCGACACATGATTTGTGAGGAACAGACACGCATCTCTTCGTCGCTGTTTTGTTTAGGGACACGGACACGGACACGGAAGAAGAAGGGGCGGAGCGAGAGAGGGACTCGGACTTTCCTAGATGTCACGTATGATGAAGTCGATCGTTTCCTCTTTACTGTTTCTCTCTGGCTGGGTTGTTATTTCTCTCCCCCCCTCTCTCTCACACACATTTTCCTATCATCCCTGCTGCCCTTAATCGTCGTCGTCGTCGCTGTTCGTCGGATATATCGTTGCCCCCCCCCCCCCCTTCCACCCCGTTCTGATACCCGGAATTGCCTAGCGAAGGAGGAAGACAAAAAAGGTACAAGAGACGGAAATCTTAGGTATCTCATAGGTTTCGTACGCTTTTTCTACACATCCATATATTCTATATCTATATATCTATATATATATATATATACCCACTTAGATACCTGTCCCACCGACCTATATAACACACATATCCCTCGGCATGCAGCGCGCAACATGCACGTAGGCCTGCGGCCCTCCACCCCCCCCTTCTCTTCCACTTGTGTGGCACGCCCACGGATCTGTCGGTCGAAATCTAGCCCAGTTACTTCACGTGTGTTTGCCCGGGAATAGCGGCTAGCAACGAGGAGGAGGAAGAAGGGGGGGGGGGGGGATGATGGAAGAGGAGAGGGGACAGCTGGGAATGAGACGGGAGGAGTGCGGGCACGGCCTGAGAGAGAGAGAGGCAGATGACACCATAACAACGCCATGTGTCCCCCTCCTCCCCCTCCCTCCTCCGTGCTATCCTGTCTCATCTCTTGGCCGCCCGTCTCGACCCATCAGGTAGTACGACGGAAGGATGAGGAAAAAGTTTTTTCATCCTTTCTCTCTCTTGCTTCTCCGCGTCCCTCTCTCTCTCTCTCTGTGCCCACCACCCACCCCCCCCCTTTTCTTCCCGTAGGTATTCCCCAACGTATCACGTTACTCTGAGTTATATACCTACGCCCCCCCCCCCGCCTAGCTGCCTCGCCTCTTCTTCTCTCCTGCCCACCGCTTCTTCTTCCTCCTCCCCCTCTGTAAGCGGCCGCTCGTACAGGACCCAGAAAAAAAAAAGATATTTTTTTTAATCTGAAAAAGAAACTCGATACCTACGTATAGCAATAGATAGATAGATAGATAGGACCTGCACGTACGCACCCGCTCCCGCTCGACTACCCTCCAAAAAAGGGGGAACGAGAACGACAAGAAGAAAAACCTCTCTCTCCCTTTCTCCCCTCGCTGCTCCCTTCCGGCCCTCCCGCCACGGGCCGCGGCGAGTAGGAAGCTGCGGGCAGCCGTCTGTGCCTCGTTCCCTCTCCCCCAATCGCACGCTCCTCTCGCCCGCCCGTGTGTCATTTCCACGCAACGCGGCAGCGGCGGCGGCGGCGGGAGGCAGGGGGAAGGGGGGGGGTTGGGGTTGGGTGAGAGTGGTAGGAGGAGGAGGGAGCGCCGCCTGTCGTAACCGCGGCGTAATCGGGGTCGGGCCGACGTCCGCGAGGTTGCCTGGGCCCCAAACGAACGTTGTGCGTGTGTTGCGTGAGCGCGCGTGTATGTGTGGCGCGGGGGGATAGGAGGCGAGAAGGGGAAGGGAAAGGGGCGCGGACCGTCGAAAGTGCAACTAACTGTATACCTAGATCCTACAAAGAGGGAAGCAGAGAAAATAAGAGGTACCTAGTTCGCGTAAACAACAGACGCCAAGAGGCGCACGCGGCCGAAGGAGAGAGCAGCCGACGCGACCCGGCTCGCGCGCGCGCGCGACCGCGGTGGGAACGCGCAGGCGTGCGGGAAGCCGGTGGCCACGGCCGTCTCCTGCCCCTCCCCCCTCTCCCCTCTCCCCTCTCCCGTCCCATCCGCGCCAGCCCGCGTGCGGGACTACGACTATGCTTCGCGCCGGGAGGCGGGCGGAGTTGGGGCCCTCCCGGTCGCCGACGAGGCGAGCGCTGGGCCCTCATGCCTCGAGGTCCCCCCCCCCTCTTTAGGTATATACATACCTATATCCGTCGTCCCGCGCGCCTCGACGCGGGTGGCGGGCCCGCGGGTTCCCCCTCCCCCCAAAAGACACGGAAGCGGAAGCGAAAGCGGGCTCGCGGCGGGCCAGCTCTGCGCCGTGTGCGCGCAGCGTGACGTGCTATGCTTTGCCGAGCGCGAGACGCGTGCGCACCTAGGTAGAGCAAGAGGGGGGGGGCGTATGCAGCGTCTACGTAGGCGGGCCAGAACGGTGAGGCTGCCTAGTGCGGAGCGGCGAGGGCGGGTTAGGTCACTTGCGCGCGCGTCGCTCGTCATCCGCGTCCGCTGGATGCGGCCCCCCCTCTACGCTAAAACTGCCGGCTCGCTCGCCCGCCCGGACCACGCGCTGTCGAGTTCGTCCGCCTTCCCGCACTCTGCCCGACCTCCCTCCCCCTTCTTGACCCGGCCGGTCATCAGTAAGTAGGGGAGAGGGTACCTAGGTAAAGGGGAGGGGTAGAGGGGGCCTCGAATTTCGAACCGGCCTTGTGTCCCTAGGACGGGTGTTAGGGGAGAGGGGAGAGGGGAGAGAGGCTTGGTTCGGGCGTCGTCCTCCGTTTTCTCCTCGTCCACTCGCGCTGTGCCATGGTAGTCGAACGTGAATGCGGACGGGGGGAGGAGAAAAGGCAAAGGAAGCCCCCCCCCACCGGCGCGGGAGCTTCTAGAGGCGCAAATCAAAGTGCAATTATGAGCCGTAACCATAAAGTTATATATGCGTATATATGGCTTTCCATCCACGTCCACGAGGGAGGGCGGAATCTTGGAGGAACGTGCAAAAAGAATAAAGAGTCGAGCTTAGAAGTGAACTCGAAGCCTGATGCTTGTCCAATGTCCCCCCCTTCCCTCCGGGACCTCCAGCAGCTAGAAGCCGGCCGGCCGGGGTCTACACACCAAGTCGACTCGAGTATAGCAATAAACAATCGGTCGCGTACCCTCATTATACTCCGAATACCTATCGCCCCTCTTTTCCCCAGTCCTATTAACACCCCCCCCCCCCCCCTCCCCCTTTTTTTTTTCTTTTTTGCTTCTGCTGTTTTTTTCGCTTCCTTGGGCATGGCCCAATATAATTATGCGACACGATACCGTCCACAGTGACTCGAACAGAGAGGCCATTTTCAGGTCCCGGGATAGGAGATTTTTAGAAACATGTCTTGCCCGCAGCATAACAGAACGCGTAGAAATATAGACAGGTACCTGTATCGTCAAGCAAAGGGGGAGCTGTTGGACTAGGTTAGAAGCGCGACATCAAATGGTCCGGGTATCAAAAGCGCCGCATCGCGTGATAGCGGTATGTCGAGAGGGCATAGCGTAGGGGTCAAGTTAATTCCAACACGCAACCTCCCTCTCAAGACTCGTCATCGCGTTTCTCGCCACGTCGCATGCGTTCACCCCACCTCCGTTTGCCGACTCGGGTTTCGTAGTGAGGCGCCATGGTCCTCACATCCTGCGTGATGTCGGCGATAGCCTTGCACGTCTTGATGCGATAGCAGTCCACTGCGCCCAGGGTCAGTAAGACGCACGGGTAAGAAGAGAGAAAAAAAAAGAAAGGGGTTAGAAGAGATGCGACGGGTTCGTCGACGGACTTACGAGCTCGCTGCAAAAAGACGCTCCTACCCGCGAAGACGCGGCTGTGCATCCATGCCATACGATAAGCCAGATCGTTGAGCCGCACCTCCTTTATGCGGGTACCCTTTCGGAGTCTAGGGATGGCGATCTCCCCTTCGTCTCTGTCGGACATCGGCACTTTCACCATGACCCGCTCTCGGACGTTATTCCTTCGAGCACGGCCGGCTCGGCCGCTGTCAACTTCCACGTTGTCGTCGCTGAGATCGTCTTCGAAGAACCGGCTACCTGTCGCGCTAGGCGGGGGGCTCTGCATCTCGCGGGGGAAATAGCTGCGCGGGAACACGGCGGAGCTCTTACGGAAGGAATCCGGGATTTCCTTCGGGTTCACCTCCTCGAGCGTGACGCGCACTCTCAGGCGGGAATTGCGCTTATCGTCGTCGACGAGGATGAACTTCCGCTTCTTGGCCTCGGGTATGTCGGGAAAGAGGCCTTCCGGGTGCTTATCGTCGTCCCGGCTCTGGCGCTGAGCAGCGATCGCGCTGTGGTGAGAGCCGCCCAGTCCGTCACTGATCGGCGGCATCGAAGAGCCGCCGACGGAATGACCGGGATACTGCTGCGGGTACCCAGTAAAGACGTGGGCTGGCCGAACGTCGTCCGGGTTCCCGGAACCCGGACCAGCGGGGGCTTGATGGTGATGATGATGGGATCCATCCACGTACTCTCCGTCCGCTGTTTAGAGGCCCGAGTTAGCATGCTGGGTCAAGGTCGATGTGGATTTTTTGTGAGATGAAATGTGCGTGTATGTGTTGTGTCCATTTGTAAATCAAGAGCGGCAAAAACGTGGAAGCGATGTGGTATTTTGCAATCTTGTCTCAAAAAAAAGGGTTGTTTTTTTTTCCAATACAAGGAGACAGCAACATGAAGCTTGTGTGATATGTGCGCTCGGTGTGTTTTTGTGCAGTGAGATGCAGAGCAGAGCCATGCAACTTTTGCTAGGAGACAGACGACTAGACCGTCCGAAGCCAGCAAGGACTACCAAGTGCGTGGCGACTAGATAATGTACAGAATAGTGCCAATCCCTCCAAGTGCTCCAAAAAGCGCCTGCGGCTTCGCGCCGGTATATAAACAACAACGAGGCAACCGATCCAAAACAACCAAACAGGCACGAGGTATAAATGATAAGAGGTATCACGTAATTGCACAATGACAACAGCAACGGCGGCGGCGGCGACAACGACAACAACAACGACGGCGGCAATAACGATGCATGAATCACATCGGGTGAAACATACCGACTTCGTCTCCTCCACCCTGAGCGCTTCCTTCGTGGGCGTGGTGGTGATGTATCTGCGGACCCATGCTGCCCATCCCAGGCTTCCCCATGGGTGTACCGGCGCCGGGGCCAAGGCCTCCAGGGGTCGACATCCCTGCCGGGCCACTGGGACCGGACATGTGCGTGGAGTGGGGGGTCTGAACCGCCTTGCGATTGTTCATCTTGGCCATCCGCCGGACGCGTCGACTGCGCAATCGGGGATCTTGGTTGCTGTTGCGCCAGCTGTCAACCGCTCTTTGGATGAGCCCTCGCTTGCCGCGGAGGCACGGGTTGAGCTGCGCCAGCGCCCACCCGACGGTATTGCACTCCGTCTCGTACTGCAGCCGGTTGCCGCGGTATTGGTCTTTGGGGCAGCACGCTCTGGGATAGACGCAGTTCTCCGTCTTAAAGTCGCTGCTGAGCTCGTCCGTATTTACGGACTCGACGTCGCAGCGAATCGTGTACTCGAGCTTGACCCTGTCACGGGAATACTCGAAGGCGATCCATTGAACGCCGTTGTTATCTTGCCTTACCACGAGCGGCGTGGTTGCCGGGATCGGACCCGGGGCGGCATTGTTATTGACGCCCGGCGTCGACGACCCCGTGGGCGTAGACAATTGGCCGCCGTTCTGGTTCTGCTGAGGCGTGCCCAGCGGCCCCGAGGCGGGGCGCTGCAGCTGTGCGGGTAATTGGGGCTCCATCTTGGTGTGCCGAGGGCTTCCCGTCATGCCCGCCTGCGCGTGCTGGCTCGCGTGCTGCGTCATCTGGTGCTGCGGCCCCGTGTGGGACATCATGATGTTCGGCTGCGAAGTCATGGGCTGATGGGGTTGCTGGGCATGCGGTTGGTACGGAGACGGCGCCTGGGGCGGCAGAGACGAGTATTGGGGCTGTTGCGCGCCGTAGTACATCGATTGCGGCTGGAGCTGAGAGGCAGGGGGGCCGTAGAGGCCGCGGTGCTGCTCGTGACCCGACGGCGACGCGACTGAAGCCGGCGAGTTAGACTGCGGCGTATGGTAGGACATCGGGGGGTACGGTCGAGGCATCTGAGCCGCGGCCATCATTTCGGACGTGTCTAGGTTCACGTGTCAGCCGGGGGGGGGAAGATTCGTCCCAACGCGCGCGCCACGCGCGAAACCGGTCGAACTCACCTGCGGACGTGTATCCGCTCGTCGTGCCCGGGGTGCTATACGGGCTCTGGTGAGCGTAGTAGGGCAGGTCCTGCGCGTGCTGAGCACTGCCTGCGTGTCCGGTCTGCGAGTAGGCGGACGGTATCGAGTGGGTAGACGAGTACGCGGAGGGGTGTTGCGACTGTGGTTGCGGCGCCTGATGATGCTGCTGGTGGACGATACTCGAGGGTCGGGGATGCTGAAGGTGCTGGGGAGGCGCCGGACCCTGCGAGTGGTGGGGATGATGCTGCATAGAGGAGACAACCATTAGTCCTGAACTGTCGAGTGTCGAAGCCAAATAGTCACGACAACCATGAAGACAAGAGAAGTAAGGCAGGACGCGTCGGTATTTTTTTATTTTCTTGACACTGTCAAGGACCCAGGGAACTTAAGCACCTCCTAACGACGAGGTTCAACGGGTGAGGCTTGCTTAAGCGACGGGGGGTGAGGTATAGGTTATAAGACCAGGGGGGGCCCTAAGCATACTACGGTAAGAGATAAAGAATTGCAGTACCAGGAAATGACACCACCAGGTGCTGGCTCCTAAAGGGGAGAGAGTGGATAGGAATCGGAAGCGGAACCCGAAAGTCTGAAAGGTCACCAACTAGGTTCTCCCTCAAGCCTATTCGGGACACGACAACGAAGCCGGCAAAAAAGAGGATGGCGAAGAAGAGGCAGACGGCAGCAGGGGGGCAGACGGACCGGGATGGTGGTAACCTAGAAGGCAGAGAGAAGAGGGAGGGGGGTGGTTTTTTTTTTTTTTTTTCAGCCAGGAAGCCAGCAGATTTGCGATCGGAGCGAGGATGCGGAAAAAAAAAAAGCGCGGGCGATGGGAGGGAGAGAGAGAAAAAAGGCAGGGCCCACGATATTTGAGCTATGTACACAAGGTGAGGCGGCAAGGTATGGGAAATATCGAAGGTAAGGATGGTCTGGCGGTGCCTCCAGGTGTAAAACCGGGGCCCAGGTACGGACGGGGGGCTTATTATGTATCAATAGGGTACGTTGCTAAGAAGCCTCTCGCGTCGCGGGACCATGGCCAGGGACGACACGGCGGGCCTCGTTTGGGCGGGAGTAGAGTGGACGTGCGATGCCTGCGGCAAAGCATGAAATGCAAATGGGGGGGGAGAGCGAGGGCGAGAGGAGGAGAGGACAGAGTTGGAGATTTCGTGTTGAGGGTGTGGATGGATCAAGGTGTGGGACATCGCATGGAAGAAACGTGACAGGGGGCAAGGGGGGGGCTGCTGCATTTTTAGATGAAATGGCCAATGGCGGCGCGGCCAAGCAGGGCCACGCTACCCGATGAGGGATCCTATGTCCGGGGCTAGCCAGCAGAGCCAGGGAGCCCCCCCTTCGCGGCCTTCCAGCGAGCAAGGCGGTGTGTACGGGGCGCCATGCGGTAGGTACTCGAGACTTGCGTCTGGGTACTTCCACAGCGACACCCGGTACCCACCACGAAACCCCCCTTCAGGCATTGTGCTGGCCCCTGGTGCCCCCGGAGCCAAGTACCTGACCAGGTACCCGACCACCGCCGCGGGAGCACGACCAGACGTCGAAACCCTCCCAGCTAGCTGGCTGGCCACCAGCAGCGCTGCCGTCACTTGACCGCAACAAGTCGCTCGCTCGCTCGCTCGGCTCGCCCTCCCTCTCCTGCTCAGGTCCTGCTCCGGTTCTGAATCAAGAAAAACGGTGGTGTGGTAACAGCCCAGCAACCTGCTGAAGCGCCCGTCCGCCATTGGCGAATTCTCCTTCTGCGGTCCACCCCGTGCCAGCACCGCTCTGGTGCGTGGTGGGTGCTGTGCGAGAGACGCTCCCTGGGTCCTCCCACCGCCGTCACGCTTGTGCCTGTGCTGCGGAGCATGTACCGATTGGTACCGTGTACCGTGTACCGCCGCCGTCCAATATTCTTCTGGTTCCTTTTCTTGTTTCTGGCCGGGCGTATGATGATAACGTCCGCGCTAAACCGTACTTGTTTGTGCATGTGGGAATTGAACCGGAGAAATCGACCCCAGAGCGCTAGGAGAGAGAAGAGCATCGCGCCAAAAAGGCATCTCCAAGGGACTCTCCTCCATTCCGTCAAACCCGTCCAACAATCTCTTCTCTCCTCCCACGCCGTAAGCTCCAACTGGCAAAGGCAACTTCGCCAACCGCCCTAAACGGAACCGCCCCGCCGACCGTGGTACTTCCGCGCCAGCATCTCTCCTCTGGTTTCGCGCTCGCGCCATCCCCAATCAGGATGCGCTCGTGAGAGCCAGAGAGGATCGGGAAAGAAAAAGAAAGAAAAAAAAAAACTGGCCCGCGGCCCAGCTAGAGCTTTCCGCTGATCGAAAGATGATGACAGTGTGGCTGCTGCACAAAACATACGGAGTAATGAAATCGTGAATCGAGAAAATGCTCCTTGTGTCCCCCGCATCCACTTGGGTCTGGGCATCGCGGGCACGTCAGCCTCCTGTGTGGTCCCTGATAGGACCAGCATCATCAACCCTGGAAGACAGGCCGGGGACGCTAAGGCAACCCGCACAAGCCCTGTTCCAGAAGATGGAACCCGGTCGGTTGTGAAACAAGATGCTCCCCTGCAATTCCCTTCATTTCAGGGCTGGATCGAAGGCAGACAAGTTTGCGACGAGCCCCACGATCATCTGCAAAACGGGGAAAATCGACATTGAGCATCGTCATCCAAACGGCTTAGTGGACATCGACGATGGGATACGGGGCAGCCGGTGAGGATCGCCACAAACCCGCGCTGTGCGGATCTGCGCTCGGGTAGCAGCACTCGCTCTCCCAGTCGAGGCACAATCATCAATCAGCGGTCGCGAGGAGAAAATCAAACTTACCGAGTCTGCACGTTGCTCCTCTTTCACGTAAGGGTTCGGGGCCTGGCGATGCTGCGCCATCTTCATGATCATTGTCGATAAGAATCTGGGAGCTCCGAGTCGCTTGCTTCGTCTCGTCCAATGTCCTATACGCGGTAGACCGGGGTTAGTGACGGGAACACACGTAAACGCGCGAGTACGTATAAGATAACCCGTAAATAGCTATCCTTAAAAACACGCCCAGGCCCTTATTCCACACGTCTCGCAAACTTAACTAGGCCGTCGGATGTTGCCACGCGACGCGCGAAAGAAGAAGAAGAAGGGAAAGAAAAACAAAAGTACGCAAGGTCGGATACAGACAAGCAGAAACAAACTAAGCGTAGTAACAAATGCCCCGCAGGCCTTAGAAGCTGGGACGAGCGTGGCATCCTGAAGCGCTGACCAAGAGACCGGACGTATAGTTCGGTGAAGGCAACAGGACTGGAGTACTCACAGGATCAACTGGTCAAAATTCCCGTCTAGTAACGAGGTGACTAGCAGAGGGCGAGCGAAAAGGAGAGGGAAATTGAAAGGAGATTGTAAAATCTCGGAACGATTTGTCGTGTGGCGCGACGGGATGTCTAGCTTTTCTATGCTAAGGCTAGTTAGTTAGTAGTGACATCTCGTTGTGTATAAACGTGTGGATACAGCATTGACGGCCGTCAACAAACAGCGATTAAAAATAGCAACAGTATATATCGATAAGAAAGGGGACCTAGGTGGGTTAGACCCTCGCAAATGACAAATTTATGCAAATCCTTCAGCTGAAATCTCGCCGGATATGAGCAGTAGGCAGGCCAGTAGGGAGAAGTCTGTTGGGCGCGCCACGAGAGAGGAGGGGGGGAAGAAAGAAAGAAAGGGAAAAAAAAAAAAAAAAAGGGAGAGCGAAGGGGGTGGCATTGAGTGCGCGTGAACAACCCATAGCAGAGAAAAATAGATACAACGGCGTAACAGTAGCAGCAGTAGGATAGGGCAGGTCATGCATTGAAAGTGAGGTAGCGGAATAATCGCACGCACCGAGCGAGACGGATACCGAGCAACGAACGACGTGCAGAGAGTCAATTGTTGATGCGGTGCCGGGCGGGCTGTGGTATGCCGACACTGAACAACCCGAAGTGTTGGGTCTCCGGTTCGCGGGCCTGGACGGAATCCCGCGTTCACCTCGTGGCGTTTCGTGGTTTGCAAGGTTGAACCTTCCCACTGGTACCCGGCGAGGCCAAATCGCGCGTCCCAGGCACAGGCTTGCTACGATACCTGCAAGATTTTGCAGATAGTTGCGCGAATCAACCAGGCAAACGACGTAATTTTCTGCAAGTTATCTGTCGTGGCCGGACCCCGGGGTTCGATCTGTGTCGCCAATGTTAGTTTATGCATGCCAGCCTTGTCTAGTCAGATGCTGTCAAAAGAATTCGTGGGAATAAGTGCATGGTTCCCCAAGGTGGATGGATGGATGGATGGATGATGGAGAGGGGAGGGGGGGGGGGGGGGGGAGAGGACGACAAGGAATAGGGACGGACGGTGGATAAGACTGGCTGGGGTTCGGGCGAGATGACCTTTTACCACGCAAAATAAAGTAGGGAACCCGCTACGGTTGCAGCGCCCTCGACACGGGTATTTGGTAGGATAAAAATGATAAAGAAGGAGACGAGGTCGGGAAGGCACCTTTCTGATGCGCGGTGATTAGGATATAGTCAAGTATATAGAGGTGATTGGTCGGGATAGCGGTGTGAAAAAGACCAGCTGTACGAAAAGAAATTTCCGTAGGAATTTATTAATAACGAGATTTGCGATGTACTCGCCATAGGATCCGGACAAGGGTCTCAGGGAATTTTCAGCAAGTAGGTCTGAGGATAACCCGGCGGCTAATAAGCATGGATGGCAGGGGGTCGTGGTATCTCGCAGCTGATAGGCATAGGAGCACAGCCTCGTTAAGAGCAGATAGCGCAAGCCGGCAGCGCGATCGGTGCTTCCAACGCTCGGGGAACAGACATATGGAAGCTGAGATGGCCTTACCAGAGTATTCAAGCTGTCCCAGGTCGGTTCTGAAGCTGGCCACACCGGCTATACTAAGTCGTTAGTAAACTAGCGGTCCGTCGCCTTGACGCACGATTCCCGTGTCTGTCAGCTTTCTAGAGCGCTAGGATCAGGGATCAACGCGTTTGGTAGACACACATGAAAACTTGGGCGTCTCTGGCAATATTGGCTAGCCTGCGGCCCGCGGGTAGGTATGTCTAAACTACCGATGGCAAGCGGTAAATGTTTCTCGATACGACACCGGTGGCGGAAACTCTGACTCAGCCAGCAGCCAGATTCTACTGCCGCTCGGACAGCTAACAGATTGCCAGGGGCGGACGTGGAAGATCACGGATATAAAGGTCTCGACTAAAGTCGGACCACGCTCTGGCGTTGATGAGATCCG